ACACCCATAATTTCCAAAAGAATTCGTAATATCGGGTTCAAACCTATGAATAATACAATAACTGAAATTTTAATTTTGAATACGCATTTCATGGGTCATATAAATATAGCATACTTTTCTGACCTTCGGGCTCGAAATACCCATATCAATTTACACCTCACAGCTAACATATTCATTATCTATTAATGTGCCTTTCAGGGCATATCAACTTCGCTGGCTGGCCGAGCGTTTTTCCAATCTTGTTTGTGTTGCCCGACGGCTCGCTTTTTTATGTTTCTGTTTTTGTTTATTAAAAAGTACAAACAGGCAGAAGCAGCCCAAAGCACAGAACACCAGGCCACCCAGCCGGCCCTCGAGAGCGTTCCATTCAATTTGGAGCCCCAAAATGCTAGTTAGGCATTAATGCTCGAAATACACGAGAAATCTACGGAAATCCTGTGACTTTTCCATCGCAGCCCATTGCGTGGGCCTGCGTAATCATATGATGGCTAAGCTTTGACTTTCTCTTTTTAGCCTCGCAAAACGGAAGCTATTTCTGGGGAAAACAGGGCGGGAAGGGCCTTAGCCAGGTTGAAACCGATTGCAACTTTGAGGCAAAATGCGAAACAAAGAGAAATGGAAGCGTTTCCAGATCATAAACGCAATTTTATGGCCTGGGGGGGCATTTCAATTTTGTATTTTTATTGACAATAAGTTAACAATGTTTACTTTCAGTTGTGTGTTGTGTTCGGCTATTTTTGAACAATCACAACAGCCTCATAGTCGGACCAAAAATACCCAGTTGAGACTGTGCTTCGGGCTCCCCGCCTTGCCCGCGTCGCCTTACAATTGTTTACAAGCGATTTTTTGTATGTTTTAATTTTTGTTTCATCGGTTTAATGAAAAATGAGAAATGTGTACAAATGAGCGGGGAGAGAGATGAGAAATAAGAGAAATGAAGAGAGTGGGAGAGAGTCTCTCTGTCTCTGCGCCTGCTCATAGGACCCTTGGGGGCTGGTCTGGGTCTGCTTAGGCTTCAGGTATGGGTCTGGGTCTGGGTCCGGGTTTCGGGACACGGGACACGGCCTCGGCTGTGGGCATTGGTATCCAGTTTGGGATTGGTTCTGGTTCGGGTTCGCGCTCGGGTTCCCTCGCTGTCGGCTCAACATCAAAAATATATTTTGCCATTTGTCTCTGGGCCCGGTGAGCATTTTATAATTTTCCATGTTGCCGCTTTTTTACTTATCCTCGTGTGTCTTTCGCTACGCTTAAGTAGAGGCTTAGGTGTCCTCCCACTAGGAACCCATTGAAGGTGCCTACCCCTAAATAAGGTGTCTACTTGGCAGGCATTTCAAAGAAACTAATTTGCTGTAGTGCCGCCTTTTCGTTGATGGAAATTAATTCGGTTTTATGACCGATTTATTTTCAATCGCCGGACCGCTATAAATATCTCTCCTGCAATGCTGAACAGTGCATATGGTAGCCGTGCATTTGAAGTCAGCCTTAATGGGTATGCCTTTGATATAAGCAGGTGTAAATATTAATATTCTAGACAGAGCAAGACTCTGGTAACTCAAACTATTGTTTATGCATTCCTCATAGGAATAGTAATTAAAATAAAATTATTGAATCGATCTTTATAAATAGAATATTCCCTTCTGTACCAAATAAGATACAATTTATTTTACCAATTAATACTCGCAATCTGGAGAGCTCTAGGGTAAATATTGACCAGAATTTCAGCAGCTTTCGTGTGCTATTGTTATGCAGCAGGAACACACTGCATATACTTATTATTAATTTAAAGCATTGCCCATACGTCATGTTCCGCCAGAGGACATAACAAGAAAGGCCACAACAATTCGATTACAAGTTGATTTATTATTTAAATTGCGTGTTGCGAACAAATACTAGCAGCCAAGGGGAACAGGGAAGACAGGGGGTAAGGGTTATTGGAAATGAAGGAGCTCAATGGCACATGTACACGTAAAAATATCACCAAAATGGGTAAGTCATTTCTCTTTTTCGTAATTAAATTAAGTTATTGAAAAAAGTTCTCTATACACACAAGTCATGTGCATGTTTTAAGGGTTTCTATTTATTTTTTAAGCTATAATTTAGATTTATATTTTATGTCATATACATCTAACAATATGGAACTCATATTGTTTTGCATTTGTGATCCATGTGCTTGTTCTTAGCCTTACATAATGTAAGGATGATGGGCAGTGGAGTGGATGCTGGCAGGGAGTTTCATTCTGCTATTCAAATTAATTGCAAAACTCGTAAAAAACTTTACGGAGTCGTGCTTATCAGCGGGCCAGCATCGCCAGCTGGAGCCGTTGCAGTCCACCGAATCCTCAGTCCCCGAAAAAAACTTTTACCATGATGGCCCTGACAAGCAGAAAATCAGAAGCGGATCAGAGGATGTGGGGGGCGGTGGCATCCAGAGGACGTGCAAGTGACCCAGAGAGCCATACGGCCGTATCCTAGGACACACGAATGGGGGATGGTGGGACGATGTGGGTGGAATGACGGCTGAGGCCAATGGCGTAATTTATGTAGGCTCTCTAAGCCCTTCCATGCGTGAAATGTGATTATATCTGAGTATAAATACGCATACAACTGTGACCATGTACGGGCTTGGTACTATACTATATATCACTATACAAAATCTATAAATGTGAGCTTATTTGGGCGTGAGAGATATAGTATGAGCGATAGGACATAGTGTTACGATCAAATGTTTATGTAAAAGTTGATCCCAATGAATTGAAACCATAACTGAACCATATCGTAAAGAGCAAATAAAAATGTCTTGAAAGCTAATAATATTTTCTAAGCGACTTAAATGTATCCTAACGAAGTCCGATTTCCTGTGAATGTTACCAAATTTTCTTAGCAAAGACTTTATTTGTCCTCCAAATTGTAAGAAAATAAAAACTTAAGAACTACGACTAGAAAACCTACTATTTGAAAACTGATTTAATAAATTTTTAAGCTTTCGAATATTTAAAACATTCAAAATGAAAACAGTCTTTCCTGGAAATGTTTAACTTATTAGTAACTACAGAGAGATTTGTGTTCATTATCATCTATAAAGATTCTGGAGGTTGATATTTGCAAGATAATTACATTAAATTCAACATAAAAAACCCCACAGATCCATACGAATCTGTAAAATAACGGATTTGGGATGCCCATGGGCATTAAGCTACATACATATTATGGAATTGGCGCTTTTATCCGATGATAACAAAACAACAATTGCCTGTGCTCCTGCTGCGCTGCGACTGCGCTGCGACGGCTGCATTAAGCGCGTCATCGCACAAATACACGCACAGAGACAAAGGCCGCGTGCGTGTGCATCTGCGCTTTAAGTATTAGTGCGGCTTTGTTGTTGCGCCAAAAACCAAGCCAAGGATTTTTCGCACATTTACGCCAGCAAATGGACTGCTGCTGATGCACCGTGAAAAATAACATTTGCTTTGAGATATTAACCAAAAAACTCATCAAGTTTTGATTAAAGTGATAAATATGCTTATTACTAAAGAGCTGCTTATTACTTTAAAGCTTTAAGGTATAGATTTACTTTATATTATAGATTTTATAGTATGCAAAATAGTTAAGTAAATATGTAAACTCTCTCATTATTCCCTTGCAGGTTCAATAAAAATTTAATTGTAGCGCAGTTAAGAAGACCCTATAACATTTATATGTACGCATGTTCATATATTATATAGTAATATCAGTGTGTTTATATCTTTAAGGTGTCAAGAAAACAATTAGAAAATAATTAGAAAAACATTTGCTTTAATTTGAAATAAAAATTCGATATACATAATATATGTACACATGAACATAGCTGCCTTAGGACCTTTTTTTTTATGGTACGGTTAAGTTGCAAGCTGTAAGGTCACAGTTGTTTAATTCCATTTTGAAATGTATATTTTATAACTGTCACGTTTTTTATTTGTTAGATTGTGAAAAAACATATGTTTAAGCCGAATAATATTTGTTTTATTCCAATTAAAAAGCTTCAGACTCTTATCATTTTAAATGTATATCACATTTTTTTCTTAAAATTATGAAACTTACTGACAATGAGGAAATATTATCTATTGATAATATTATTATAATGCTTTTAGAGATTTTTAGAGATTAATATCGTATGTTTAAAAAGGATAAGATATCATAAGGTTCTATAAACCGCTGACTGTCGTTGGAAATCCTTTTGTGACTCTTTCGTTTTGCTTCACTTTATTCTATTCAGGGCGTTTGTCGCATATGAAAAATGTTTTTCCCGGTGTCCTGCTGCTCCTTGCTGCCTCATTCTCTCTTTCTCTCCTACAGACGACCTTCACTTTCATACGACTGTCCGCATATATATTTTTTTGTTAAGTTGATTCTACGCTTTTTTAATAACACGCTACGCTGTGTTACGGTTTAGCAGGATAAAATAATATCATAAGTGCGGCAGGGAGGGGGTGGTGGACAGAGGCTTTAAATGGGCCAACTATGCAACAACAACTACTTGTTGTGTTGCATGCACGCCATGGGCTGCAATTAACAGAGATATTTTTTGTTAATGCCTTGACCACTTAGCAAGGACATGGGCGGTTAAAACTGGTTGTACATTATCTATTTCTTCATCCTTTTTTTGTGCTCTCTGTTATTTTTTGCGGCCGATGTTGTTGTATTTTTAGAGAGCGAGCAGGAACTATGTTCAACGCAGAGGCAGCAACAACAGCAAGATTCGCGGATACACACATTTTCACAAATCAAAAAAGCAAACGAATATTGCCACACACACTGCCGCACACCCACACACACACGCACTCGGGCACGGACAAGAGAGACAGACAGGAAAAATCTCTCTTTTTTTATGGATTTTCTGAGCAGGCAATCTGCTTTCCTTGATATTTGATTAAACAATTTCTTAATGGGTTTTTAATATTTTTGTTTACCGTCTGCGTTTTTACAAGTAACACATACAAATGCGGGCCTTTTCGGTTTATTACATTTTACACTTGTCGCCTCTTACACTTGCCTCCTCCGCACGTCTCCTCGCCACGGCTCGCCTCTCCTCCGCCTCCTTCTTCTCCGTTCTGTTAGCCGCACATTTTTCTCCGCACTATTTCGTGTAGACTTTCTCTGCTTTCGGTTAGAAATTTAAACTTTTTCAAATTTTTTTCCTGCACGCACGATGGCCAGAAGAACTTGGCCCGAACTACGACCCGCTAACTTGCTCCGCTCCGATTCTCCTTGTGGCGTTCAGACAAACAGTTCTCGACAAACTGAAAGTGAAAAGTGAAAAGCAAAAAGCGCCAGCGCCTCCGACCATCGGTACTGCAAGCCAGAATCCGGGACAGCACCGGAGCACTCACGGAGTCGGCGCACTAGCCTGAGCAAGTGGTGGTCACTGAAAGCGGAGGCAGCAACAGAATCGAAACAGATGTTGATGTTGCCTTTCGAACAAGGTGGCGGGCCTCAATGAACTCTCTGATAAATTATTAACGGATAACACAAAATTCAATGAATTTCTATCAAGGATACGACCATGTACCTGGCTCTGGGCCAACCATCTTTAATTCAAATTAAATGCAAACCGAATTAGATATTAATTACTGAGAGGACTAGATATAGATATAATTAAAAAAAAGTAAGATGACTAGATATACAAATTTCACCAGTTCGTTCTCCAAAGAATCATCCATATAGCAACCAGTTTTCAAATTAAGTGAGCTTAACAGCTTTAACCGCCTGATTTTGATTAGAACAATTGTGTGGCGATGAAATAACAAACTATGTTGCCTAATATTAGCAATTATCTCACTCTTAATCTTATCTTATCTTAGCCTACCTCAACTTTTGTTATCAGTTCCAAAGATAAACCAAATTTCCTTGATCTATGCGATATAGAATCCCCAGGAACTTAAGTTAGGTATTAAATATTTGTGGGCCAGTTACATCCTTTTATTAGCTTAGATAGATAGCTTAGATATCAATCGCTCAATCACAAGCACAGTATTTTAAAAATATTTATTCTTTTTTACAATTGAAACTAACTTTGAGTCTATAAATATCACTAAATATCGAACAAGGATGTGGCATGAATACATGCTTAAGCGAATTGTTTTCTAACACAAAACGATACCAAAGAAAACAAAACTAAAATGTTTCTAGAGTGTTCATCCAACTTTCCACTTAGACGGTGTTGTGGTTTCGAAGCAGGTTCCTATTTGGCGGCGGGAGCAGCCTTGTCGCCAGCTTGGGGTTCCTTGAACTGCTTGTGCCACTCGAGATTCATCTGCGACACGGATTCCCCTCGCTTAGCTGCCTGCTTGCCGCTGTAGACCATAATGGCACAACCGACGGCGGTGAGAGCGATCATGATGTTGGCCAGCCGGATCCGCATTTTGTTGCGGCAGCGCTCCATCTCATCCTGGCTGCAAAGGCGACAATTCCCGTTTAATAACCTGTTGCACCCTCTATCTGCCACAGCCCACGCACCTCACAAAGTTCGGCACTTCGCCCTGCGACTTGTATTTACCGGTCCACACCAGCATACGTCTTTCAAGATTGTTGGGCTCATGGTTCTTGATCGTCTGGCGCATAATCGGCGAGGACCCAAAGGAGCGACGCACGACTGCTCCAATTAAAGTTGCCTTGTTTAGCATAGTGCTTGAGTAAAGCGGTTAATATTGTTAACTAAAAAACTGCCGCAGAAATCCTGAATTTTATGCAATTCTCATTAAAAATTAAGTGTGACCGTGGCCTGGTTTGGTATTTAACGGGTTCTGGTATTTTAAATGCAAAGAAGAACGAACGGTAATGCCCATATGATACTGTAATGCAGTTTTCATTAATTAGCTACTTCATTAGAACCTTGAAAGAGTCAACTATATTGTCATTTTGCTTGGATTATTTTGGTAAAACGACTACGGCCACACCGCCCGTAAAAGGTAAACAAAAGCAAGTGGTGGTCACTGAAAGCGGAGGCAGCAACAGAATCGAAACAGATGTTGATGTTGCCTTTCGAACAAGGTGGCGGGCCTCAATGAACTCTCTGATAAATTATTAGCGGATAACACAAAATTCAATGAATTTCTATCAAGGATACGACCATGTACCTGGCTCTGGGCCAACCATCTTTATTTCAAATTAAATGCAAACCGAATTAGATATTAATTACTAAGAAGACTAGATATAGATATAATTAAAAAAAAGTAAGATGACTAGATATACAAATTTCACCAGTTCGTTATCCAAAAAATCATCCATATAGCAACCAGTTTTCAGATTAAGTAAGCTTAACAGCTTTAACCGCCTGATTTTGATTAGAACAATTGTGTGGCGATGAAATAACAAACTATGTTGCAATTATCTCACTCTTAATCTTATCTTATCTTAGCCTACCTCAACTTTTGTTACCAGTTTCAAAGATAAACCAAATTTCCTTGATCTATGCGATATAGAATCCCCAGGAACTTAAGTTAAGTATTAAATATTTGTGGGCCAGTTACATCCTTTTATTAGCTTAGATAGATAGCTTAGATATCAATCGCACAGTATTTTAAAAATATTTATTCTTTTTTACAATTGAAACTACCTTTGAGTCTATAAATATCACTAAATATCGAACAAGGATGTTGCATGAATACATGCTTAAGCGAATTGTTTTCTAACACAAAACGATACCAAAGAAAACAAAATTAAAATGTTTCTAGAGTGTTCATCCAACTTTCCACTTAGACGGTGTTGTGGTTTCGAAGCAGGTTCCTATTTGGCGGCGGGAGCAGCCTTGTCGCCAGCTTGGGGTTCCTTGAACTGCTTGTGCCACTCGAGATTCATCTGCGACACGGATTCCCCTCGCTTAGCTGCCTGCTTGCCGCTGTAGACCATAATGGCACAACCGACGGCGGTGAGAGCGATCATGATGTTGGCCAGCCGGATCCGCATTTTGTTGCGGCAGCGCTCCATCTCATCCTGGCTGCAAAGGCGACAATTCCCGTTTAATAACCTGTTGCACCCTCTATCTGCCACAGCCCACGCACCTCACAAAGTTCGGCACTTCGCCCTGCGACTTGTATTTACCGGTCCACACCAGCATACGTCTTTCAAGATTGTTGGGCTCATGGTTCTTGATCGTCTGGCGCAGAATCGGCGAGGACCCAAAGGAGCGACGCACGACTGCTCCAATTAAAGTTGCCTTGTTTAGCATAGTGCTTGAGTAAAGCGGTTAATATTGTTAACTAAAAAACTGCCGCAGAAATCCTGAATTTTATGCAATTCTCATTAAAAATTAAGTGTGACCGTGGCCTGGTTTGGTATTTAACGGGTTCTGGTATTTTAAATGCAAAGAAGAACGAACGGTAATGCCCATATGATACTGTAATGCAGTTTTCATTAATTAGCTACTTCATTAGAACCTTGAAAGAGTCAACTATATTGTCATTTTGCTTGGATTATTTTGGTAATACGACTACGGTCACACCGCCCGTAAAAGGTAAACAAAAAAAACGGCCGCCATTCGCGGCGGTTTATTATGAAATTCTGAATTCCTCGTCGAAGTATTATTGCATAAATAGATGCAGAATCCTTTAAATTTATGTTTTTAACCTATAATGCTTAAAATTTTTTTAATTATTACAAAAAAATAATTTTAATTCATTTTACAGCGCAAGAACCTTGCTACCGCAAAACATATTATTTTTGCTAATTTTCTAATATATTTTCAGTTCAAAAACCAGCAAAATGATATAAAAATAAACTTCTCATTGTGAGACCATACTGTCAATGAGCTGGCTAATACATTTTTCAATTACAATTTTCTTCATTAAAGCCTAGTACTCTGACGAGAAAAACAATTTTCTTCATTAAACCCGTATTTTGTTATCGAGTATCTGGTATATTTTATGTAGATCTATCGATTATCGCGGCAATGAAGTAGCTAATGCATTATTCTAATGCATTAGAGCCCCATATAGTCGTCTTGCTCGCACTTGTGTAAAACGCTATAGCGCTGTCAAATCTTTAAGCCTAGTACTCTGACGAGAAAAACCCGCTGTCTAAATTAGACAGCGGAATCGCTGTTTATTTCGCTACCGAGCTAGTGTGACCAAAAAATTAAGGAAATTCCATGAAAATGTACTTTTTATGGCGTTTAAGGATTTTCCTTGGTCACACTGGACAGCTGTTTGTAAACAAATATTCAAAAAAAATATTAAAAATATTAATAAATATGGCATTAAAATGTCCTTTGTGGGTTAAATTCCATATTATGGGCTTCCCCTTGACAGCCCCTATCAATGCCACCTTTTTCCTTCAACTTTCCCTCCATTAGGGGTGTCTAAATAAATCAAATGAATTATTTAGACAGCGCGATATCAACTGTTTACTATCTTGATCTGGCAACGCCATTCAATTTTCGCAGGCTTCATTTTCGTCGTCAGAGTACCGAAAAAAACGACGTGTCTAAAAGTTTCTTCTTTTTTTTTCGACACCGTTTTTTTTATATGGAGTTTGGCTCTCTAATTAATGCGGCAGTGTCATGCCAGTATAAACGCAACATATTAGGGGTATACTTTTGATCCATTTTGTTTTAGTCAGCTGTCTTGCCAGTTGTACCATTAAAATGTACCTATCAGGAAAACGACAACTAATAGTCCCATTTGTATGGCTATTGCACCGTGTACATTATTTTGCTAATCTGAATTTGTTTACATTCCATCATACCGACTTTATCACTGGATCGTGATAATATTCTCAGTTACTTACGGGCTTGGTAAAGGAGGGGTATATATAAATGTCCCATAATGTCATTGCTGAGATTATCCTCAATATGAAAGTTTACAAATATTTTGCAGTGCACCGGAAATGCCGCACAATAACGACGGTGTAATTGAACCTCTGTGATACGGCCACACTGCTGTCCCTTTTGGTTTTCGTTTGCGGTGTAAAAGTCGGGAAAGTTAATTAAAAAGCGTGTTAGCGGCCAAGGTCAACTGTAGGATCCGACTGCCCGCCACGCAAGACAACAGCAGCCGATATGAGCGACTACACGAGCATTCTGCAGCGAGAGTTTCCCAAAATCGACTCCGAGCTGCTCACCTATGTCGTGGGAGTGCTCACCGGAAGTAAGTGGCTTACGATTCTTAACCAAGCTTGGAATTAAGCGTTTTTTGCATTGTTTCATGAAGGCGAGGAGGACTTCGAGACCGGCGATGACATCTTCGATGCGGTGGGGGACATCCTCCAGAGCGTGGACTGTGAGCGGCCGGAGGAGAGCGTCCGAGAGCTGTGCGAGCAGTTCCTCAATATCATGAAGAACAGCGGGGTCAACGTGGAGCGCAAGGTGCTGAATGCGCCGGTCAACATCGAGGAGATGGCCAAGAACATGGAGCGTCTTGACAAGGATATGCAGAGCATCTGGGTGGTCAACAAGGATGGTGCCAATGTAAGTCTCGCCTCGGGGTAGATTCGGCAATCTTCAGAGTGCAATATCATCCTATTCCTACAGAAAGTGGACTCAAAAAAACTGGAGAAGGCAGAGGCAAAGCTACAGCAGAAGCAGGAGAAGCGACAGGAAGTCAACAAACACGGCATGATTCCCGTGGCAGTGAAATTACAAACAGCTACAGCCTCACAGGTCACCAACAAGAAGAACACCAAGCTGGACCAGAAAGGCCTCAACCGCTCCATGGACATTAAAATCGAGAACTTTGACCTGGCATTTGGAGAAAAGTAAGTTTTGTTATGCAACAGAGCCATCGAGGCACCATTAACTACTGTAAATCCCCGCCAGAGTTCTCCTGCAAAATGCGAATCTGCTATTGTCTTTCGGACGGCGCTACGGTTTGGTGGGACGCAACGGCTTGGGCAAGACGACGCTGCTGCGGATGATTGCTGAGCGGCAACTGCAGATACCCTCGCACATTTCGGTGCTGCATGTGGAGCAGGAAGTGGTGGGCGATGACACACCCGCGGTGGATAGCGTGCTGGAGTGCGACACGGAGCGAACGAGACTGCTCACTCGGGAGAAGGAAATCCTGGCTGCGCTGAACAGTGGCGTGCAGGATTCTGAGCTGTCCAACGAGCTGAGCGAAACATACGCGGCCCTGCAGAACATCGAGGCGGACAAGGCGGTGGCCCGTGCATCTGTGATACTCAAGGGATTGGGCTTTGATGCGGATATGCAGCTGAGACCCACCAAATCCTTCTCAGGCGGCTGGCGTATGCGCCTGGCCTTGGCCCGGGCGCTGTTCTCCAAGCCCGACCTGCTGCTGCTCGATGAGCCTACGAACATGTTGGACATTAAGGCCATCATCTGGCTGGAGAACTATCTGCAGACGTGGCCCACCACTGTGCTGGTCGTATCCCACGACCGTAACTTCCTGGACACCGTACCGACGGACATCATACATCTGCACTCCCAGGAACTTGAGGCATACAAGTAAGGCGCTAACGCAGTTCAATGAAATCTTATGTTAATAACAATCTTGCAGGGGAAACTATGACCAGTTCGAGAAGACGAAGACGGAGAAGCTGAAGGCTCAGAGACGTGAGTACGAGGCCCAAATGGCTCACAGACAACATGTCCAGGAGTTTATCGATCGCTTCCGCTACAATGCGAATCGTGCCTCCTCGGTGCAGTCCAAAATCAAGATGCTGGAAAAACTGTAAGCTATGGCTATAAGCTACTATTTAAAAATGATTAAACTGTAACATCTTTATGCAGCCCCGAGCTGAAACCGGTGGAAAAGGAGACCGTTGTCACGCTCAAGTTCCCCGAAGTGGAGCCTCTCAACCCTCCGGTGCTGGCCATTTCGGAGGTGTCGTTCCGCTACAATCCCGAAGATCCATTGCCCATCTTCAAGGGCGTCAATCTCTCTGCTACCTCGGACTCGCGTATTTGTATTGTCGGTGAGAACGGCGCGGGCAAGTCGACGCTGCTGAAGATCATCGTTGGTCAGCTGAGTACCATCTACGGAAATATTGTGCTGCACCGCGGGCTGCGTATCGGCTACTTCGCGCAGCACCATGTGGATCATCTGAACATGAACGTGACATGTGTGGGCGTCCTGGCAGAGCTGTTTCCCGGACGACCCGATGAGGAGTATCGTCGTCAGTTGGGCAGTTTCGGCATATCTGGACCCCTGGCATTGCAGAGCATTGCTAGCTTGTCTGGTGGGCAGAAGTCACGCGTGGCCTTAGCGAAGATGTGCATGGGTAAGACTCTTTTTGCTACAAATTATTTTGACTTCGGATTTAATGGGTATTCTCTCAATAGCGGAACCGAATTTCCTAGTGCTGGATGAGCCGACAAATCACTTGGACATTGAGACCATTGATGCTTTGGGCCGGGCTATCAATGCCTTTAAGGTGCATATTTCACGAGTAATCAATGTCCCCCAATGTATTTAATACTCTTTCTTATTCCACCTGGACAGGGCGGCGTTATTTTGGTTTCCCACGACGAGCGTCTCATCAAAGTCGTTTGCAAAGAGCTCTGGGTGTGTGGCAATCGCACGGTGAGAGCCATTGAAGGTGGCCTGGACGAATATAAGCAGGAGGTTTACAAGGAAATCGAAGCTAATAGTTGAATTTAATTACCGTAAATTATTTATCTATTTGTGAAACAGCCTAGCAATAAATTTATATTATGTCTATGACACAAAGAGAACGACGATGGTGTGATGGTTTTATGCTTTTAAATACTATTATTTTGAGCAAATTTAAAGAAAACAAACTAGATGCTGCTAACAGTTTGCTGAGTCAGTTTTCTTCGCAACTCGAAGAGCAATAGTGTCAGCGCAGACGCCACATTCAGGCTATCGACTCCAGCTGCCAACGGTATGTAGACGCACTTTCCTTGACCGCCACCCACTGAATTCATGAAACTGTAAGTAAATAAAAGGGTTTGATACCGATTTTGCTATGCCAGGAGATGTCTTTCCACTTACCTGTATGCTTCCTCGCTGACACCATGACTCTCCCCGCCAATGATGACCAGATTGTGGGCTCCTATTTCGCTAATCTCTGCATAATCTATTGCCTGGTGGTTGGCCCGCTTCTCTGGGTTGTTTTCCGCAATAAACACATTACAATTATCTGCTGCCTCTGGGGGAATGCTTGAAGAGAGCTCCTCCCATGTAACGTCATCGAGAATGGGCAGCCGGAACTGACCACCACATCCTCCCCTCAGGGCTTTCGATTCCCAAGGATCGCAGCAGCCGTGTGTGACTACAACCTGTCTGCACGGGAGGGCCGCACAGGTTCTAATGATGCTTCCCAGATTATTCGGCTCCCTGATATTGTCGCACACCACTGTGATGGGCAATGGTCGCGTTCCCAGTTGCTGTTGCTCTGCCAGGTTTTGCTCTACACCTTTTTCCGATGGTCTGTCGAAAATGGCCATCAATCCGGGAGGAGTCACCAACGAGGACCATGTTTTAAGGTCATGCTGCGGTACCTTGTAGATCTTTGAGCCCCTCTTCAGCTGGGACCTGCCCACTTCCTCCTTTATCTGTGCCAATTGATCCTTCTGGCTGAAAATGAGAGCCTCCATTTTAAGGCCACACTGCAGGGCCTCTCTGATGAGGCGTCTGCCTTCGATGATGATCTGCCGGTTCTTGTCGCGACGCTTGCGGGAGCGCACTGTGGTCAGCAGGGTGCTGGTTAGTGGATCGTGCAGGGTGAGGCGCACAAACTCCAGATTAAGCTCGCTGTCCTTTATCAATGGGGCAGGGCTGGAAGATGCCCGTGGAGCAGGGACAGCGCTGATCTTGCGCGAAACCAATGGAACAGAAACGGTGGGTTCCTTGTTCTTTCTAGCTCCAAGTGACTTCGTTCGATTCTTGCGTAAAGCATCCCGCGTGTTTACCGGCTCATGCTTCAAGTCCGAGTTCCCGAATAGATTTGCCTCTATGTCCAGTGCATCCTTGATGTCGCCTTGGGGGCCATTGGAGCTGCTCCATCTCAGCACACTGAAGGTTTGTACATTCTTTACATTCGCTTGAAAAGAGCGTTTTAAAATATTACAAAACATGGTTGGTTAAACTGAACATATGTTCCCTCGAAGCAGAGGCGTAGGCAACAACTGTTGGACACTCTCTCAAGGGGTAAATAAGCAAAACTGCTAATAAAAAAATACTAAATTAACGGAAATTAACTCTACAGTTACCTACCTACCAGCAGTTAGCTTAATCGAAATTATTTCCCAATTTTAAAAGCAAATAATTCTTCCTTTTAGGCTTCCTTTAGTTCGGAGTATGGTTAATGAGGTGTAAGACAGAAAAATGAGCTTATTAAATTAAATACCATATTATAAAACAGCATTTAACCAATTATGTGTTGAATTTTGTATTAAACAATATTTAGATGTATAGGGATTATAGGGAATTTCTCAACATGTCCACAGAATCAAAATTGGGAGTCAAAACAAAACTTAAGCTATTTTGTTTAAAAAAATATAATAAATTAAAAATTAGTTAATGAAGTTATGTTCTTAATTTCAAAACAATTGGTCCAGTAGATTGAGAGTAATCGCCCATGTACACCATGTACACTTTCAAAATGGCATCTTTCAGGAGAGCTTCTTAAATTGTTTTATGCTCGTTCATTGAACACCAAACCACCAACCTTCATTCAAATACGCATAACTTCGTCAACATTGCTATTATAGATGAGAAACTTTGACAAAATATTCTGGAGATATTGGAATTTTATAGTAAAAATAATATTAATTCAACGCCCCCTTAATCAGGCCCTTTTAGGTACGTCCATGACAACAGTGTTGGAAAACGCTAAGCATACAAAACCTGCCATAGTTTACCATACTTGCTTAGTGGAAGCGCCACAGTTCAAAATTGTAAACACACCATATTTAATGAAAATATATATTTATTTCATTTTTAAATTTGTGTTAGCAGTTAATAACAATTTGAAATTAATTATAAACTAATAGCGCAATGAGTTGTCCTACTTGGGTGTTTGACATAGTTCCGTTAAGCAGCCATAACATAATACAATAATAATTTAAAATAACAATGCAAAATTCAAACGCGTTGGATTGAAAAATGTTGAAAAAGAGGATAGATAGTATGTAAAACAAAATGAATCTTGGAAACGCGATAAACTATTTAAAACATAAGAAATTCATCTAAATGGGGGGCTTCGTGGTGGTGGCTTAAAGTATTATCATACATATAAATAAATCCTTACGAGTATAAATAATTCAAAATCTTCATAATCATCCGTTCCATCTTAGCCAGGTTAGGCAGACCCTATTCACGAAATTTGTTCATAACAATGTACGACCTAGAATTACTACTATCACCGTTACGTCTTACATGGCTACGTGCCGTTTCTTAATTGAAGTTTCGTAAATATTAAGCAATGCCTCTAACTTTACGCGTATGTAGTATATGTACAGGGCTTAGCCAACTCGCTGGCTACATCTGTTAGGTTGAGCTGGCCACTGCCGAGTTCGAGCAGCTCGAGCTGTTGCTGCTGTTGGACTGCTGGGTCTTCCGCTGCCGCGCTCCTCGGCCGGACAGCAGGTATGACAGATCAATGGGTTGTTCCTGGGCTGTCTGTGCATCCAGACACTTGAGCTTCACTGTATTCAGAACATTTTCCAATCGCGAGCGCTTCTTTTTAATCACCTAAAGATGAAGAAATTAAAAATAAATAAGTTACGAATTATTTATTAATTGTATATAATAATTAATCACCTGTCTGTTGGGAGCCACTGGCGTTACGACACGGGCTTCCACTGAGGCCGCTACATACCCCCGAGGCTTTCTCCCTACCGTTTTCGGCTGATGATGTTGCTCCTGCCTTCCTGTTACCTTTTGCATAGTTGCTGCCGCTACTCCTACATCTAATTCAGTCTTTTGCTTCCTCGTCTTTAGCAACGAAGGATCCACATCATGGGGCTAAAGGGAAAAGTTAAAAAGGAATGTTACGACATCAGTTTCATGGCATAGCGACATATCTCCGACTTATGTCGCGGACTTATGTCCCTACCCCCAGTTTCACTTTTGCTTTGAACTTACCGCATAGCTCTTGGATATCTTAAGCTTTTCGGGGAACTTGCGGAATGCATAGCTCTTGGTGCACGCCGGATGGTTGGCCTTGGCCTTGGAAAAGAACCTGGCCGTCTTGTCCACGCGCAGCTCGCAGATGTAGCAATGATCTTCATCAACGCACTCCATGGGGCGACCCTTGCAGAAGGTGGTGCGATCCAAGACCCAACAGCGTCCAATGACCAGCTCAATGGGCACCACTTCGTAGAGGGAGACCCTGACCACTTCATTGGGGTAAAAGCGACGGGAGGGTTCGTGGAAGGTCTCATGGGGCCGCAGGAAATGGTGGCCGAATATGAAACGTTTGCCCAATTCGTTTTTCCACAAGTGCTCCACCCGGAAAATGTCACACTCCTGGTAGTCGATGGCTCCGATCGTCTCGTAGGTGTGCTTCTTGGCTGGCAGGACCTTGCCCGCCTCGTCCTTGATGGGAATATCCCGTAGGACGTAGACAGCATCGCCCTGACGCACCTGCAGGTCTCCGCGCATCAGGGAGAGGTAGTAGCGGTGTCCCTCCTCGGTAAATTCCTCCAGAGGAATCTCGCGATCCACCTCTCGTGGTTCGCACCGCTCGCACTGATAGTTGTCCGCGTCGATGTCAGCCTTGGTGCACTCAGTGTGCTGCCAAACCATGCACTTGGCGCACTGAATCATTAATCCCTCGTCCTTGTACAAGCCGCAAATACAACGGATCACATCCTCTTCGGGGGAACCAACTGGAACCACTGGGGCTATCGGTAACGACGGATCCAGTGGAGAAGCTCTGTCACCAGCTCCTGGCGATTTCTTCACGACTAGTTTCGGCGCCACCTCTTCCTGACACAACGTCTCCTTCGGCTTAAAGCTTTGCAGGGATCCCGGATCGCCTAGAATGTCCACCAGTTGACTATAATTGGCCGTCTTCAGTTGCTCATAGCAATCTTTCAGGGCTTGCAGGGCCTTGGCCTTGGCCTCATCGTCACCATGCTGCTGCTTGGCCTCCACAAAGAGCTGCTGCATCTGGTCATCGTATTCCTGCGGTGTCTTGTAATGGCCCTGCTCCACTCTGGATTGAATGGCCCTGAACTCCACACGCGAATTTACAGCTGTCAATCCCGCTGATTTACCGCTCAGATTCTTCGTTGACTTTTTCTTCTTGCTGGAGACTGTGGTCAACAGATCGGCCATCTTCTGTGTTTCTAGGGAACTGCAGATGTCCCTCAGAACAACAGCCATTTTGGCCATCTTCTCCAGTTCGGGATCATGAACGGCCTGGGCGAGTCCTCGGGTTTTCATGTTGCGGGGTGTGCAGAGCGCCGATATTTGGGCAGCCAGCAGGGAGGTGGATGATGGTGTGGAAGGTCGTCGTCCAGGAATATCTCCATTGGTGGCACCGTGTGCTGGTGATGTGGCGGAAGCTGTAGGTGCAGACAGGGCCAAGGCGGCAGCTCGCTTGGCCTTGCACTTGCGAATCTGGAAAGAAAACGAAACTGAATATAATCCCAGAATGTGATGGTTTTTAAGGGGGTTGACTGACCTTTTCAAAATTCCTCACTAAATAAATGTTGAACTGCTTCACCAGCTTCCTTTCCTTTTCGGACAGTGGCTGCATTTTGGTTACCGACACTGCCGCCTCCTTGCTGCCCGCCGGCTGCCTCTGTGCATGCTTTTTGGCTTTCTGTTTCCGTTGGCGTCCGTTTCTGCCCGAAGGTCCCTCCGCAGCCGGTTTGGCCTCAGTGGCGGGAAGGGGCTTCACCCTCTGCGACTTGCCGCCGATGACGCCACGACACTGGGGCGTGTTGCACCTGCATGGCTGACCCTCCGAGGGATTGAACAGCGAAAAGTTGTAGTCGTACGTCAGCTCCTCCCCCTGCTCGATGGCTCTTTTAGCGAAGAGCACCATTCGGGACAGTCCGTTGACGCTCCACTTTTGCATTTCGCAGTTGGGCTCGCAGGAGTGGTTAACGAACCGACAATCGCTGCCCATGCGCTGGCCATCGATGACGAGTCCACCATCCAAGTGGAGGCAGTAGTGGTGAGTATCGTTCAGATAAATACTAGCCATCCGTTGCTTGAACTCCCTTTCGGTGACCACTTCGCCCACGTACTCCAATATATAAGTGCCCTTGGCAATTGGTAGTTTGGTCCTCACTCCCCAACCCTTGTCCACCGTCATGAAGCGCTCCACTCCGGGAGCCACGGCGTGTCGTTGAATCTTCTGGTTCCGACACTTCTCTGCCGCCGGACAATTGGTGGGCGAGCACTCAGTGTATACCATGCGGTTGAGGCAGTTGTCCAAGCAGGCTTTCTCGCCCTGGTTCTTGCAGTTGCAGGTGGGAGGATCGAATCCAGCTATATTTGGACGCACTGACTCGGCGTACACATTGGTGCGGATTTTCCGGTAATTCCACGATGGCACCTCATGTCTAGTGGGCAACTTCGAGTTTGTATATGCCCACCAGATGTCGTAAGGCAGCTCAAAGTCCACTTCCCTCCTTCGAAGATACTTTTCGCAATACGGAGGAGGTGGCAGAAGACTTCCGGACGCGGCGTGCTGCTGCTCCTCCCCAGTCGGCTTCTTGTTCACCTTCGCTGGCGGCGGCATCAGCGATTGCTTGTAATGATTGGAAAACAGCCCGGCCACCAGATAGGTCTTCTTTACCTTTGCCAATTTCCGCAGAGAGTTGCTCGATGCCTTGTCTTCGCTGGTATCACTGCAACTGGCGTAGTCGGGTGGCAAGGGGTAAAGGGATTCGTTGGCAGGCAATGGATCATGCTCGATGGGAATTGTATCCAGCCTCTTTGCCTCCGCCTCGGCATCGATCTCCTCCTGGGTAGAGGGCACCTCCGGTGGAATTTCTGGTTCAACAGCCGCCTTGGCCTTGGTGATTTGATTGCATCCCGTGTCCAGGTTCTTTCGCCGCTTCAAACGAATCTTGCAACTGAAATTTGTGTTGGGATCAACGCCAGCTGGTAGTTTTATGTTTGGCTCCAGCTTAGGCTTCCTTTGTGCAGTCGTTAGCATGGGTGATGGCACTTCTACTGGTGGTTTCTTGGGTTGCCGTCCACGTTTCCTGGCGGGCTTCACTTCTGGTACGGCTTGGGGCGCCGGAGTGATGGGTGGTGGAGGCAGCTTTTTATCTTTGGGCTTCCTTCCGCGGGGCCTACCTCTAGCGGCAGGAGTCTGGGGTCGCTGCAAGCGCTCCAGAGCCACGACCGACAATCTCGGCGCTCTCTGATTACTTCTGGCCACAAAGTTTTCTCTGGCCTCTCCTGTCTGGGGCACCCTCTCGCAATCCATCGGCGAATGGGCTTGGACTTGGGCACTACTGGAGCTCCTGGTTTCCCTCATGCTCTGCAGTGGCTGATCGTCGGGGTCCATCTCCTCCTGCTCTTGCTCCTCCATCAAGGTAGCTGCTGGTTGCTGTTCCACACTGACTTTCCGCTTCTTCCTGCGCACCGTAGGGAAACCGGTGCGGTTGATCTTCTTTCGCTTGCGCTTCAGCAGAAAGTTGCCTCCGGTCTTATGGAGCAATGTTTCCACAACTCGCTGGCCAATCTCCTTTTTGGTATCCTCCTTAATATCCAATGCTGATAGCAGTGGCGATTCCACCTCTGCCTTAGTTATTACCGATTCGTTCAGTTTGCCGATGGGTATCTGGATTTCCAGCTCGACGGAGGGTTCAAACACCCCAGGGGGAGGGTAGCTACCGGAGGCTGGAGACTGTTGGGACAGTTGAGCCAAATCCTTGGCGGGCGCCACCTTCTGCTTGGCCGATGCACCTCTCCTTTGCTGTTTAAGGGAACACAGCGAGCTGGGACTGATGTCCAGTAGTTTGCCACCACTTATGGAGTTGTTGTCTACAACAATCCTCAGGGGGGAGTTGCTGGCGGAGGAGGCCGCTCCTCCGCTGGACGCGGGCTGCTCAAGGAGATGCCTCTTCTTGGGCGTCAGAGCGGACTTTGCGGTCTTCGCATTGAACTGAGCCTGCGACTTGGTTGATGCGGTGCTCTTAGCAGTCGCTGCTGCCGCTGCCCAAGCCTCTGCGTTCAGTTTTCCATTGGCAAAGGCCGCCTCCGCCGGAGGACGCTCTCCCGGTGTCAACAGATAGTGACGCTTCTTCAGCGGCAATTTGTGATCATCGGGACTTGAGCTGTCATTGCTCTGCGATTTCTTGTGTCGTCTCTTGGCATTGCCGTTGCTCGTGCCACTGCCATTGGGCGTTCCACTGGCGCTGGCTGAGAGCATGGCAAAGTCCACCAGCGGCTCACTGAGCTTACGCTTCTTCAACGCCCGTTTCAGGGGCTTTGATAGCGCTGTCGCCGACCCCCCCGCCCCGGTCAGAGCCACTTGCTGGGCGGGACTGGGAGCTGCCAGCGTGGCTTGCAGTTTGTTGGCATCGGCCATTAGTTTCTCCTTGCCACTGCTCCCAGTCAGTCGGTCATCCTGAATGCGACATCTCGCGTGAAAGGTGCTCGTAATAATCTCGATCTCGGTCAGCAGCTTGGAATCAATATTCAACGACTTGTTGTTGCTGAAACTCTTCCGTCGGTGTCTGCGCCTCATCCGGGACACTCCGGACACATAGCTACTGCACATGCTGGCCGCCGACGAGCGGCGGGATTTAATTTTGCAGGAGGATTTGCTCGGAGCCGGAGTCTCCTTTCGCTGATTCATCATCTTGCTGATGAAGTTATCCGGATTTGTGTTGGCCAAGCTGCTCCCGCGACCGAAATACTGCCCGGTCGTCACGTAACGATTAATTTCCCCGTACTTCTTGCTGGCACTCGTCGTGGGCAGGCTCTGTAAGCTCGGCTTGCTGATGTACTCGTTGCTCTCCTCGCTGCTCTGGCCCAGGGATAGGCCAGCCAACTGCAGGATGTCCTGATCCTCGACCGGGTCGTCTGCAGCGCTCTTCAAGAGCATGGATGCCCTGCGCTTCCGCCTCATCCGAAGGCCGGACTTTCCGGACTCCTTGCAGTCACTGCGGTAGCCACAGCTCTTTGCCCTGCTGCGGCGACTCATACAGCTTTTGGTGCTGTACCGACTCTTGCAGCTGGCGTCGGACTTGTACCCCGAATTGTGGTTGTGGGCGCTCCTCTGATGCCTCACGCTTCCGTAATCCGACACGTAGCCGCTCTTGGCGGCCAGGATCTTGCTGCAAATGGTGGTGCCCGGTCCAGGGCCACTAGCTGCTCCAACACTCATGCTTCTCAGCCGGAACTTTTTGTTTACATCGATCTCCCGCCACACAGGATCCAGCTGGAGTTCCTCCTTGGCGGACGAGCTGGAGGCGGTTTTCTTATTATTCTGCCTCCGCTTGCTCCTTGGCGGCGGGTACAGAACCCGCTCCGTGGCGTACATACGTTTGTCCAAGTACGCCATATCCATCTTGGGCTTACTGCTGGACGCCGGCAACTGCGCTCCCGTGGGCACAATGTTCTCCGTTTGCATTTTGGGGGAGGGCGTGGTGCTTTGCGTAGTGCTGGTGGTGCTAATTACACCCGAATCTGCAGACTCATTGACGGCAGGCCCAGAGTTCACGGGGGGAGGAATCGTGGGAATCACTTTTTTCGGTCTACCTCGCCGCTTCCGAGGATTGGCAGCCTGCAGGACGGTTTCCTCTTTGGCTTTAGCATTGGCCACTGTCCCTTCAGGAAGTTTTGCGTTCCCGCTTTGACCCAGCATCTGAGTCTTCTCCATGAAGTCCTGTAGCAGCGTTGACTGATACTGGGGTACATTTTTGGCCTTGGCCGCCTTCCGAAAGCTACCTTCCACTGTTGTGTCCTCCGTATCGCTTTCCACCCGCTTGATGGCCGCCTGCACAAGGCTGGGCAGCTCGTTGTCGCTGGAGGAGATGCCAATGTCCAGGGCGGGCTTGCTGGCGGACTGGGCCGCCTGAGTGATGGCCGTTAGAAGCAGTCGAGGTGCCCTCTGCTGGTGCACCTTCAGCGGCAGGTCGTCCTCCGAATCCGAGGAGAACGCCGAGACCTGTGCGCTGTGCTTCTTGATCTTAGATCTAGACAAACTCTCCGACTTGCTGATCGCACTCGTGCTGGGAATCTTCTTGCGCTTGACTTTCACCTTCTTGCTGCTGGCCGCTTTGTTCTTGGCCTCGGAGCAGCCGCCGGACTCGGTGTCCTGCGTGGACATCTTTCTAGGCGTCAGGGGATGCTTTTTGGTCGCCACTGGTTTGCTTGCTGCGCTTGCTGCGGTTCCTGCTGCAGCAGGGGCCAGGGGCTGGGGCTGGGGCAGGGGGCGGATGGCTGAGATTCTCATGCGCAGTCCATCGGCATCCGAACGCTGCACGCTGAACTGGGTGGCGGATTTCGCGGACTTCGACTGGCTCGACTGATCCGTAATGGAGTCGGTTTCCTTTTGGGTGAGAAGCATTACACATTATATACCATTACGTACCACTAGGTGGACTTGCCTCATTTTCACTGCCGGATTCTTGTGCGCGTTGCGTTTCCAGAACCTTTGCTGCTGCCGTCTCATTTTGGCCACTGCTCATATTTTGGAGTAGTCGCTTGGGAGCTGCAAGAGATTAGCCAAGGTGTTTTTTGTTGCTCTTTTAATCGCATTTAAAGTAGGTCAAAGCACGCACAGCGACGACGTCCGAAAAAAAAACACCAAGTATTCCCCACTTACGCTTAGTTATTTTCTTGGCACTCTTCACTCGCGGCTTTAATCGAGAGTTGGGTTTTCAGTGAGCGGGCGAACTATTATATTACACATTGCATTTGCACTTTTCTTGCGCCTGGCCGTGGCTTCTAAAATGGCGCCGTTTTCACTTTTCCCTGCTGCTGCTTTGTTCCCGATGACAACGACGCAACGTTGCAACGCCTTTCGCATGTGGCACAGAGGAGTGCGTTGCAGAATCTTGACAACTTCGCGTCGCGGGCAGCGGTGGGTGCGCACTTCAATTGTTATTGTTAATGTGGCGCAACAACAAAAAGCCAGACAACCAAAAATGTACGAACATAAATAAAATTTATTTTGGCCTATTTAAGTGTGCCCGCGTGTAGCGAAGAATTAAATGGCATGACAAAAATACTAAACCCAACGCATATACCAGACTATCGCTCATGATCGAACAATCTGGCAATGTTGACGAAAAGCCTGGAAACGCACGCAGTGATGCCATCCTTTCCGTTTTTGAGCGACCAATGTTGCCAGACCAAGTTGGGAATATTTTTCTGCTCGGTAAACAATTTTGTTTTATTTTGTAAAAAGGCAAGGAAATGAGTGGGAAACCTGCAAAGGCGAACAGCGCCTCCATGCTGTACGGCTCCAGCATATCGGCGGAGTCCATGAAGGTGATCGCGGAAAGCATCGGCGTGGGCTCTTTGTCGGATGACGCCGCCAAGGAACTGGCCGAAGATGTGTCCATTAAACTGAAGAGAATTGTGCAGGATGCGGCGAAATTTATGCATCACGCCAAGCGACAGAAGCTCTCCGTGCGGGACATAGACATGTCCTTGAAGGTGCGTAATGTGGAGCCGCAGTATGGATTCGTGTCCAAGGACTTTATCCCCTTCCGCTTTGCATCCGGCGGCGGCCGAGAGCTGCATTTCACCGAGGACAAGGAGATCGACCTGAACGAGATCACGTCGAGCAACTCGGTGAAGATACCGCTGGACCTCACGCTACGTTCACATTGGTTTGTGGTGGAGGGGGTCCAGCCGACTGTCCCTGAGAATCCGCCGCCGCTCTCGAAGGACTCCCAGTTCCTGGACTCTGTTAACCCAGTGATCAAACTAGACCAGGGCCTGAACAAGGATGCGGCTGGCAAGCCCACCACCGGCAAGATCCACAAGCTTAAGAACGTGGAGACCATCCATGTCAAGCAGCTGGCCACGCACGAGTTGTCCGTGGAGCAGCAGCTGTACTACAAGGAAATCACCGAGGCCTGCGTGGGATCCGACGAGCCGAGAAGGGGCGAGGCGTTGCAGTCGCTGGGATCTGATCCCGGCCTGCACGAGATGCTGCCCCGCATGTGCACGTTCATCGCCGAGGGCGTCAAGGTCAATGTGGTGCAGAACAATCTGGCGCTGCTCATCTACCTCATGCGAATGGTGCGGGCGCTGCTGGACAATCCGTCTCTCTTTCTGGAGAAATACGTAGGCATCTATTGTTAAGACGTGGACTCATATAGATATCTAAGACTTGTTTCCTCTCCGATAGCTGCACGAACTGATACCCTCTGTGATGACTTGCATTGTGTCAAAGCAGCTTTGCATGAGGCCGGAACTGGACAATCACTGGGCGCTGCGAGACTTCGCCTCCCGCCTGATGGCCCAGATCTGCAAGACCTTCAACACCCTAACCAACAACCTGCAAACACGTGTGACGCGGTAACTATCCTTTTCATTGATATCAATTTCAATCAAAATTACTTTCTTGCGTTCCCTCAACTGTATAGCATCTTCAGCAAGGCCCTGCAGAACGACAAGACCCATCTGTCGTCGCTTTACGGCTCTATTGCCGGGCTATCGGAGCTGGGAGGAGAGGTTATCAAGGTGTTCATCATACCCCGTCTTAAGTTCATATCAGAACGCATCGAACCCCATCTGCTGGGCACCTCCATCAGCAACACAGATAAGACTGCCGCCGGCCACATACGTGCTATGCTGCAGAAGTGCTGTCCACCGATCCTCAAGCAGATGCGCGCCGCTCCTGATACGGCGGAGGAGTACAAGAACGACTTTGGCTTCCTTGGACCCTCGTTGTGCCAGGCGGTCGTAAAAGTACGTAACGCGCCAGCTACGAGCATTGTGACCCTTTCGTCCAACACCATCAACACGGCGCCCATCACGAGTGCAGCCCAAACGGCCACCACCATCGGGCGAGTGTCAATGCCCAGTACACAGGGACAGAGACAGGGGTAGGGAAATTGCTTAACTTTTAGTTTCTACACTAATACTATTTCATCTTCAGAAGTCCCGGGGTGTCGGCGTTGCCTCAGATTCGGGCCATTCAGACCAACCAGCCGCCGCAAAAGTTCGTCATTGTCACTCAGAACTCGCCGCAGCAACAGGGCCAGGCAAAAGTTGTGCGTCGGGGCAGCTCCCCGCACAGCGTTGTCCTCTCCGCGGCGTCCAACGGGGCCAATGCCTCCAACTCGAACTCCAATTCGAGTGGCGGTGGAAGCGGGAACGGCAACAGCCTCATCGCCACGCAACGGAGCAACGATAATGTGTGTGTTAGTGCCGGTAGCGAAGCGCCAGCAGATGATGGTATAACAGTTGAATCTTTCAGAGCGCCCTAGATGCCAGCTCGCTGATCATTGAGACGGAAATCGTGCGCGCCCCGCCAGAGCAGGACGATCTCTCGCATCTGGAGTAGCTAACGTTTGCGCGTAGCCTGAATAAACATTTCGTATATGGAATAAATCTAAGAAACAACGGGAACCTACCCCAAAAGTAGTCACTACACAGACAAAAAAATTTATATATCTATATCCTTTTTAAGTGGATTAAATTTTATAGGAATCGTTTCAATTGAAATACATCTGTCTTTAAATTCTAATTTGCGTAACAAACTTTTTCTATCCCGGGCACCCACAGGACACAACCAGTGACAATATTAAAGTAAGATGCGTAACGTCCTTACTTTTCATTTTCAACTTGAACTTTGAACTGAACCTGACTCCAGGGTTCATTGGACATTTTTTGAACATGCAGAATCTTGGCAACACAAAAGTGATAGCAACATGAGTAGATGTTGCTCAACATGTTCCTAGCCAGATTTGCATGGAATCGTTTTCTTGTGCATTCCAGCCATGTAAGATTTAGGTTTTTATACCCAATACTCACATAAATTGGAACATAATAGCCCAACCTTTATTTATTTTATTATCATACATAGGGTAAGGTGGGGTAAAGCCGACAGTGTGGGTAAACCCGACCTCCCTCTGTTTTCGAAAATCGGAAGCACTACGCAAAATAATATTAGTGTTGTCGTGTAGAGCATCGAAAACAATGAAAATGGTGGTATGACACCATTTTATTAGTCAACATTGAGATGGTCAAACGACAACAAGTTTGTTTTCACAATTTTGACTTTCATTTTTGTGCATAATTAACTGCAGGATATTTCTTTTTGTCAAAGTTATCGCATGAAAAGGTAAGTGGATTTAGATTCTTTGAATAAAGTCCTACAAAGTGCATATAAGTTTGGTTCATTTTTTTTCATAATTTCTTTTTTAATTGCGTTTTTATGAAAAATTACGTCGTGGGCAAATCCGACCTCTAAATAGTAAGGTAAATCCTGCCGCAAAAAATCCAAAAAAAAACAACAATCACACCAAAACCATCAACATCGCAGCCAACCAGACGTTCAACTCGAACCAAAAAACGCCAGCAAGCTATTTGAGCAGCGAATCAGATGATACTGATTAATTCTTTTGCTATTTTCATTTTTTTTAATTCTATTATCTTTATTACCATTATATAACATAACTTTGATTGATATATCATTGCAAAAGCTATATTTAGGTTATATCTGTACTAAATCAAGCAAAAACATAGGCGGTCGGGTTTACCCCATCATTTTTGAACATAGCAAAAATGAACTTTTTCGTAAAACGCTTGTGTCTCAAAACTTTTCAAAGGTATGAATAAAATGCTATGCATAGAAAGTTGCGCAAAGGTCTAACCTTTAATTTGGTATATATAAAGACTTGATCCGATGTAAAATAAGCATTTTATAGCCAAAACCATTTACTAGGTCGGCTTTACCCCACCTTACCCTAATATTTTGTATTACTAAATAGGTTCATTTTGTTTCCAGTGCACACCATTCAACCCAAGTACATTCAAAAACCTGGCTACGCAGCTACCACGCATGTGCGAGCCTGTGCCTCTCAAGTGGCTGGTTATTGATTTTTCCACCACATTCCACGGCAGACGCACAAAGAGCTCTGCTCAACAGTCCTTACAGTACATACCGATACCCAACGGAGGACAAAGGCCCAGCACGGACCATTTCTTGCGGAATTTTCAAAACTCCTAGGAAAACTATAAAAGAAAAAAAAAAAAACAAAAATGCATGCCAGATTTGCGGATCCCGAACCTGCGTCTCCGGATAGTCCGGATGGAATCGAAACGGAGTCCCTGGAAGCCCGAATCGAGGCGTTTAAACAGAATCCCCAGAACATGGACGCTCTGCGGGAGGTGCTCGATGATGTAGTCCAGCGAGCTGAGACGGAGGCCAACAGGCGAGTTGTTGAGAGCCAGAAATCGCAACAGGTTGACTACGCATATTTGACTATAATTCAAGCTACATAGACTTAAGCACTTTTAACTTCTTTTTACAGGGCAAGGAAAAGCGACAGAGTAAGTACCCGCCGTGCGGTTCAATAACTTGTATTGCTTTTTAGCTTCTGTGACATTCCCCCTATGGCCGCCGCATCTTGGCTTTGCTCCTTGTAGGCTGTGTGTGTGTGAAAATCGAACAAAGAAGGTTGAAAGGTTGCTTAAAGCCTTGAATGTGTGCCAAGAATCGAGGGCAGGCTCGAACCAAGCATACAAAGCAGCTGTCCAAGTGCATTAATCTTAGCCTTCGCGCTTTGTGCAGCGTTGACAAAGGATCAGAGTTCGCGATGGGTTCATAGATGCATAGGGCCAGTTCACAAAAAAGCATGAATCGAAGGTTGAAAATGTTTATACATATATGTATGCATATTTTGTACATTATATACTTCATGTAAATACATATATGTATAATTGTTTTCAAAGATTTTATTTCAATATAATGGGATAAACTTATTCAGTTTTTTAACAAATAAAACACAAATCCGTTGCATCCTTTTCCTTTTAATAAACGTCTTATTGTTTAAGTAACCCAGTGAACCAACAGACCGTAATAAAACGAAATTATCGCTAAATACATTCGTAAACGCACTATATAAATCTGCGAGTTTTGACGAATTCTCACTAAATTAAACGGCAAACGGACTCAGATAAGAACATTTACTAAACAAAAACTGAGAGAGATATGCATATTTCAACCTTCATGCCAGTTTTTACTTATTTTTGTTGATTTAAACATAAATATATTAGAATTGTCTCGCCGATATCATTAAAGACTCTTAGATGATCCTTGGATCCTTCGAGCTTTAGAAAATGAAACTTACACTGTGTGACCTGTGATTGGTTTTCGGATCTTGGATCTTTTGGACTTAAAGTCGATGTACTAATGGAAAGTAAAGAGTTTGTCCGGACCATATAGGGGCATAATCAGGCCATTTTAGGATTGACTATAAGCCATACCAGGAGCCTGAAAGAGCCTAAATGGGGGGAAGTAAGGTGGCAGATGCCATTAGCGGCGGAAGGTCCAGTAATTACTACAACATTTTTCCCCTGTCGAATGTGCCAGTTCGAATTGCATGACCATATTTTGTTGCACTTAACTTGTCTTTTGCCTTCTCACTGAACTTGGTTTTCGTTTTCTCGTATTTTTTGCTCTCTGCATGATGCACTAATCTCTCAGGTTTCGCCATACCAGATTTTAAGAACGGCAAGGTGGTGAACCGTGCCCGCGGATTCGTGGTGCGTATCTTCGATGCAATCTGCAATTGTGCCAATAACAATGCAGCGGCGGCCACGACGCGCTTCAAACTGAGGAGCAACAGTGGAGGAGGCGGCGGAGTTGCAGGGGCCTCTGGCAATGGCAAGCGACAGCAGTCCCAGGATGAGCCAGAGACCCTGATCCTAACCAAAAAAAAACCCTCCGAAGGAAAGAAGAAGAAGGGCGTCAGCATGGCCGATGACGTTCAGGCTGGAGTTCGACTAATGGACTAGGCTAGCAATAAAGGATGAGTGTGATCCTAACATAATCAAAACTATAACCATCTCCGCCCCGCAAACACGGTCTGTAGCCCATCAACCAACATCTTGTTTCATCCTAAGTCCTAAAGGTTTTAAGGGCCTTGCCCAGAAGCATTTCTTTTGCTCAAAAGTCGAAGCACAACAAAAAATTCCACTTTGTCTTCCCCTGAAGACCTAAATTATCATATAAGATATTAAGCCTCGAAACGTTTCCAAGTCTAGCCAGTTCAAAACCATACATGGTTTATAATTTATATTTATTATCAATTATAAATTTCTATTCAAATTCGATTTATTTAATTAGAAGCTCCCAAAAGATGTTATGATAATCATATTATCAAACCAAGAACCACTGATTATCAGGAGGTATTCTTAACATTTAAAAAAAAGGCTTCTACCCGAAAAGATGTGACCAAAAATATGTTTGGTTTTAGAATTTATATTGTCCGTCTTTAATTTTCAAATGATATCGACTTGGAAACGTTGATGGGCAGCTTTAGCTCTATACTTTATTATTTGTAAAACCTAAATGTGATCCCCGATGGAAATTTAAGCAAAAGAACTCGAAGCACAAACCACTACGTGGTTAGATAGGGAAAGAGAAATGTCGTATATAGTATATATGTCTAACTTTATCTTCGAGGCTATCCCACGCACAACACAATCAAATGTAGACGTTACAGAATCCCAGGTGGTACCAATGCCAAGTTGAACAACGGGCCTGTCAATCTCCACCTAATTATAACTGTACGATATATCAAATTATATACCAACATATATGTGTATACCTAGGCGTGTGCCGCGATTCTATTTAGATGGGTGTGTAGTAGTTACAAAATATTTTCAAACAAGCTAACAAGAGGTTCAATATACAAGCATGAATGTGTACTGATTTTATATACAATGTAACTAACTAACTAACTATTATAAACATACATGAATGTGGACATGTTTAGACCTTTAGTTGATTACACTGAGCCACCTCCTAAGAGCCGCACCGGTTTCCTCCAACATCCTCCTCATCAATGTCACCAGAAACCACAACAAAAAACACGCTTTATACCGATATATTTTGTGAGGCCCTTTTTGAGAGATCTATAAAGACACTATTCTATACCGAATCCGAAACTTGAGGAGATTAGTATGAGAAATGCATAGCTAACGGGAGAATGAGAACTTTGTACACGTATTTGCAAGGCAACAATTTTGTATGAGATTTCGCATTTATTTTGTAACCTCCCAAATGCAAAGATCTGCCTGAGTTTAAATGTGTTGCTATATAAAAAAGCCAAGTGAATATTTATAAATTATAAACTGTACAAGTATGCGTAATGCAAGTATAACACTGTTGTATTTAGTTAACAATATCAGCAATAAAGAGTAACAATGTTTGAAATCAAATTGAGACTTTTGACTATTTAACCTTTTTATATTTTTCGAGACTTTTTCAGTTTAAAGATATGAATATTGGACTCTTTTAAATCGCCAGCCATCCAAGTGAAACGCTGGCTTTTATAGGCCCCAGCCACAGACAAAAGATAAGATGCCTAACGCTATAGAACTGGTTCCAGACACAATAAAAATTTGTGCGAGTCTAGCTAGGTCGCATCTTATACCATTTCTACACCAGTGATATACAAGTCCTGTAACCAAGAAATTGCTTTATTCACTTTTTTTTATGAAACTGTTAAGGTGCGAATTAATAAAATGCTTCGAAAAATGTGTCTGCCTTGAATCCTCATAGGTATTTAACCTACGGCCACTTGAAAGTTCCTTCCGCGTTGGCAGCCAGGCACTTGGCTGTTTGAAAAACCCTCTCGCACGACTCCTTGTAAGGCTTATCTGCGGGTGTCAACCACAACTGAGGATTAATAAAGAAAATTCAGAAATCAAAAAGCACTTACGCGCATCCCTGCAGGCCTCCACTGACCGTCGGGTGACCTCTAACATCTCTGTAGGCACCAGATGGGGAAGCTGCGCCAGCGCCTTTGCGGCATTGAACTCTCCTTTTTTATTCACCGTGCCTGCCATTAGGGATACGCACTTGGTATAACACTGAAGCAAAAACATAAAGTAAATATTATGTTCAGTGGATAGTGATATACCTTTAAAGGTTCAAGGATACTCTACAACAAACACGATGTTAACTTCTTACTCACCATTAAATCGTGTGATGGTTCAAAACTAAAATCTCCATCTCGCAGCCGATCTAAATCCTCATTACGAAGCTTAAACTTGGGGGCACAGCCACTTCTTATCATGTCCAGCGAGGACATAAACTGATCCATGGTCATGGTCATTCCTGGCTCCAGCAAGACCAGAACCTGCAGGACAATGGCCAGCAAGGCGAATGATCGTCGTTTCCAATGTTTCATTGTGGCGGGAACAACAAATGTCGACTATTCTACGGAAGGGGAACCTTTATAGGGTCTTTATTGGGTTGACCAGGTGGCAATTAAAAGCCAGCTCCGGTAATTAAGCAACGCACTTGCACGCCATTTTTAACCAGTTAACAAATCGGAAGCTGCATGCGATATATGTACATCGTAGTATTCATATGTACTTACCGTAATGTGTGCTCTCCCTCGTATCTTTAAAGTAAATAATTTGGAACTTTTAAATAAAATCACTTTCTTTAATAGCCTATAAAGTATTATACAATATAGGATGTAAGAAGTTAATTTATTAGCTCTTATTGATTGGAAGATGCCACTATGATGGCTTTTTTGAATCATATTATGCAACAACCAATTCCTGTTAACCTAAGGCCATCTAAATAATCCTTCGCCATTTTCAGCCAGGCACTTGGTTGTTTGGTAAACCCTTTCGCAAGGCTCCTTGAATGCTTTATCTGCGGTTGACCAATTATATAAGATGTGTTAAAAAGGTCTAAGACTGAAGCTTTACTTACGCGCATCCTTGCAGGCCACCACCGACCTCTTGGACATATCCATCATTTCCGTCGGAACCAAATAGGGGAGCTGGGCCAGCGCCTTTGCGGCGTTGAACTCTCCTTTTTTATTAACCGTGCCAACCATCAGGGATATACATTTTGTATAGCACTGGAAAAAAATGTACTTAAGTGACAGCCGAAAGTTTGAATCCCTAAAACATTTGTACTACTGATGATCATCCACCGCCGAGTCCATGCAGATTAGTCTCTCGGGCTTAGAGTCATCTTGATCTGCTGCATATAAAGATTTTGTTGCACCAGACCTACCATTAAATCGTGCGAAGGCTCAAAATTCAAATCACCTACGCGCAGGCGATCGAGATCTTCAACACTAATTTTAAATTTGGGCGCACATCCATTGCGCATCATATCCAGCGAGCTCATGAACTGATCCATGGTCATTGCCATTCCGGGAAAGGGTAGCAGTAAACCAAGCACCAGCAGGATAATGACCAACAAGGCGGACGAATGTCGTATCCTATACTTCATAATGACGGAAACGAAATACGTCGACAAGCCTGTGAAGGGTGGCCTTTATAGACCAACCTATTGAACGGATCAGGTGGCTATTAAATGGGCGGGACTGGTAATTAATCAAGAAAGAATTACCCTATAGGACAGCAAAACTTTAATATGCACGCCTTGTACCCCATAAAGTGCAATTAATGTCAGACTTAACAACAGGCCTGTCTATATCCCTCTAATTATAAGAGTGCGATATGACAAATTAGGTTATTAAGTTAACGATAGGAGCAACAGGGTGTAAAAAGGTTTAAATTGGACCATCTCTCTATTGCATCTACCATATACCGGAATGGATCTGATCGGTCCACCTACCAGAAAAAAACTAAGAATATATTCAACAGTATATCAAATCAATTTATGTACTGGGACCAGTTTACAGAAAAGGAAAAGTCGCCAAAAACAACATCTAAGTGTGTTAGGTTTTTGGTTATTGTTTTTGCTTATCGAGGTCTAATTTAATACACAATAATATTAGGACTTTATTTTGAAATTATAAGCAAGTGCTGCAAATATGGTATGTTTTTACATTATATATTTATTTTAAACGTATTTAAAGTAAACTATTTAGTCGTGATGTGTGTAGTTTTTAGATATTATATGACAGAACCTTTCCTGATTCCAGTTTTCGCATGCAACTTGTAACTTATTACTGTTTTGATGTGCAAGCGTCAAACAGCAATTAAATATAGAAAATACAAATTCGTAACGTCTTACTTCTATGGAAGCAAAACCCACCGGACCGGATCATTAGCAATGCACATCACGTTTCCCTCGCCTGGAATTGGAGAATCGGAGTGGATCATCAATTCGAAACTGTGCCCCTGGAGCCAAGTTGCGTCATACTTGGTTGTAGCTCAGTTGTAGTTTGCAACATTTTGATAAAATACCATGCGAAATTGGGTCTATCCTCATAAGCATTAAAGGGGACCGGCATTACAGCGGCTCGCTCTCTCAGTCCGGAGATAAGCCAAACGCAGAAAGTACTCAGAGTACTTTAGCATTCATGATAACTACGAAGTATATAAGTGGCAGTTCCTATCCCAGAGAGCTTCTGTCTGCGAACCGAGCTTACAGCTACGCGACGGGACTGGTCGTCTCTTTATAAGCCAGGAAAACCCGAAAGTGCCAACGCACCGATCAAGTTCATAAACAGGGCTCAAGGTAAGAAATAAGTTAGCTGATCCCACCTGAGTAGCTACACTAAGTAGCTATATACAGTCGGATCAGTAGCGCCGGAGAATTGCGCATAGCAGAGCGGGTTTAACTGTCAACGGAAGCGGCACGCGATAAAAAAAAGTCTAATAGTTGGCAAAAAATCTCAAAATGAAGGCCTTTTTCTGGACTTCATTGGCTCTACTGGGCTTTGTGAGCTTCCAACAGGTGTTGGCCAAAACTGTGTCCAGTGATTACATAGGTAAGCTTGTATTTTTTCTAATACACAATAAGATAAGCTAATTATCAGCTATCAATTACTATAAAGACCTTCTCGACTTGAGCGATAATGATGAGTTCCAATGGGGAGAGTCCGAAAACCAACTATACAGCCAAGGAAATCACAGCAAGGAAAATGGCGATGCGAATTATCTGACACACCACCGTCTTAACAAGCGACAAGCTCCCGCCTCCCAGTTGCTGGTGAGTCATCTCATCAAATTTGCGTATCTTCATAATAACTATATTTATCATGTGTAGGAGAACAAGGATTATGGTCCCTGCAGCACTCCGCTGGGTGAATCTGGCCGCTGTCGACACATCATCTACTGCCGCATGCCGGAGCTCAAGAATGATGTATGGCGCCTAGTCTCCCAGCTATGCATAATTGAGAAAAGGTGGGTTGAAGAACCGGAACCGGAATATTCCGTAATACACTTTTCCAAAGGTTTTTCATGCGGTTAACTCAATCAATTTCAGGGTTTTGAGATAAAAGTACAATATATACTACTGATTTTGGGTACTTTTAAGGTGCTGTAACATCAATACAAGTTGTTTTCAAAAGGATGTTACAACATCTCAGAGAAAAATTCTTGCCACTCAAAAAAAAAAATTGTTTTTAAAATTTTTAAAAACTTCATGGGTTTTTGAGATATTTGCTTTTGAATTTAGATCGTCATTTTTCGCAAGACACCTCTTGTATTATCTTATAAAATATTACATTATTTTGAACTACTGGACCTTTCATTTGGCAGTCCAAAACTTTGATTTATTCGAACTCGTTAGCATCACTGGCTTAGATATTAATTCAAAAGAAGAACAATATTTTGTGATAACATAAGGATCGTTTTTAAAAAAACAATCGTATTTAAGTTACAGCACCTCAAACGTACCCTTAAACCGTAATTTTGACACTTTTAAAATGGAATATCTCAATAACGCGACGTTTTACATATATGTATATAACTTTCTGAGGTCGGATTCGAGTTCATCAGAATCCTTTCGGTTCTTATATCCAAAAAGATGTGGGCCTGTGTAATATTAAGCGCGATATTTTTACTATACTTCATGTTGGAATTTTATCCATATATGTTTAATACTTACGATAGGATTGGATGCGCGCTGTTGCTATTGTCACAACTCGTTAGTGATAAAAAAGTTATATACATTTTAACGAAACTTGATCTGGGTTTAGTTTAAACAATATATAAAATCCCCTACACTGGCTTTTATAATCTTTAACTTACTTATCAAGCTCGTACTTAATCACAGTCCTAAATATGTACTTCCTCCGTAGCTCCATAGGCATTTGCTGTACTGATCAGATGACCAGCAACCGCTTAAGCCCGCAGATCGTGACCAGCCAAGATCAGGACGAGCCGCGCATCGTGAACAAACCGGAGCAGCGTGGCTGTGGGATTACCACTAGGCAATACCCCAGGCTCACTGGAGGCCGGCCAGCCGAACCGGACGAGTGGCCCTGGATGGCAGCCCTACTAAGGGAGGGTCTTCCCTTCGTGTGGTGCGGTGGTGCCCTGATCACCGACCGCCATGTCCTCACCGCCGCCCACTGCATCCACGGCAAGAAAAAGGAGGATATCTTTGTCCGATTGGGCGAGTACAACACTCACATGGTGAATGAGACGAGGGCGAGGGATTTCCGCATTGCCAATATGGTCCTTCACATTGATTTCAATCCACAAAACTACGATAATGATATTGCCATTATCCGGATCGACCGAGCTACGCTATTCAACACCTACATCTGGCCAGTTTGCATGCCACCGGTGAATGAGGATTGGACGGGGAGGAACGCCATTGTTACGGGTTGGGGCACTCAGATGTTCGGTGGGCCTCATTCAAACATACTAATGGAGGTGAGTATTATATTATTGCCTACTTTAATTTTAGCTTAGACCAGGGCATTTCGGCAGAAAAGTCTGCCGCGGCCAAAAAAGTAAAAGTTCTTAAAAATCTTTTCTTTTTTGTTTAATAGTTACATTAAGAAGTGTTTTAAAAAGATATCGAAGTTTTCGAAAGCAATGTAGCTTAAACTTGATTTTCCTTTTTTTTTTTATGGAAAACATCATAAAAGGTCATGTTTTTTGGTTGATAACACCTTTTAAACCAGAGGCATTATGCTATTATTTTTTCCTTTTTACTTGTACATTACAAAAGAAAATAAGCGATTTGCAATAACAGTTCAATTTTTTATTGTCGCTTTCTTTTATGAATTGAATTAAACTAAGAATGCTAATCATTAAAAAAAAATCCATTTTTAATTGGCATTAGTGCAAAATTATTCCCATTAAAAGCCGCTGGATCTTTAGAAATTTTTGCGGTTGAATTGGTCGACCTCAAAAACCATCTCCGTTTTTATTGCGTGTGAATTTTGCAAAAACCTTAAAACAGAAAAATTAACCAAATTTAATATTTGGACCAATGAAAGGAGCTAAATAAAACGCTAAATGTTACGACCTTCAAAAAGCGTTTTCCTTTCTACAGTATATTATAGAGAACACTTTCTCTGGCTCCAGACTCGCTTGTGTACTGTCGTTTCTTTATCTATTTTTATCTAAAGTAACCGTAGCAACTGTAACTTTTAAAACGTTTATAATAATAATACATTAAAGTTTTTAACCTTATAAGGCAACCTTAAGGGGGGATATACATGTAAACCAAAATTTTTTGGGCAAATTTTTTTTTTGGTTTAAAAAATAGTTAATTATTTAAAGAATATAGTGTGTAAGTTTCATAATCGAATTCCAACTCTAAGTGCCTCAAATCAAGTATGCACGCAAGGTTCACAAGTGTTAACGTGGGCGCATCAAAAACTTTAAACGTCTTTTTCTCAGCTTCTAATTTTTGAATTTCTACCTATGCTATGGACACGATTCCCAAAAAACTATGTAACATATCGGAGTGAATCAAAAATTATTATGATCAGCATGAAATTATCTTCTATTTGAACCTACATGGTTGTTATAAAACTAAGTATTACTATTTTTTAAGAGGGTGGGAAGTGAAAACTGATCACCTAAAAATGGCATTTTTTCCGTCAAATCAAAATTTATTTTTTTCGTCTTGATTTCTCTTTGATTTTTTAGGTTCAAATAGAAGATAAAGGTGTAATGAATACAAAAAAATTTAGTTTACGGATTTCGGACAGGAATTACGAGCTCTATCGTGTCCATAGCACGGCAACTCGAAGCTCGAGGCGCTACGGCATATGTTCCATAAGTCCGCCATTTTATAAAATATTGTTTATAACTAATTTTTTTTATCATCTCTAATTCTACTTTTAACTATTTCCAAAGTTTCACGACGATTTCTTGACTATTTCTTATAAAAAAAAATTCACGAAAAATGGCCAAATTTTGACCGCTTACATGTATATCCCCCCTTAATAGCTCGTTATAGAATCTAATAAAAATAAAATATTTGTCCACTTTTAGGTCAACCTACCAGTTTGGAAGCAGTCCGAATGTCGCGCCGCCTTAGTTCAGCACGTTCCTGACACCGCCCTGTGTGCTGGATTTCCCGATGGTGGACAGGACTCCTGTCAGGGCGATAGCGGGGGACCGCTGCTAGTACAGCTTCCCAATCAGCGCTGGGTCACCATTGGCATCGTGTCCTGGGGCGTCGGCTGCGGCCAGCGCGGCCGTCCGGGTATTTACACCCGTGTGGATCGCTACTTGGATTGGATTTTGGCCAACGCGGATACCTAAGGTATAAGCCGGGCTGTTGATAGTTTGTCAGTGCATTCAATTTACTTGGCATTATGTTAAACAAATGCTACGACCTAAATACACGAATTAACCTGATAACGATTGATGTCAATATCAAAAATATGCACACCAGAACCCCGGAACAACCCCCTAGCTAAGACTATAGTTAATGCCAAGCCTCTGCCTTGGCCGCGGCCGCGCTGGAGACCTTTCGCTGTAGCGGCTCGTGCTCGACTTCGGTTTTGCTCGTCGTCTTGGTGGCATCGGAGAAGGCTATTTTATAGACATCGTCGTAGGTGGCGGCGAAGTGCACCTCTAGCCCCTCGGTAATATATGAAGGCAGCTCCTCGAAGTCCTTCTTGTTATCGACGGGCAGGATTAGGCAGTTGACACCACTACGACGGGCCTGAAAAGAGGAAGAACCCATTTGTAGCCCACAACAAGATGTATTTATAGGGTTAGCTTACGGCAATGGTCTTCTCTTTGATGCCTCCAACGGGAAGAACTTTTCCCTTCAGCGACACTTCACCTGTCATTGCCACATCTTGCCGCACTGGCTTTCCCGTGGCCAGGGACACCAGGGCTGTGATGAGGGTGATGCCAGCGCTGGGCCCATCTTTGGGTGTTGCACCCTCGGGCACGTGGACGTGGATATGCCTATAAAGACCATGAAACGTTGTAGTATTTCAATTGGGGAAAACGGAGCCGGAACCCATGAAGGGATAAACAACTTGGCCTTCTATTTTTTGCAACACTCACTCTTTCTCCAGGAACAGATTCTTTGGATCCAGCGAGTGCAAAAAGTTACGCGCCACGGTCAACGCAATTTGGGCCGACTCCTTCATGACATCCCCCAGATTTCCGGTGATGTGCAAGGTGCCACCAGCAGCAGGCGTGTCCGCTTTCTCTCCATAACGTATGTGTCGCTTGGATGTCTCGATGTAGAGCGAGGAGCCTCCCATGGCCGTCCAGGCCAGACCCATGACCACGCCAACCGGCGTGGTTTCGTACATGCGATCCGAGCTAAAGATCTGCTTGCCCAGGAATGTCGTCAAGTTGTCTGCGTTGACTGGGAAGTGCTCGCCCTCCTTCTTGACCAGCCGGAAGGCCACCTTCCGAATGACCTTTTCGATGTGCTTTTGCAGATTGCGAACGCCGGACTCCCGGCAATAGCTGCGGATCAGCATGTTCAAGGCGTCCTCGCTGATGTTTATCTGCTTATCCGTCAGTCCGCAGTCTTTCATGGCCTGCGGCATCAGGTACTGGCGGGCTATAGCGATCTTCTCCTCCGCCACATATCCAGACATCTCAATCAACTCCATGCGATCCCTCAGCGGCTCGGGGATGGTGTCGATCACGTTGGCCGTGCAGATGAAGAGGACTCGCGACAAGTCCACTGGAACGTCCAGATAGTGGTCCAGGAAATTGGCGTTCTGTTCAGGATCAAGGAGTTCCAGCAAGGCCGAGCTGGGATCGCCCTGATAACCCCTTTATAAATTTACATTTTATAAAACATTGGACTTTTATGGTATTTTTTTAGTTTTGTCCTTACTTGCCAATCTTGTCCACCTCGTCGATGAGAACCAGAGGATTCTCGATCTTGGTCTTCTTCAGGCACTGAATCAGCTTGCCTGGCATGGCACCCACATAGGTACGCCGGTGTCCCTTGATCTCGGCCACGTCCGTCATTCCGCCCACACTGAAGCGGAAGTACTCTCGGTTCAAGGCCCGAGCGATGGACTTGGCTATACTGGTCTTGCCCACGCCGGGAGGCCCATGGAAGCACAGTATCTTGCCTTGGGTGGTGCCTTTTAGGGAACTGACGGCAATGAACTCCAAAATACGCTTCTTGATGTCCTCCATGCCATAGTGGTCGTTGTTTAGGATTTCGGTGGCCTTGTCCAGACATAGATTTTCGGTGCTGATCACTCCCCAGGGCAGGGATGTGAGCCAGTCGAGGTAGTTGCGGGTTACACTACGTATTAAAGGATAGTTTTTTATGAACTAAGTCTTTTCAGAACGTTCTTAATACTCACTTGAACTCAGAGCTGTGACTCTCCAGGAAGTTTAGCTTGGCCAGCTCCTCGTCAATAACCGTCATTATGCTTTCAGGAACGGTTTTATCCTTTAGTTTTTCGCGATACTTCTCGCCAATGGCGTCTTTGTCGTCTTTTTCGATACCCAGCTCCTTTTTGATTACCTTCAGCTGCTCCTGAAGTATATACTTACGATGCTGCTGCTTGACCTTCTCTTCCACCTCGCGACCAATCTTCTGCTGCAGTCGCGACAGTTCCAGCTCCTTCTTCAGCAGAGTCAAGGCCAGCTGCAGGCGTTCTGGAATCTGACAATCGAAAATAACTTTAGAAAATATATTACAGCACTGACGACACTCTCAATTACATCCGTTTCTTCGAGGATCTTTTGGAGCTCAGCGGGCTCGCCAGCCGAAAGGGAAGCTCCCAGGTCGCAAAGATAAATTGGATTGTCAACGATTCTTTGGTTCTGGTGTAGCATCTGCTGGAGACTTTCCCTAGAACAAGGCATACAAGTATGATAAGTCGGCCGCCTGGTTTCTATTTCAGGGTGACTTACCTATACAATGGATTCATAGTTATAATATCCCGAAGAGTCTTGATTATTTCCTGGGTCAGGGCCTTGACTTCTTCGGTTTGCTTGTAGACCGGTTGCTTAACGTTTTCAACCTCCACAATGAGCACTGGCAGGGGGCTCGACGATGTTTTTGCGGCAACTCCTTCGACATCAGCCTCGGCAATGGCTTCGGCCTCCACTTTTTTTTCTTCCACGGGAGGCTTGGGCACACTCACGTGCTCGACTTTGCCTGACCGCAATGGCGGCTCCTGTGTCTCTTTCTGAACCATTTCCTCCTGGGCTGCCGGTTCGTTTAATTTTCCAGCCTGTCGCCTTGGAACCCTTCCACGGGGCTTGCGGGTCGACTCGTATCGCGACCTCGCTGGCGCTGCCTCGGCTTGATCAGTCGATTGATCTTCAGCTGGGATGTTTAATTTAATATTAAATAGTGGATAATGCAAAGTTGTCATTTTCACTAAGATCAAGAACATATGTATGTCACAACATGTGGGCGCTTAGTGTATGTCGGGGCGCTTACCGGGCTTGGGAGTCGGCAGATCCTCGATGACCTGTCCTGTGATCCGAATGCGTCGATGAGCAACGACCACCATGCGCAACTTGTCGCCCAGGTCCTGCAGCTCCTGAATTTGCGCAAAGGTGCCGATGCTATAGACATCATCCAAGTTGTGGATCAGCTCCTCCTCGCCATCGGTTTTCTTGAGAAAGACGCCCACGTAGGGTTGGTTTAGCTTTACCTTGCGTCGCAGCAGTTCCATGACGATGGGATTGGAAACCTTGGGAATAAGTGTGCGCATAATTAGCAATGATATTCTATTAAGGAACGTCCGATAACGTTACCTCCACAATCTTCATGAAGCGCGGAAACAGCGGATTCTTGCCCATTGCCAGTAGCGGAACGTGTGGCCATACGTCCGGAACCACCAGCGTGGCCGGCAGCTGCGAGTTCCGCTCGGCCATTAGTTCTATGCCCTGTCCCTCCTCCATCAAATCTTCCTCGGAGTCATCGCGCTTTCGGGCGTAGAAGCGCTTCACCATCATACTGGCTCCGTGAAAGCGCTGCAAGTGCGTCGCCCGATTCCGGTAGAGATGGATCAGGGAGCTGGGAGATGGCCGGTTTACGGACCACACCGACGTCGAGGCGATGCCCCGCACCATAGGACGCACTCGGATAGCGCGAGCTAACATCCTGTTAACAGTTCCACCTCGCAATTTACTTAGAAATAATTCAAAAACTATATAAAAACAATTTGCAGTCCAAATGTGTGTGGAGAGTGATTATGTGACAGCGGCCGATAAAATGACAGCAGATGGCAGTGTTGGAAATCGAATGCGCCTGACTCCTGCACAGTGGGCACACCAGAAAGTGCAGAATGATTAAAAACAGGGAAGGATTGTGAAATACTTTCAAAACACTGATGGTCAGAAAACTATACTCGTTTCAGTTCTTAATTTTTTTTAAATTTAAAAACAAATTATTAATTACAAAAATTGGCAATTACCTATAAATTAATATTAAATAAAATTAAAAAATTAAGGTTTCTTAATTTTAAATACAAGTTGAATTAAGGGATATGATTAAACACTGATGGTATTGTGAAATTCTGATAGATAATAATAACTATTTATGGATTTCAAGACAAATTAGTTCATTTTGAAAAATAAAATAAACAAATTAAAGTTTTTTAATTATCAATACAAATCGAACTAAGCTACTATCGCGAAATTAAAAGAAAAATTAAATATACATTTGTAAAACCTTGTTATTTTTCAAATATTGTAACATGAAATATACATAGTTTATATTTAAGAATTTGAAATAATGCTCTTATCATAGTAAATGTACACGAAATTTTAAAAATACAAATGTAAAGTGTACAATCTAAAAGTTAATTATTTCGATGTGGTTTAACAATTAGCAAATTACCTGAACGGTTTATTAAGATCTTTAAATATAATTGACTATTATATTATATAGCTGCAAATTTATATAAAGACCTATAAAATATAAAAAGGTTCGGTGTTTTTAAACATAAATGTTCACTACTTTTTTATATCTAGACAAACTCTATTTCATGTAATCTAGTATACCCTTGTATACAGGGTATTATTCCAACTGACATATAACGACACTTTGCACACTGTGCACCCAGTGCTGAAAAGCGGTGAGAAGGAAGAGCGACAGGAAGAGGCAGCAGAAAAGATTGTAGAAAATTGTATTCAACTGCATTTAACCATGGTTTCGCGATTCGACCAACAGAAGACCAAGCACCAGCTCTTCCATGTGTCCCTCAGCCTGGCCACCATTTTGATATGCATGACGTATATGCAGTATCGTCGGAACTGGGCTCATCTCGGCAGCTTCTGGGATTCGCTGGTAGTCCCAATTGTATTTATCGGCGAGCTCCTGAAAGTAGTTCTGGCGCGCTTCTACGGACGAATTGAGGATGGTGTTCTGACCGTGAAACAGCGGCAAAAGAAGGCCACATACTTCACACCGCGGGAGCTGCTCGGGGGCCTTACTCTGCAGTTCCTGTGCACGCTGCTGTATGCTTTTATCTGCATCATCCTGGGAGCACCGGTGCTGGGAAACTACGAACAGACCTTCGTGCTGGCTCTATTGATGACACTGCTCACAGTGTCGCCCACAGTCTTCCTCTTGGGAGGCGGTGGAGCCCTACAAGTTTGCTTCTGCGAGAAACCGGACTTTGTGACCAAGTGCGAGGACACGGCGCTGAATCTGTTCAAGTACAATGCGCTGGGCGGAATTCTAGGGGCCTGGGCCGGTAGTGTGGTGGCGCCGCTGGATTGGGGCCGTGACTGGCAGGCCTACCCGATACCAAACGTAATCGGAGCTCTTTTGGGTAGCGCCCTCGGCAACATCTACGCCTGCACACATGTTCTTTATGCTACGGCCCGGGTGTACATGACCAAGAAACGCTCCTAAGTCGAACAATAAATGCTACTGTCCTGCCACCAAGATTGTTACTTTGCGCTGCCACTGATATCCACAAAAGACAAACCCGCACTGAGCCACGTCATCTAATCCATCTCGTCTAGTCAGCAGCTTAGGAACTACCAAAAAGCAATTACCATACTTTAATGTTGTATATTTAAGCCTTTCCTTAGAATCTAATGTTAATGAATTCTTTTTTAAATCAATCAACTAATAAACTTACAAATTATGAATTTAATCACAAGCGAAAAGGATATTTTTGGTAATTTTCAAATGGTTCTATATATCTGTAAGACCAAGTCGTAGTTTCTTCCCAGATGTGGGTGTTTCTAGTAAAATCGAAAACCTCTTAAACCAAATAGAAAGGCAGAATTTAAAGCTTTTAAAACACAAGATTTTTGTTGCATAATCAAGCCGATTGAGACACAGACAATATATGTAATTATTTGCAAACAGATTTAGGCTTTAACCGCCATCACAAAACTCTCATCCTCCAGCAGACAGCGTTGGCCCACATAGACATCATTCGGCTCCCAGTAGTCCTCCTCGTCATCATCGGCCAGGGGCTCGCATGCCTCTTCGTTGTCAACGGCTCCATCGGGAAGAGGGAATTCCTTTAGCTTGTCCAGGGGCTCGTACGAGGACTGCCGCCTCCGCAGAAACGCCTCCGCTGGTGACGCTGGACAGTGACCGGTTTCAAAGAGTTTATAAAGCTTTATGAAATGCAGCCCGCTTGCCAGTCGTAATCCCTCTTCTCGTGCCACCAGAGCACTCCAACTCAGAACGAGAGTAGCATGCGGTATGTAGCCAGCAATGCTGGCATTAAACTCCTCAGTGGAGATATTGGTATTGAAGAACATCGTCTCCTCGTTGGTGAGAAAGCTGTGCGGATCATGCATCGCGGGCATGCCTTGCTCCACCTGCTGTGCGTGCTGCGCTGGCATTACCTTCAAGTGGGAGAGTCGCGATTGCAGCAGGGTCTTGATGGCTGGAATGTCTTGGAATTCTTCTCGTTTCCCCCGCTCCAGCAGGCGACACTGGAAATTGCAGCATATGGAAGACTTGAGGCACTGTGCTCCCGCCTGTCCAGCACCGACTCCCACACTGTTCAAAACTATTAAAGACAAACAAAATGATAAACCAAGGGGACACGGTAATTAAATCAATAGATTACCAAACAGCCTATCCGGACTTAGGTTGAACTCCTTGGAGTAGAGGGAAATCGTGTTGATGTAGACCTCCGCTTGCTCCGTCGAGTGCTGGTTCCTGACGGTCACATCCAGGCCCAGTTCATTCGTCACCGCATTGCTCACCACACACGTGGCCTGTGCTTGCAGGCAACTCTCCACCTGCAGCTGCCATATATGGCGGACCAGGCGATACTTGATGGGTGCACTTCCTCCGGCTGGCAGCGAGTAATAGAAAAGCAGGCGAAGGGTGAAGGGTCCAGCCTGGTGGGGCGCCTGCAGCCACATAGAGATGGTATGGCCCTGCTGTGCATCCAACGCAGCTTGCCCGGGACGCTGCAGTAGTCCGAACACACGCTGTCCTCGGATTTCCTTGTCCTTGACAAGCTTCTCATTGGACAAATTTCGGATGGCTACGAAAAGGTTCTCAGAAATTGGTGCCTTACTTTTCACTGTTTGTACTTACAACTCATCATGGCCAGCGGCATTTGACTGTGCCGGTCCAGGAGAGACACGCATCGCGGATTATCACAGCCCATATAGATTTCTTCAATCGGAGCAATTCCCAGGTTTCGAAGAGTCACAGAGACGGGTATGATTTCGCCGGTCAAAAGCTGACTGGGAACGGGAGTGAAGCTAACGCTCATTGCGGGTTGTTGGGGAACCAATCTAATGGTCAGTCTGTTATCCAAAACCGTCTGCGAGGACTGCTTGGCGTTGTTGGGCCTGATTTGCTGCGTCTCGAACTGCAACGAACCAAGGAGGCTGGCCGTCGGCTCTCCAATGGCTGCGACACGGCAAACAACTCCGAGAATATTCAAGCGGCCGGTTAACTTGGGTGTGAGCTTAAAGTGCAGCGTCACCTCAGCTTGCTCGGCCAGTTCAATAGACGCCACGCAGCTGGTTTTAATTGCTGCTCCAACGGCTATTTTGCTGGCGCTGTCCGATGATTCCCCATATACGCAGGCATTCGAAAGGACCTCCTCGCTGTTGTCCATCGTCAGTTTCCACAGCAAGTCGATCTCTGTGAGCACTATGCCACAACGAACGCTGTTAGACAGGGTTACGGCAAGCTCGATGGGCTCACCCTGAACAGCCACAGGGATTTCCGTTGCCGGCTGTTGCTTAGTGTACAAATATCGAGACGGCTTAAACACAAATGGCTTGTTATTTGCCGCCGTGATAACGAGCATCTCCTCCATCTTGTTCCAGATAGCCTCATCGGCTGTCAGGTTGGAATGGATGTCGATGTTAGTGGCCGGCACTAGCGGCGGCAGGGCTGCAGGTGATTGCACTTGGGTGAGGACACGAACGGAAGATTGTACCACTTGGGGCAAGGCATGCGGCAGTAGTCCCAGCTCAGGATTGCGCTTGAGAAGTTCCTGAAAGAAATGTACGGAATATAAGAATTTTGGTGATAAGTTGATCGATTGCAACTCACATTCTGCGTTTGAATATACTCCTTTAGGAAACTACTCTGCTGCTGGGCACTTTGCAGGCTTCCAGGCCTAAGCAAATGGGCAAAGGAGTGACTGGCCTCCTCCAGTTGCTTCAACATATAGGCCTGCTTGGCCACCGTGTACTGGATGTGATCCTCCGCCAAGCTCCACTCCCGCTTTTGGAAGACCTGGTAGGCCTGACGATAGCAACGATAGGCATGCTTTCTTTGGCCAGCTCTGGAGTAGCGATTGCCGGCTAGGACAATGTGGAAGGCATACTTTCGATGCATGGGCGGTTGGGTGACCAGGAAACAGTAAGCGGCCTGCTCCAGCAACAGAGCTGACCGCAGATCCGACTCCTCATTCGTCATGCGTATCAACTGCTTGGCCACATCACTGTAGAGTCGGGCTGTTTTCAGGCACTCCATGCTGAGCAGCGTTGCCCGCGTGGCAAACTGCTGCAATCTGTAAATAAATAATATGGATTTGATCTATGTATGCGCTAAATTCCAGGAGTAACTCACTTGCACACAGTAAGATAGCACATAATGGCGTCTTCCATGTAGTCGTAGGTTTTGCGATGGGCGGTGCCCAGCATGAATGCGGATAGGGCAGCCATTTCCAGGGCTCCTGCATAGTACTGCCATGCCGAGTCCGCATTGAAGTCCCTTTTGGCCTGATGATATGCTTGGAATGCCAAATTATAATGTCCGAACATGAAGTAGAGATCGCCCAACTTTCGGGTCTGCAGTTCAGCAGATTCGTTGGTATAGCTTTAAACATAAAAGAAGGAAAAACGATATTATAAGAAAGAAAGCTCCTACAGCAGCTATATAATATAGAACCCGGAATTCAGAAATAATAGAAAATGGCCATGTCTCAGAATAGATGAAAATATGTTGAAAGACAGCAAAGTTATAATTTGTTGTCGTAAACATTTTATTATTCTTATGGCAGCTTTATGATAAAGTAATCCGATCCTGCCCGTTCCGACATATATAGTAATATGAATGAGACAGAAGACTATCTTCAAAATTTCATTCAGATAGCTTCAAAACTAAGGGACTAGTTTGGGCAGAACGGACAGACGGACATGGCTAGATCGACTCGGCTTTTGATGCTGATCGAGAAAATATATACTTTATAGGGTCCGTCACTACGTTGCAAACTTCTGACTGAAGATTACCCTGCAAGGGTATAAAAACGTTAGTGTGTTGCGGAGTATTTCCGCAACAAACTATTTAAATGTTAGAAATTAGAAGGTTCTTCAAAAGGGTTTTCTTAAAAAATGTTACATTTGCTGTATGTATAAAACATAGAAAAAAGTTATCAAATACTACGTAGTCTTCAAGATATCTTACATGACTGCATTTTGATTGTTTGCTCCCGCTCCCGGCTTGCTGGTGACGAACCATCTCTTGGTAGCGCTAAGCAGCGACTTGCTTACGCCCTTTTTATTGGTCACACCCTCAGCCAGAATGGCCACCAGGTGCTCAATGTAGGGTATCAGGGCACGCACAGCGTAGTCCTGTACAAAGTGGCGCAGGTTGTCGATATCGCGGGATGTCAGGCAACCGCCATGCGGAGCATCCGAATCCAAATCATTTGCCCATACATTGGGGTTGATGGTCTGGGAGGCAATGCTCTCGCTGCTAATGCTGAATTTGGAATTAATGGCCTCCGTGGCACTCTCCTGCATGGGACTCAGCGGATGCAGCATGGCCAGATCACTGTCCTGGGCGCTGTTTGCTCCCTCCAGCAGCTGGGACATTTGCATGGCGGGCATGCTAATAACGGAGACGGCCTCCTGCGGCGATTTGGGAGCGCTCAAGTCCGTGGAAGGTATGTTCGGATCTCCCTTCGGTTGTCTTTTGATGAAAGTTGCCCAGTAGTCGGGAGCGTCACTGGCACTTTGACCATCCAGCGAGTTAATGGACACCAAGAAGCACTTGCTGTCCCCAAAAGTTGATTTCAGCAGCTCGAATCCCTGCTGAGCCTTGGACAAATCCCCCTGGCTGGCCTCGTGCAGCACCACATAGCTGTTCAGCACCTCAGTGGGATGGAACCACTTTGGCAGCTTTTGAGGCGTGATGCTCTGCATCTGTTGGACGCGTTGTCCCAGCTTGTGAGCTGTCTCCACAATCTGGGGATCCGCGCTGGACAGCACCAGAAGGCAGCTAAGAAGATGGCGGGTGAACTCATGTTCCGCCGGGAATTGAACGGTCAAGAAGGTCTCACGCCATTGCTCGAACCAAGGCTCCGACGTCGGCAACTCCAGGTCGATGTCAGCTGGGGATGAATAATGAAAGCTGCGTTAGTTTTGGGGAGGTATGTATGTATGTACTTGTGGTCTAGTTATAAGGTTCTCCCACCTATTGTGGCTAGTCTGGTTTTGTCATTGTGAGCATTCGTCACCGACTCGTTTAGCATTTTTCTTGCCAACACGGGCTGTGGCGGCCGCCAGTCCACATCACAGAAGTTGAGGCGGAGTCCACGCACAGAAACGCTCGTCCCGGAAACGTCGCGAAAGTGAGCTGAAAAAAGAATTGAATTGGATTTATTGTTTACAATTTATGACTTTCTTGCACAACTACTTCTTTAAAAAATACATTGTATGTACATATGTATATGTACATACATATATACTTCATATAGTGGGTGTGTTTTTAGGAGACAAAAGAGTTAACATCCGGGGAAAATCGGAAATTAAGTTAGAGTGCTATGTTTTTATGCAAAACTGCGCCTTGTTTACCTCACCCCACTCACCGTCATTGGGCAACTTTGCGAACGGCTGCAGGAGCTCCACGAAGGACAGGTTGTTCCGGTGGCAGATCTCGTCAGCTTGTGGACTGGCCAGAACGCCGATTAGCGGCGAAAATATGTTCCGGATTACGTCGCGCGCATTGTAGTTTTGGCCCGTCAGGTGCAGCATTACTTGAATATTTACAAAAGAAAACCCAGAAACCGAACCACAAATTGGGGGACCTAGAGCTGGACCCTACCCGCGATAGTATTGATGTGTCCAATATCGGTAATGCACTATCGATAGTGAACTATCGAGTCAAAACTCACCACAAGGCAACCCATAATACTGTCTTCCCACTCAGCGCATTTGTGAGGAACGGTTGGTATTTAAAAAAAAAATGAAGAGACATTTTCAAGACGCATGGAAAAATCAAGAATAATATCAATAATATCAACATATCAAGCATTTAAATTTAAGATACTCTCTCGATTTTATTTACATTCATTATCATTTACACAAGTATAAATAAAGTTTAAAAATCTTACAATTCTAAATATCTGGAATTGGAACATTGGAACAGTAAGAATTTAATTAAATTAAATACTTAGTCCGAAAAAAACTAAAAAATTTGCCAAAAATGTTCTTAAAATGTTCTTAAAACCAATTATCTTCTCATTATGACTGTTCGTGTTTTTAAAAACAAACAAATAAACAATAAGATTTAGCGAAAGATAATAAAAATATCGACACCTGTTTATCTCAGGTGGAAGAGAAAAGCAGAAAAGGGTGCAAGTGCGCGAAAGAGACGCTGAGAACTTGTCTATGACTCGGCGCTGACATCGACGCCGAAAGGTCGCTCTGCTGACGCAGACGCAGAAGCTCAGAGCCCCAGATCGCTTTATAACGGTAGGACATAAAGCCGCCGGAGTTCATCTGCAAACGTTTCGCGGTTGGCTTAAAACGCTCGCAAATAAACGCAAAAAGTTAAAAAAAAAAAAAAATCTAACGGAAAAGTTTAAGGCTAAAAAAGTTTTTGGTTCGGAATTAATTAGTTTCGCGTTTAAGAATATATCTAAAGCCCAGAAACATGTGGAAACCTATATTGCCCGCCTTGCTGTTGATTGTCTCGCCAGTGTTGGTAGAAAAAGCATTTTAAAACCAAACTAGATCTGAAAACTGACTGAAAGCTGACATTTAAAATATTTTAACTGGAATTAAATGCTACTCTAAAAATATATAAATAGCTATATTATACAAGAGTTTAAACTTTATTTAAATCTAAGAAATCATCAATCTTTCGATCGTTGAAAGCTAAGAAAATAAAAATGTACAATTTCCGAATTTGTTAGCCTAAAAAAATTGATTTGATTTTTTTAATTATCAACTAATGGGGTTTTAACAAGTTTTGTATTTAATTAACGGAGTTTTCCTTGATTTTTTCATTATTATTTTATTATTTATTATAATATTAATCTTTTTATTCAATAAAAATAATTGTTTAGAAGTGACTTAAAGTTTTCAACATCTTTTAAAATTACCTGACTGTTAATAAATAATTATAATCACTAAATTAACATTACTTCAGAAATAAGGAATTCTCTTCACCATAAACAAATATTTTATAATCATTAAAAAAACAAACGTATGTGGCTAAAAAACACGTCAAAAGATAAATAAAGAAATAATTTATTTAAAGCTGAGATTTTCTACGATTTTTTTTTAGTTTTTAGTGATGTCAGTTTCTTTTCAGATACCTAAGTTTAAATAAAACAAAAAACACCACCAATAATCTCTGACAAAAAAATCAAACCTGGCCCATAGAAAATCTGTATCAATTCAGACAGGTGACCTTGGCCAGGCAATTGATATAAATAACTGGCCAATACGATCATAAAAACGTATACAAAATTAAACAGTAAATAAAAATTGTCTTAACATTCGTAAATTTTGAATGTTACTTGATTAGCAAAAGCAGCATCGAGAGGGTCACCGATCTTGGGGGGACTTGTCGTATCAGATTACCACATTATTACCATATCATTTTTACAGATGCCTTGGCACACATGTGAGCCAGACACGCCGCTTCCCAAACGACTTTCTCTGGGGCGTTGGTTCCTCTTCCTACCAAATCGAAGGCGGTTGGAATGCCGACGATAAGGACGAGTCCATTTGGGACGTTCTCACCCACACACATCCCGAGAAAATAGCCGATCAGAGCAATGCAGATATATCCGCGGACAGCTATCATCGGGTAAGTCACATAAGATAATGGACACTAATAATAACGTATGTAAGTCGTCGTCGGTTCGTTTGGCATCGCAGATATATACAGATATATATATATAATTACGCGATATTATTTGGATCTGTTGATTGTGATCGGAGGCGATCGATTAGCATTAAGGAGGGGTTGCTATGTTGCATCCAATTACAGGCCACAAATCAGTTTTCATAGTTCTTCTGATTAAACAAAAAGATAAATAAAATAAAACCATTAGCGAAGAATCGCACAATTCATGAGGGGACACGGAAACCTGTTTTATAATTTAATAAACTACTTATACTGATAAAATCAAGTTATCTCTCCATCTGGGGCTTTTCAGCGCTTAAACTTTGCACTATTTTTCTTGGCTGGAGTGATTTATAATTCCTGTTTTCTATAGCAAATATGATCTTATGGAAAGTAAACGACTTAAAGGGCAGATCAATAAGGGCGAGACTGGGTTAGTTTAATTAAAAAATAATAATTACGAAACGAAACTGGGAAACTACAGATTGTTGAAGGTATATTCAAAATAAGATGGATGAGTTTGAGTGGAATTTCTTTTAGAAAAATGTCGATATCAGCTTGATAATTATGCTTAAATCTAACTGATTTCATTTGTCCCCATTTTCACAGTTGACTGATAGAGGATAACTCTTGTTGACGATTTTGGTGTTCGCTTAGACCCTAAACTTTCGTTCTCTGAACATATTTCATGCATGGTTAATAAAGCCAGAGGCACGAAGATTCTTTTTACTTTGTTAGTACGACCCGCGGTCGGTTGGGCGGGAGGTGGAAGCGGGAACCCGCTCGAAAAAAAAATAAAAGAATGCTCCCTGATTATAATCTCGAAAAAGCTTTATAAGGTCTTAATTTCGAGCTGATTTATCCCTATTAATTTCTCTTAAATTCCTTTTTAAATTCTCTTTAAATTCTTTAATAAATCTTATAATTTGATAAACTTTTCTAGTGGCGTCGCGATGTTCAAATGGTAAAGGAACTGCATGCAGGCACCTATCGTTTCTCACTGTCCTGGCCCCGTATCATGCCCGGTGGCTACATGAACCATGTGAGCACCGCTGGCATCAAATACTACTCCAACCTGATCGATGAACTCCTGCGTTATAATATCACACCCACGGTTACCATTTATCATTTTGAGCTGCCGCAAAAGCTGCAAGAGCTGGGCGGCTGGACCAATCCGGAGATCATTCCCCTGTTCAAAGACTTTGCCCGTTTAGTGCTGGAAATGTACGGTGACCGTGTGAAGATCTGGACCACTATCAACGAGCCCTGGCATGTTTGCGAGCATGCTTATGGATTGGACTATATGGCGCCATCGTACAACTTCCCTGGCATTCCAGCCTATCTATGTGGCCACAATCTGCTAAAGGCCCACGCCGAGGTGGTCCACATGTACCGGGATCACTTCCAGAAGCGTCAGGGCGGTCGCATTGGCATCAGCCTGGATACCTCGTGGCCGGAACCAAGGAATCCAGACTCGGCCGAAGATCGTGAAGCCTCCGAACGGGCCATGCAGTTCTATGTGGGTTGGTTCGGTCATCCGATCTTCTCCAAGCACGGCAACTATCCCAAGGTGATGATCGAGCGCATCCGTAACCTGAGCAAGGAGCAGGACTTTGGCATTCGCTCCAGGTTGCCGGAATTTACCACAGAGGAGATTCATCGCATCCGCGGCACAGCCGATTTCTTTGGCATTAACCATTATACCAGCAATCTGGTGACCTCGAATGGACACAATAATACTGGAGGGTTCCCGGTGCCATCGTTCAATCATGATATGGGCGTGGTGGAGAGTCAAAACGAGGTTGACTGGCCGGGATCAGGTTCGGTTTGGCTTAGGGTGAGTTGAACTTATTATGATTTATCTAGTAAAAATTGGGATAATAAATAAACCTAGACAAAACCTAATTTAACATAATTTTAAGAACCATTAAACATTTCTTTTAAATTATTATAAGAGTGTTGAGTGTTGACTTATCCCCCACTTCGAGCTTTGAATTATGGTTTGCCGAGTAAACTACTTAGGCATTGAATCAAAAAGAGGGTGACTTTCGACCATCCAACTAGCCAGAGGTTGTTTCCTAGATGTGCTTTTTACTTGCACACAAAAAAAATTAAAGCAGAGATTATGATTAAGGAAAGATGAAATATATATATTTAATGCCTCTTTTAAGAGCTTTAATTAACTATGAATTAACACCTCATTAACCCTTATTTAATGTAAATAAATTCCCTCTATTCCAGGTCTATCCCAAGGGAATGTACAATCTCCTGATGTGGATACACCGCGAGTACAATAGCCCCGAGATAATTGTTACTGAGAATGGAGTTAGTGATCGCGGTGGACTGGAGGATTATGCCCGCGTGGACTACTTTAATAAGTATCTCTCTGCAGTGCTGGATGCCATTGAGGATGGTGTTAATATCAGTGGCTACATTGCCTGGAGTCTGATGGACAGCTATGAGTGGAAGGCTGGCTTCTCGGAGAAGTTTGGCTTTTATCACGTAGACTTTACTTCGCCGCAGCGCACTAGGACCCCGAAAATCTCGGCGAGAGTCTTTGCCCAGATCTGCAAGACCAATACCATTGACTGGAACTATCGGCCCAAGCTCGAGCAAGAGCAGAAACTGGTGGTCATGGCCCAGCATCCTGCGGAGGAAGATCAAAGCAGATCGAGTGCAGCCCAAGAAGCCATCAGCTGGAGTCTAATGGGTGCTTTGCTACTGGTTCTTCTCCGATGAGAAGGAGTAGGAGAAGACTTTTGCCATAATTGCTACTGCTAAACCTAAGTTTTGTCTAAAAAAATCTTTGTAATACAAAAAAATTGTATACAAATTAAAAAAAAACTTAAATATATTTAAGCTAAAAGCTTGAAGATCACGCCCAGCGGTAGCTAGTCCATATCGTCATCGTCGTCGTCCGAGATGGTGTACTTCTTCCGCGACCGCTTGCGTCGCGTCTGCTTCTTGGATGTGGTTGCGGCCCCACTGCTGCCCACGTTCGACGACGAGGACTGCGTGGGCGTGGCGGGGGCACTGGCCAGAGACTTGTTGAGTTTCAACTTCATTTTGACAGCCGCCGCAGAGGTGGTGGCGATATCCTCATCGTCTGAGCCGTCATCTCCCCCATCGCCGTCATCCTCGTTGTCCGAGTTATCCGAGCCTCCGCCGCCGCCATTTCCCTGCGCCTCTCCGGTGTTCTCACCGGCTGCCACTGCGGCCGCATCCGCCGCCGCGGTTATGCGCTGCCTGGCTCCCACGAATATCTTCTGCAAGGCAATGGAGTCCAGGTAGATGAGGGACGCCTCCTCGTTGTAGATCTGGGCATTCTGGCACAGCTGCATAAAGTCCTTCTCCAACTCATTGAGATCGGCGTACTTGAAGTCCTCGATGCGCTGGAGGATCTTCTTAATATCCACCGGACGCTTGATGATCTCGTAGTAGTCGGGCAGCCGCTTGCGCGAGGGCAGCTTCATGAAGGGCTCGGAAAGTGTGCGTCCGTCTTGAGTGTACTTGATCACGGCGCTCATGATCTTGTGCATCTGCTTCTTCGAGCGCTTGTCCAGATTCTGGCGTCGGCGACGCTTCAATATCAACGAATCGTCGTCCGACTCCTTCTAGCGATTCTTGCGCTTGCGTCGCTTGCTCCGTTTAGAGTCGTCTTCCTCCTCCTCCTCATCGAACTCGGCGCCATCGTCGATAGCCTTAAGCCACTCCTTTTCGGTCAAGCTGTCCGTGTAGTCCACCTCCTTGCGCTGTCGGGAGCCGCGACCTAACACAGTAAATAATAATGGATTTAAATACAAGAAAATAAGAAAAATAAATAAAGGGGGACTCACCCAAAATGGTATCTTCATCGTACTGATAGTGAAATCGCTCCACCTCGTCATCGTCCTTGGTCAGCCAATCCGGCAGCTCCGACTCGTCGATCAGTCGCTCCCTGCCCGGATGGATCTCCTCGTCCTCCTTCTTGCGCTCAACATCCATGCGCTTGAATATCTCGATTTCCTCCTCGCTGCGGGCAATCATCATGTTAATCATCTCGTCGTCGGGCACCTCATTCTCCTCCTCCTCCTCGTTGTCGTCCTGATGCAGGATCGTCTGAAGGAACTGCTGTCGCTCGCTGCCCGTCGACTTCTGATCGAACATACCGGCCTGGATAACCTTCTCGTCCATGTTTAGCTTGTACCTGGCCGCAGCTAGAATGCGCTCCTCCACGGAGTTCACGGTCATCAGCCGAAGAACGCGCACCTCGTTGCGCTGTCCGATACGATGTGCTCGGTCCTGGGCCTGCAGGTCCTGCGGGTTCCAGTCAGAGTCAAAGATCTCTACAGTATCGGCGGTCTGCAGGTTGAGGCCCAGGCCACCGGCGCGCGTAGAGAGCAGAAAGACAAAGTAGTCAGAGCCCTTGTTTGTGTTTAGTGAAATGCTTATGCAATTAGCATTTCGGTAAGCATCTTCCCCGAGAGTAATGGTTGAACTTAAACTAAAAATCAATTGCCCAGGCCGCCATCGTTATCCGAGGAGACGGCGCGCTTGAAGATCACGCCCAGCGGTAGCTAGTCCATATCGTCATCGTCGTCGTCCGAGATGGTGTACTTCTTCTGCGACCGCTTGCGTCGCGTCTGCTTCTAGACGCCACGTTCGACGACGAGGACTGCGTGGGCGTGGCGGGACCACTGGCCGAGACTGACTTTAACTAACTATTTGCATTTCAACTTGTTTCCTGACCTTTTTATTCCAACTTTTTAAAAAAAACGCCCTTGAAATCACTTTTTGAACTTTGCCCCAACGCTAACTGAGTTTTTTCGATAACACAGGAAACCGGAAATCCTAGTAGCTGAGATTCAAGTAGGTTTTCGAAAGCTGTCACCTTGCTGCCGGGGGTAGCCTAGTGGGTAGAGATGACAGCCAAACGGGTCTGGGAACCCCATGAGCCGCCGCCCCGGGTTCGAAACCCGGTATTTCAAAATGTCTCGGGAAGTTTTTATTTAAATTATTTATTTAATGCTGGGAGGTGAGGTTCAAGTAGATCTCTGAAAGCTCTCACATTGCCGCCGGGGTAGCCCAATGGGTAGAGACGACACCCTAGCGGTGTTTGTTGAACCCCATGCGCCGCCGGTCCGGGTTCGAGTCCCGGTAGTAAGTAGCATGGTTGATATAAAAATAGGATATTTAAGTTAAGTATAGGGACATACACATACATCATAACAGATCAACACAACAAATAGGTTGAGGGAATATAATATCGGACAACAACTGTATCATAGATTTTAAGTAATTAGGAGGATTAGGTAGCGAAACATCGCACGGAAAAAATAGAATAGAAATGAAGCCAAGGGAGGAAAATCACCTTTTACAAAAAAAAAATTAATTCTTTTATAATTATAAATTATAATTATATATTATAAAATTAATTCTTTTATAATTATTTTTTTTAAGTTGTAAATAATTAGGATTAAGTGACAAACGCATGAAAAATAAATGCGGTGTGTGGCGTCTGTCCAGGCCGAATAAGAGGTTGTTTGGTTAAGGGGGGTAAGGTATATAATTTTTTTTTTCGTAACTTTTTTTTTATTTTTTTATTTTGAAAGTTCAACATCTTAAGAATATTGTGTCCAAGTTTTACATCGATCATAGGAGAATTGACGAAGTTATGCAGAGTTGAACGAAGGTCGGTTGGTGTTCAATGCATGAGAATTACAAAGTTTAAAGCGCTCTCCTGAAAAATGCCATTTTGAAAATCGGTGTACACGATAACTCAAAATCTACTGAACCAATCGGTTTGAAATTTGGAACAGAACTTCTTTAGATAAATCTACAGGTACTCACGTCGAGCTTTTTTAAATTTTTTTTTTTTTTAGTCAAAAATCGGGGTTTTGACTTCAAATTTTGATAAAAAATCGGGAAAAAATTTTAAAAATAAAAACGCTTCGTGAATACCTCGGGACACTTAACCTTTAACGAATGAGTAATAATTTTTGTAGATCAGATGATTTTGTGGACAGTTAGGATGTACACAGCAAACCAACTTTTTTTGGAGGCGACTCGGGAGATTCCCTATAACTCCTCTACCTCTAAATATTTTTCAATGCAAAATTGATCAAAAACTATTCAAATGTTGTGTTATTATATGGTATTTAATTCGTTAAGTTAACTTTAGCCGTTTTGCCACAACATTTTTTTGAAAAGTGGTCATTTTTGCACCGAATTAACCTTACCCCCCCCCCTTAGTGACTTTTCCCTACCGAAGAGCAATTGCCCTGAAGGGTGTGTATAGGTGGTATAGGCTTCCAAAATCTATAAAATAAATTAAAGGTAGGCGTTTTATATTAAATAGTAGCAATTGGGAACACTTTGGGGCACGAATATACAAAAAAAAAAACGCCAACAACTATTTTGTGCATGTTTGTAGCTTTGGCGCCACATTTTGAATTTTATTATTCAATTGTTCCTCACCATCTTTGATTACATTTTCGTAGTGAATGGTCAAATTTTCACTGTTAAGAAGAAGAACTATCGCCAACAAACGGTCGTTAAATTTAGATGCACTCTGTTGCCGGTCCATTTGAGAAAATTCGGAACGGCAAAACCTTATGGACCGTTGGATGCGCTTTGACGGTCTGTGGGAAGACCCTATAAGGATAGGATAGGAGGATAGGATCCTATCCTAGATAGGATAACGTAATGTATAGATTTGAGTTGGGAATAAATAGTTTTTTTTTCTTAAAAATTCTGGAAAAATGATTATACGCGATTAAATTTGAAAACGGAAATAATTCAAGTGATAAATTTATTTTCATCAGAGATTCATAGTTTTGTGGTTCTTTATATTTTATTTTCTATACTTTTATTTAAATATGAGCTCTTTGGAGAAGAACACCTTTTATATGGCGTCGGAAATATGAAATTGTAAAATACAATTACGTTGATTATTTTACAAGGTGAGCCAACGAGAAAGTCAAATTTCGGAAATTCCGGATTCCGTTCGAACTTTTAACATTACATAACTTGTCCTCGAGTTTACATACTTTTAAATCTTTTCGATTAATCCGATTTTGAAAATTGATTGATTACTCTAATCAATTTTATTTCCAGCTCTAGTAAAGTTTTTTTTTGTTCCTTTTGGCACTCTTTCTTCCAGCTTCTAGTAATTAATTAAATCTTTTCCCCTCATCAGGATATTATTTTTTTAGGAAATGATTTTAATGTTGTTTTTATATTTTATTTATACGAAAAGTTGTTATTACTCCACCGATAAGCAATCGGCGCGATCTTTCGATATTTTTTTCGAATTCCTTCACTTGGCGTGGTGAGTTTTACCCGCCATAGAACGGTCACTCTGAAGCGCGGGAAAGCCATCAGCTGTCACCACAAATTGTGCGAAAACCGAAAAGTTGCGACCAAATTGTACACAAAAAAGCAAAGAGGATTCAAAAAGTAATAAATACTTACGGCACGCGTTACCCAAACAACCAGCGCACCCTAAGTCACATCAATATTGAGTTAATCGAGTGTTTTGCTGAAGAATTTCACGAGCACACGCAATTGCCGCCAAGAACAAAAGAAGAACCTGCTGGAAAAACGCGCCGCCAAAGGCGTCTTGCTGCAAGCCTCCCACATATTTCCTAAGATCCCGAAGGTACAGTCACTGCCATGGCCAAAGTGCACATAACCAATGTTGTGGTGCTGGACAACCCGAGCAGTTTCTTCAATCCCTTCCAATTCGAGCTCACCTTCGAGTGCATCGAGGAGCTGAAGGAGGATCTGGAGTGGAAGATGATATACGTGGGATCGGCGGAGTCGGAGGAGCACGACCAGGTGCTAGACACTATCTACGTTGGACCCGTTCCCGAGGGCCGTCACATATTCGTTTTCCAAGCCGACCCACCGGATGTCAGCAAGATCCCCGAGCCCGATGCAGTAGGGGTTACCATTGTGCTGCTCACCTGTTCCTACCGCGGCCAGGAGTTTGTTCGCGTCGGATACTACGTAAATAACGACTATGCGGATCCCGAGATGCGAGAGAACCCGCCCCCGAAGCCGCTCTTCGAGAAGCTAACACGCAACATCCTGGCCAGCAAGCCGCGTGTCACCCGCTTCAAGATCAACTGGGACTACGGACACATCAACGGGAACGGTAACGGCATGGAAAACGGCCACGACGACTCAATGATGACCGATGGCCCGTCGACTTCGGAGGGGGCGGCAGGGGTTGCTGCACAGCAGGACGACGACAACAGCCTCGCCATGCCCATGGAGAACGGAATCAAGGCGCTAAACGAGAACTCCAACTCGCTGGCCATGGAATGTTGAACATCTTGCTGGTACTCTGGCTGCTGGATGACCACAGAACTACTTTCCCGCAAATACACGCTACAATGGGCGCAGACCTGAGGAATTTCCGCCCCGTCAGTAAATGTAATCGACTCTCGTAGTTCTCTCTCCCCCTAATTAAGTAAATATAATTTAAACGAAACAATTTAATATATATGTATACATTAAAGTTAATCATAAATTTGGTTTTCTTCAATTCGGATCATAAAATAACTTGGGAGATTAGGTTCCTATGGGACTTTTCAGACTCCAAGTGCTATTTTTATACCCGTGCAGGGTATTATAATTTCAGTCAGTGAAGGAGACCTTTCCGACCCTATAAGGTATATATGTATATTCTTGATCAGCATCAACAGCCGAGTCGATCTAGCCATGTCCGTCTGTCCGTTTCTACGCAAACTAGTCCCTCAGTTTTAAAGCTATCTGAATGAAACTTTGCATATATACTCTCACTGCTATATAAGTCGGAACGGGCCAGATCGGACGACTATATCATATAGCTGCCATACAAATGTTCGAAAAATTTTTAGAAAAAAAATTATATCTTGGCTGTTTATCAACATTTTTGCATCATTTTTGAGATGTGGCCATTTTATATTATTTTAGAATTTCGGTTTTAATTTTATGAAAATCGGAAGACTATATCTTATAGCTGCCATAGGAACGATCCGAAAATTAATAGAAAAAATTTTAACTTCGTTGTTTTTCAACGTATTTTCGTCTACTCTGAGATATAAGCTTATTATATTATTTGAGAATTTTGTTAGAAATTTCATAAAAATCGGACAACTATATCATATAGATGCCATAGAAGCGATTGGTAAATGTGTAGAATATGTAAAGCTGCGAATGTAAAACTGTAACTGTCAAATTGTCAACATAATAAGTATAGATAAAATGTAATGAATCTCTGTTTTGTCAGCATTTAAATCTATAATATAAACATCAAAACCAATCTGCAAAGGTATACAAACTTCGGCGTGCCGAAGTTACATACCTTCCTTTCTTGTTGTTATTAAACATATGTATGCATGTATGTATACATTGGTGAGTGTTCAGGACACTCGTTTGAGGAGTAGAACAACAAAACCTACACCTTTTCACTCTGTTTCTATCCACACATATATGTTGGATTATATATGTTGTTGTTTTTTTAATATTTCCTTTACTCTAAGATAAATTAATTTTAAAGGATTATTGAAGTACAGGTCCACGAAAAATGGATGCTGAAAATTTGTTGTTTCAACTCTAATGACAATTGCCGAGAGTTTGTTTTCTAGTTTTCTGAGTTTCTGATCAGTCCTATGACAGCTTTATGATGCAGCCAACCAATTTCGAAACTGTTCAATGTCAGCTTTAGGGAGCAGGTCGAAAGTTACAAATTCTGATAGGCATAAAAGCCTTCCGATTAATTCTGCGTATTTATATGGTAGTCACCTTCCGCAAGCCCTCGGTGCTCAGTTCATCCAAGGAAACGTACTTAGTTTTGGCAGATTCATGTTGAAAATTTGAACTGGAAATCAAAATTTGTTTCGGCAATACTCTATTTTAATTTTTGCAGATCTAAAACAGAAAATCCCAAATTATTTGTACATGTTTTAGACATTTGGAACCGTAAGCCGATGATGCCGTTCAACACACCGGAACAAAACCATGGCTCTCGGTTGCCCAAAAGCGAAACGAGCGCCACGTGAGAAGCGAACGACAAATTAACTAGAATCGCTGCTGATGCTCCTTCTCGATTTCTTTTTCCCAGGTACCTCAGCTTCACGGATCTGTGCAGAAAATTCGACAGTCCTTTGACGGGGCCCAGCTGCGACCGTTGGAAATTCTGCGAGAAGGTTAGCAATCGCTCTGATGGGGATGTCCATCCCCGCGGCGGCCCTCCTGAGCAGGAGGAGGAGGTGATTGACAGAAACTTGGCCACCTACCTGAAAGCATTTGCCTTGATTTATATCTTGCCGGAGGTAGACTGGACTGCGGAGAAGATTGACATGTTGCTAGCGGAGGGTACGGATTTATTCCGGGATAGCTCGGAATCGGATGACGATCAGGGGGAAAACGAGATCTCCCAGCGCCAGATTTATTCCGATGAGAAGCGGATCAAAAGGAAATTCAATCTTGAGGGGCACACCTTTACTTTGTCTTTGGAACCTCGTTACGTCGAGGAAGCAGATAGGCAGTATTCCAAGTGCACCATCAAGAACTTAAGGCCCCATCTCCAGAAATTCTTCACGTCCAGCCGGTATTGCTTACTTCTCACCCGAGTGGGTAACCTGCTCATTTGGCGCCGCAGACAAGTGTACTTTGTGATGAACGTCAAGGGGAAACAAAGGAATAAGGATATGGGGCTGACCATAATAGTGTGCGTGCAAACCATCGATCATGTGGTTAAAAAGGCCAGGAAATTGAGTGGAATAACACCCAAGGATGAGTTTAGTATTCGCGAGCTGGTGGTGGTGCACTTGGAGACACCGGATGGACGCGTTTATATACGGGACTCCAGCTACCGACCTATCGAGCTTAAGGGGGCGCACAAGAGCTATGCGTTTCTAAAGGCCACTCTCCATCTATCTCTAACCCAAAATGATTCTGTGATAAGCCGCAGCAGTCTGATGGTGGCCGTGGGCTCAATCCTGGCCAGCAAAGTTTATCGCCCTTCGAACTGGGACACCAAAATGCTAGACCGATTAGTTTGCTACGGAATGGAGTTAAGCCGTAGCTGTTGGTCGAATTGCTTGAGGGATCAGCGACCCATTGACCTAGATACGTTTCCTACCCAACTGCGACTGGGGCAGTTCGTCATGGAACTTAAGCTATTACCCAATGTGAAAACGGGCCACTGGAAGTGCGGTGATTGCATCAATGGCTCGAGTTTCGAGACTCACATCAAAGAGGCCTTCATGAAGTACAGCAACGTGGTCTTCCAGATAAACAATCAGATGTATGCCATGTGGGCCAAAGATGACTTCTACTACCTCCTCGATCCCTACCAGCACTCTGTCATGGGCTCCCGCACGGAGAAAGACAAGCTTGAGGGCGCTAAGTGGGCCACGCTTCGCATGTTTCGCGATCAGCTCACCCTTCTTAGCGTGTTTCACCAAGTGCTCAAGGAGTCGAACCAGCAATCGGCCTACTATCTGCATGTGGTACGTATACGTAATCTCGCCGAGTGCCCTGAGGGCTTCGCCTTGGCTCCCTTGCCCGAGGAGGTGGATACCCTCGATGTTGTGTCCCTGAATGAGTCCATATTGTTCAACGACCAACCAGGAGTGAATGTGTCCGAAAAATTCCTGAAAGAAATCAGCACCTACGAAGAAGAAGAGAGGTTACGGATTTTGTTGGAGCGACAGAATGCAGAAGAAATGGAAGCCAAGAAAAACGCCATTCTTGCTACAAAAACCCTCAAACCAAAAACAAAAAGTGTACGAAAAGTAAAACGCTGCCAAAATGTTAAGAAATCTACGACTTCGGTTGAGCAGCCAAAGAAAACGGAGACAAGGTCCCTCGCAGAACGTAAAAAGTCTGTAATCGTTGTTGAGGAGCCAGAAAAAAGACGTATAAATAGAAAACTGGGGGGGAGGGCGTCTAAAAATCCCCCAAGGTCTGAAGCTTCAACTACATTCAGCAGGCAAAAAGGCGGCGGCTCCCCCGCCAACCCGCCCAGTTCCGGCCCTGGCAGGGTTCCAAAAGTCAAGTCCTCTACAAAGGAATTAGCTGTCTTAAAATTAGGAGATCTCAGCTTCAAGGCATCAGAACTAAGAATACTAACCAGGGAAGGATACTCGATCCACAAAGATGACCTTATAGAGCAGCTAGGCGCAACGTCCTCGCAAAAGGCCATAAAAGATACTCCCGGGCCCTCGAATACACTTGGAGAGGCATTGAACAATGAAGAACTCATTGTACCTTCAAGAAGAACCCAGTCTTTGCTTCGTTTTCCGGGCTTCAATCGGGTGCCACAGCTCCTGGCCGTCGCTGGCTCCGAGAGCGGAAACATGGAGAGTTTAAAGCGGATGCTGTTCACCGCTTTCAAGGTGGCCAACAGGGTCTTTACAATGACGCCGTGGGGCAACTACGTGATCTTCCGGCATACTCCAAATTCCACTGTGGAGTCTGCAGCCTCGTGGTTCTATCTGTTTGACGGCTGTACATGCGACATCGATCGATTCCGTCACTTGGATCTCACGAAAGGTACCGCCGGATTAGTTGCTTTTCGAAAGCTTTCGGATGCGGTATGTCACATAATAGACTTGGGGGAGAAAAGGGCTGGGCAACTGGTCAAAGAAAGACGAACTGCTTCAAAGTGATGCTAAAACTAACATCTGCATCTCCCTTTTCACTCTCTTAGTTAACAGATGGCCAATAAAAAAAATTCTTAATTTAAACTGTCTCTAAATTCGTTTTCTTTTTTTTAGTTCACCTAGGCAACGAATCTTTTATGTTTAAAATTAAAAATTAAATCAATAACACAAGTCGCCAGCTTGGTAGAACCATGAACCGGAATATATTTTTCCGGTTTTCAAAATATTTGAACTTTAAAGTACTTTTAGGGTGCTGTATTTTTTCTAAACAATCGTTACGGCGTCTTAAAAAACTGGTCTTGCCCTTAAAAAATTTCTTTAAAAAAATCTTGAGTTTATATCCATATATTTCTGTGTTTTTATTTTGACAATATATACAGAAAAAAAAAACGATTTATATTTAAATGACGGTAAATAATGAATAACGAATATAAATAATGATTTTTTAAAATTAAAAAAAATAAATGATTTTAAGACCATGAGCAGTCTTTTATAATAGCCTAGCATAAAACAATAAAACGTATTGAATTTACATCAACTCAAAAGTATCAAAACCCGCATTTTTGTCACTTTTTAGATAAAATATCTTATAATCCTGGCATATAGGAATTTTCAGATTTTTAAATCAATAACTTTGGGAAAAGTTTAAAAAAGATTTTGTCCAAATTAACATTAGTGGAGATCTTGGGGAATATATTTACTTATTTCTAAAAATGTTAAACTCAATGGAAGCTTAAATAAATAATATGCCGAAGGAAAGTATCCAACCTTAAAAAGTCTTAAACAGAAACTTTGACAAAAGATTAAGTGTTCTTATTTGATTCCATTTTATTATTATTGCTAGTTCGTATTTTAAACTTAATATGGAGTACATTTACATAATGTAGAGAAAAGTCGCGCCCGGGGGCACAACGCATCTTACGAAGCTAAACATCCAACTAATGTGTAAATATAAAGAATATATGTATATATTGAGTGTATATAGAATTATTTAGATTTGTAATTCGTCTTGCAGCTAATGAAGGACTCCACGGGAAGCCAGGGGGCGATGTTTGGCCAATGTTGTAGGTATTTGCTGCTCCACACTTGGCTATAAGTTTTCATGTCAGATAATCCTTGCATTCCCATCCAAATGTATTCCCTTTTCTTGTTTCGTATGTTGTTTGCATTAAGGCACTGAAGCTTTGAATTTTGTGCTTATGGAAAGTAAAATGTTTCGATCGTATAGCAAACTCGCCCAATAATTGGGAAACTGCCATTTTGAATGCGACTATTAAATAATATATTGTACACTGCGCGCTTTCCCCTTTAAGTTTTTAGCAAATTTAGTTTCATATAAAAAATATCCCTGACTATTTTCGTTCTACCCATTCGTTTCTACATTTATGCCTGAGGCCTTTTGTTGTAATGCTTGTTTTATGGTTTGTTATTTTCATGCATGTTCTGGTGGTGGTTCCTAAGCTCTTAAGAATTAAACATAAATTTATGCTTATGTCTAGTATAATTAGGGCATTTTTTAAATAAGTATATTACAAAGGCAGCTCTCTAAGGACAAGAATAATTGTAAAAATAACTAGGACTAATGCGAAATTATATTCAGCAAAATAGGAAATGCATGTGATACGATACGACATAAAGATACAGATTGCCCCTAACCCAAGGGGTCGTCGGCAACGATCAACGTTTGGACGCGACCTCCTCCGCTTTCAGTTGCAAGCATATATAAATTAGAGAAAAGGTGTACCAAGTCTGGACATGAACATAGATAATACCATACATTTGGGGCCGATTTCTCGTTGAGTATATAGGAGATAGTTTTGGGTTACGTAAGTTTAGGAGTTTTCGCTTAGGCTAAATATCGTTCTAGGTTAGACCATGTTGACGGCGCCATCAGCCTCGAAAGTGGGTATGGAAATAATATCGCTGCTGCGCATCGCGCCCATTGGCAATGTTGGGCGTCCTTCAACAGCACCCCTCGTCGCCCGATTTACTTTCTCATCGTCCTCGCTGGAGTCACTGGAATCATCTTCCGGCTCGCTGCAACTATTCGTGGATGTGGACGTCGATGTCGTTTGGGTCTGCTTCATGGCCGACGCCATGTCCGTATTGCTCTCCAGCGTCGAGTGTTGGCTGGAGGGTGAGTGACTGTACTCGGAGGTGTTCTCCTCATCGGAAACAATGACCACGTTGCGTTTATGGATGGCAATTTTTTGTGACAGCGGGGCCTTGTAGCTGCGGCGCGGGCGCATGCCACGGGCAATGGGCAGGCGGCCAATGCTAAAATAAGTAAAATTGTTAGCAATTTTCGTTGTTTAAATTCTGGGTCAACTAGTTACCTCCGCCTTCTCAGGGCGTATTTGTAGTCCGTCGTCTCGCCCTCCTCATCCGACCAGCTGTCCTGCTCATGGGCCAACGCTGACCCGTTGGCATTACTTATCAAACTACCGTTTGGGTTATCGCCCAGGAGCTGTCTTCGCCGCTTGCTTTGCGTGCTGCTGCACCGACTCAGGCAAGGACTATTGCCGCTCTCCCTCAGCTCCAACGGCGAGTTCCCCCCATTGCCGTTCTCTGTGTTGCTGTTCGAGTTCGTATTGGACTGAATGGACAGGCGGTTTTCGTTGATGAACTCGATGACTTTCCGGCCCAAACGGTCGAGATTTTCGTTGTCACTGCAGCAGTCGGTTATATCCAGGCGCTCGTTGCTGTTCATTACATCGTCGATGAGCTGGTCGGGACTTGAGCAGGCATCTTGGTAGGTCAGCTCGCTGGTGCTCAGCGAGTTCCCGTTCGACGGACTAGCGGGATTGACTGCTCCTGCAGCGGACGACGTGGACCCGTTCCTTGCTCTTGCCTGAGCCTGTGCCATCTTTTGTACCCTTTGCAGTTGCAGTGGCAGCTGGCGGTGATTCGGGGCCGGAACATCGATGGGCTGCGATCGAGGAACCTCTGCGCTGGGACTAATATCAGTCTCACTGACATCCATGGCGTCCGTTTGGGTTTGCCGCTCCACCAGCTGCACCTTGCGATTTTCCGGCTCACTCTGGTAGCGACGATCTCGCGTCGGGCTGTATTTCGGGGGAGCGCCAAAGGACCCAGAACCATTGCGTCGATGGCGGAAATTTTTCTTGTTTTTGTTGGGCATCGTTCCGCCCATGCCAGGGCCCGGAATTAAGTTCTCCAAGTATGATTTAGGCTGGCAATTGCTGTCCAATTGGGCATACAGCACACACTTTACAGGGGACTGCAAAGGAGGAATGGTTCCAGAATATATAAAATTAAGTAAACAAAATCTGTTATACCTCCGGCGTAGTCTCTGGATCTGGTGTGGTTGACTGCTGTTGGATGGCTGCTGTGGGAGCGTTAAGTCTTCGGCGATAGTGTTGCATCTTCCTGAGCGTATTACCTAGGCGCCGCGTGGGCTTGTATCCACTGCCAGGTAGTTTCCGCTCACGTCTGAGGATTTGTTATAATAATAATTAGTAAGGTTAACGACCCAAATTAAGAGGCATTTCGATTAAACTTACTCCGCAATTTCCTTCTCCTTCTCCTGCAATTGTGACATGCACTCGCTGAGCTCGAAGAACAGCTGGTTCGTCTTTTGCAGCTTTTCCTCGTAGACCATCCGAATGTCCTGGGCATGCCGCCACTCCGCCGTGCGTCTCTTGATCAAATCCTGCTCATACTTGTGAATACTAGTGCCATTCTGTGTGATTTCCTTCAAGTGGGAGCGCACCTCCTCCTTCCACGACTTTTGCGTTTCAAAATATTGCTTTTCTGTTTTGCGCAGCAGCTCCGGCCCGGCGATGTCCAAGTGCGAGAGAATCTGCCGAAACGAGGGACGATTGCGTGGCTTGCTCTTCCAGCATAGCTTGACTAGCAGCTTAAATCCCTCCGGACAGGTGCTCGGAACCAGTAGCTTTAGGGAGTTGTTTCCCACACCCCAAATGATGGCCGATGAGTCCACATCCTTGTAAGGAATCTCGCAGGTCAGCATTTCCCAGAGCACCACGCCATAGGACCAGATGTCAACCTTCTCGGAGCAGGGTTCATTCCGTATCACTTCCGGCGCCATCCAGGCGACTGTGCCCGCAAAACTCATCTTGGTGCTGATCTCGTTCCACTCCCGACTCGTTCCAAAGTCGCTGATCTTCACCACCTCATTTGTACTAATCAGTATGCTAGCAGAAGATTTGAAGATATGGATTACTGTGAATAGGCTTTTACAAAGGAGGTTTATCAACTTACTTGGGACTCTTCAGATCCCTGTGTATAATCTTGTGGGAATGCAGATACTGCATGCCCAAAGCAATTTGCTTGGACCAAGAGACCAAGCGGGACGGTAACATGACTTGCTCCTCCTTGAGTATATTCTGCAGTGGGCCATAGGGACAAAACTCCATGATGATGCAGAACACAGGCGACTGCGTGCAAACCCCTCTGCGAAAAATAATGTAAAGGTGTTTTCATTAGGAGATAGTTTTTATTGCATATTTCCCTGTTTATTTCTCTATGGCAAAAATTATGGACATGAAGGATTTTTTAAATTTATTTTTACTCACTTAAACTTGATAATATTCTCGTGATCGAGTTTCCGCAAATGCTTGATGTCTGTTTCCTTCAGCTCCTTCACCTTCTTCACGGCAACAATCTCGTTTTTTAGCTTTCCACTAAAGACTGCTCCTTGGGCTCCACTGCCAAGCCACTCCAGATCCGTGATAGACTCGAACGGAATTTCCCAGTCTTCACTTCGCTGACTCTTCACCTCGATCACTCCAGTCTTTCCGATAAACGAGAGCACGGGCTTCATGCATCCCAGCAATCCATACATCCATCCGATCGGCTTATCCGGATGACCGAAGGCCGCCGCCGCCCCTCCGGAGTGAGGTGGCCAGCGTTGTTGGCACGAATTCTCGGCACTGCTGTCCGTGATTTCTGCATAGTTGGTGTGGTGCTGCAGTCGAGGAGGAGAGTCCAGATCGGGTGACTTAAATGGCAGGTCTGTGGCAGAGAGGCCTAGGTGACCAAACTCATCTTGCAGGCAAGCCATGCTGCAAATAGGTAAATAAAAAATTATATGAGTATCTTTTAAACGGGTTTTTGAAACTGAATGCCCCCGAATTTAGTTTTCTCACTTTTTTACTGTTAGAATAAAGTAAGAAAGCTCCTCTTAAACATGCCAGATTAAACGAATGAATTATATTTTTCCACTCAAATTCTGTTTTGTCTGTTTCCCTGTTTTTGGTATCTCACTCTTTTACTCGGTAGACAAGCAATGTTTCTAGCTGGGACCTTATCTATCCAAAAAAATGTAACAGAGAAAGTACAAATTTTTGTATACTTTGGAAAGCAAAAAATAACAGCTGATTAAAAAATAGTTTGATTTTTATGTGTTACGAAGAATCTAATGCGCAATAGAACATGTTTTTAGGGAAATCTTGTAGCCGAATCGGTTTGATAGATTGAGATATCGTGTACACCAGTTGGAAAAACATTGTTCCGATAAAAGCTAATTAACTTTTGAATAATTTGAAATAAAAACAAGAAAGGAAGCTAACTTCGGCACGCCGAAGTTTGTATACCCTTGCAGATTGGTTTTCATATTTATATCATAAATTATAATGCCGAAAACAGAGTTTTATAACATTTTACCTATACCTATTATGTTTACAGTTTGACAGTTACAGTTATACATTCCCAGCTTTATATATTTTATACATTTACCGATCGCTTCTATGGCAGCTATAAGATATAGTTGTCCGATTTTTATGAAATTTATACCAAAATTCTTTAATAATAAGTGAAGCTCATATCTCAGAGTAGATGAAAATACGTTGAAAAACAACGAAGTTATAATTTTTTTCGATTAATTTCCCGATCGTTCCCATGGCAGCTAGAAGATATAGTGGTCCGATTTTCACAAAATTTTTATCAAAATTCTGGAATAATAAAAAAAGGCTATATCCCAAAAATGATGCAATAATATTGAAAAACGGCCAAGTTATAATTTTTTTTCTAAAAATTTTTCGTACATTTGTATGGCAGCTATATGATATAGTCGTCCGATCCGGCCCGTTCCGACATATATAGCAGTGAGAGTATATAGAAGACTATATGCAAAGTTTCATTCAGATAGCTTTAAAACTGAGGGACTAGTTTGCGTAGAAACGGACAGACGGACGGACGGACGGACATGGCTAGATCAACTCGGCTGTTGATGCTGATCAAGAATATATATACTTTATAGGGTCGGAAACGTCTCCTTCACTGCGTTGCAAACTTCTGACTGAAATTATAATACCCTGCAAGGGTATAAAAATGGTTAAACTTCAAATATTTCCATCACAGTAAAACTAAATATTAAAGACAAGAAAAATAAATTTTTATAAAAAATCCAGGGTTGGCGTAATCAACAAATTATTAAAATCGATGGGCGCCACAATTATCAACGCAAAATGTTTGTGGCTATCAATCAATTAACAAAGTAGGCTATAAATAAGTTGTATTACGCATCACCTTTAAATAGTTCCAAAACAAATCTAATCGATAGTGGCGATATGGAAATCTCTTTAAGGCCCAGCATCGTCAATAAAAATATAGAGTACGATGAAAGAGTCTGAGTTTACTGATCGTAAATCTATTGCATTATAATCAAAGTGCCTTTTCGCGATTTCTGTGTTTACACACGCCATAATAATAATAATCGTTTTTCGTGCTGACACAGTGAACGAGCAGAAAAGAACGCAAACTTTGATAAAAACAAGCCCGTGCAAATAAATATAAGAAGTGATCGCTTGAATTTCAGCTTTTTACACACACACGGAGGGCCTTCCTGTTGGAATTCGTGTTTGCTTTTTGTCCGATAAGATAAACAAACGCAGGACAATTAAAGAGCGGAGTGTGGGGGTGATGCAGAAGCGGCAGCAGGTGAAAAAACATTTATCACTGCCAGAACTGCGGCGACAACAACAACTTTCCGGTAGAAAGTCTAATGGACGAAATCACCTGTTGTACACACATAAATACATTTGTACTATGTATTCATCAGCTTTATATACACACCCGCACCCACTCCCAGATTTCGCGCCAGTTACCGTTCTTCGCAAAACGATAGCCATTGATATTGAAAATAGGGGTGGGCGCGTGACGAACTTTCGCAGTACGTCATGAAAGAACTCAGGTTTTATACCCCGTATCGATAGGATGCAAGGGTACTACAGCTTTGTGTCTACTGAAAAATATAAGTAAAAGGAGGAAGAAAGCACAGCACCACAAAGAATGAACAAACATTTCTACATACACATACTCTTGGTCAGTATACGAATTCGGGTCTGTTCGTTAAAGCCTATATTAAAGATTATATTTACAGTCTTACAATTACAGTTGTACTTTCGCAGACGAGAAGGTGAAAATACCTTGAAAAACAACGATATTATAATATGTTTCTATTAATTTCCGATCGTTCCTATAGCAGCAATATTATATAGGAGTCCAATTTTCATTTAATTAAAACCGAAATTCTAAAATAACACAAAAATACCATATACTATAAAATATGAAAATATGTTGAAAAACAGCGTAGTTATAATTTTTTTTCTAAAACTTTTTTAATCATTTCGCCCGATCCCACATATGTACATACATATACATATAGCAGTGAGAGTAGTCAGAAGACTATCTGCAAAGTTTTATTTAGATAGCTTAAAGACGGACAGACGAACATTGCTAGATCGACTCGGCTGTTGATGGTGATCAAGAATATATATGACCATATGTATATAGTTTGTATGGTCGGACATGTCTTCTTCATAGCGTTGTAAACTTCCGACTGAAACTATAATACCCCGCAAGGATGTAAAAATATCCATTACGTATGTGTGTACCTATTTGTTCAAATCTTGAATAATAGATCCGCAATTTTATTTTAATGTTGGCAATTACTACTATATTACTACTATTTAGGGAAAATATTGTTTAATATAATTCATTTTAAAAGTTGTTAAACTTGGCAACACGACCCAAAATAACAATTGATTAATTTATTTTAATAATTTCTGAGATAAAGTATTGAAAAGAATAATGTTCTTTCACACATTGACGTGGCTAAATCAATTCGTCTGTTAACGCTGATAATTTCCCCAAATATTGTTGTGTAAACTAAGGTTTTACAGTTTTTGGGCCCTTTATAATAGGCCGCAATAGTAATAAGATTAAATTGGATTTCGTTTACAATTTAAATTTAAAATCAGCTCAAAAATGTAGAAGAAGGGAAGAATATGGCGAGCCAATCGAATAGTGTTTTGACGATAACGTATTTGTCTAGTGTCTCTTTCTGTTAAGTTTTGGAAACGGGTGACACTTAAAAGTATAGTTAGCAATATATTTTTTTTATTATTTTATATATACATATCTAAAAAAACAAGAAGTTCCCCAATCAACCTGTCACGCACCCACACTTCGACATATGCATCGATCTATCGTTCTTTGCAGCTTTGGTGAGCAGCCGACTGTATAGCCGTCCCGCTTTTGTGCGGTTAGCGGCACGAGCAAATGTCAAAAACCTTTCGCTTTTTTATGAATTTGTGAAAAAAAAAGCACTAAATTCGGTCGCCAAGTATTAATTTTAAAGCTGGCGGCCAAGCACGTTTTGACCTTTTGACGTGTGTAGTTCATAGAACGCGGAAATTTGGTGGCGTCTTTCTTCTTTTTCTGTTTTTGCCTAGGTCAGCTTGGTGGCTGCAACGCATAACGGTGAATCTCTGAGATTCATAGTGACTCAGTGCAGTTTGAGATACATAATATGTATACATTGCCGGGCATTTTACCTCTTTTCTTTGGTGATGATCTTGTCCGGTGGCTCATGCTGATTGTGGTCAAAGAACGATATAGTGTAGACCATGGCTCGTTACTCTTGTGTTTGTTTTCGTAATTAGTTGTCGCGCACTAAGAATATTCATTCATTCATGCGACGCGGCTGCATTAATGCAAATTTTTACGCCAGCACTTCTTTTTTTTTTTTTGTTTACGCACAGAGCCAACAACAACGCGCTGCCACTTTTGATTAAAAGTTCGTGCCAAGCACCAGCAGTTACCAACAGCAACAACAGCGAGCGCTTTTTGTCGTCCGATGTCTACAATAACAAAAAAAATGACGTCAAGGTAACTTTGTAGCGTTTTTGTTGTTACTTCTGCGTTAATTACAGGAGAAGACGCAACGCATAACACTTTCGTTGGCGACTTTCGAGTGTGTGTTGGTGGAAAAATAGATGTAATAATTTCCCGTCTGTATGTATTTCGCACACAATTGTACACTGATTTGGCGATAAGCCGTGTTGTTATTGTTGTTTTCGGCACACACACACACACACACACACACGATCGCGACAATCCAATCAGCCTGATGAATTTCCAGCGCAAAGACCGACCGTCAGATACTATTGAATTTCGCCAACTAAAAATTGCGAGCGGGAGCGCCGGAGCATAGCGGTAAAGCTTCGCATTATCAGCACAGCTTTCAGATGTTGCACTCTCTCCCGCTCTCATCTTCTCTTATCACATGGCTTTGTGGCTGGTAAAGTGGCCGCATTGGCGACTGCCTACACTGGATTGCCAGCCAAGTGGGACCTCTCTAAGCCAGGGTAGCCTCTGGTCACACTCAAAACCAGTTTCAGTCACTGGAGCCACATGATCAAAACACACAGATACAGCCAGGTGTGTCTTTGTGTGTGTTGGAATTGGGCGCTTGTGTTGGTATGGGAGTGCGACTAGGAAGTTTTTCAGTTGGCACCCGCAGATTTATTTCCCCGCTCCAGTTACAGTGGATATCAAGTGGAACGAAAAATTTCAAGTTTTTTTTATGTTGTTTAATAATAATCCATGTTTTACTAATTTTTAAAGTATTTTGCGTTACCTCAAATATACTCAAACCGAACAATTTTCTTTATAGCCTTGATAGTATTTGTGACCCTAATCTTTTTCTACCATAACGGTGGATCAGATCACAGTGTTCTTTACCCAGTACCCACTGTACTTTTATCATTTCACCACAAGCTTTTTGCTTTGCACGTGTTTATTTAGCGTTATTTATAATTTGCTTGGGGTTTTTTGCACCGATTTCTATTCAGACTCATTGAACGGAAACTATCTAAAGCTAAAGCCCCAAAATCGCCAAATTCACTCCGGTGCCTATCAGATATTCAGGTTTACTTGCCATTGAGTTAAATAAATTATATATTTTTATGGAAACTGATCTTGCAACCTGTTGAATGAAAACGTTCGAGAACAGTGCAATGAAGGTCGACTTCCCTGGCTGACTAGGCACATCTTACAGAACTCGATTTTTAGATGAATGTGAATATGTCTCTTAGAGGAGGTCTTGAAGAGTCCGGAATCCGGATATTAGATAGCTACTCACCTCCTCCTTAGGTTGTCCGTTTGATCCAGCGATAAGTTGGGACTGCTGCCGTGGTGTCGCCTCCGGCCATAGAGCTGCTGCTGCTGCCGGGATGCGGCGGTGCCATTGACCAGATCATCGCGACTTTTACTCAGACTGTCGCCGAACGGTTGCATTGTCCAGGATTGGGATTCGAGTATGGTTCCTTTGATTCGGTCTTACGACATGCTGGTCGAGGGGTTGGGGGTTTTATTTAGACACTATTTCTGTCGATACGGAAAGATAACGCGTTAAATCAATCATTTGGTGGTCAGGGAATTTCCTTTCACTCGCCCCGCACACGCACAAACGATAAACGGCAATCCTTTATCAATGAATGGCGAAAATCAATACAAAAGCGACGACGTCAAACGGCGAAAGGCACAGGATATGCGTACGAAAAAAGGAAACGAGATGGAAGGAGAGCGTGTGACACCCACGCAAGAGCCATGAGCACTCCGCAAAGTCAAAGAGAGCGTGCGACGATGAAGAAAAAGCGTCGATAATTACACTTTTCAATTATTCGCTTTGCATTTCGCATACATGTTTTTTTTTTTCACTTTCAAACTATTTTTACGATGCCTTAAAAAGGTAAATTGCACAAAGAATAACCAAGCACACAAGCGCACATCGAAGTATGTTTGTATATTTGTACATATATATGTATATTGTACATGGATTTTGTTGTTGGTGGTTCTACTTCTACTCTTTTTCTCTTTAGTTAACTTGGCCAAAGCTAGAACATAAAAAAAACAACACTGAAACTTTGCCATACAGACACACACACAATTCACTTTTCTCTATTTCCGTCTTGTTCACTCATTCGCTCTTGGTATCTCACTCACACCTTGGAAGCCGTACAGCGCAGCTTTGTGCTGTTGCTGTTTCTTCCTCTTCGTTTTCTTGTGCTTTTTGTTCCCTCTTGCTCTTTTGGCCAAGAAAATCAATAAACGAATATCTTGTATTTTGCACATTTTTCACAGATATCGCACACTTTTCCAGCCATTTTCCACTGCCAATTGCATTACATGCGCTATATCTTACATTGATTTGGTTGCTGGTGATGGACTTTTAATTGATTTTAACTTGAAATGAAACAATTAAAGACTGGTTTACGAAAACGCGTTAATTCCGACCAACCGTCCGCACCAAAGGTAGATACAAATCAACTGAAAAATACAAAAAACTGGCTGCTGGCTTTGGGCCGAAACCAAATCCGCTCTCAAGCGCTCTCACGGATTTCCTCCCCCGAAACCAGTTTGGAGCGCAGGTTACACTGCGCATGTGTGCGGGAGAACGAGGGCTCACGGGAGAGAAGAGAGCCATCCATATCCATGGCCAACCTACCCACCAAACACTTGCAAGGCATTCCGCTCATTCTGTTTGCTTGCTGTTGTTATCCACTGGTTTTCTTTCGATATTTGTTGTTGCTTCTCAAACTGGAGCTACATACATACATACATACATAGCTTAGCAGAAAAGCTTGGCTCTAAAACGTGCACGATCGTGTTCTGTGGCTCGAAGCTCTTAGCAGCTGCGTCAGAGCTTTGCCGTGAAAATGTGGAAAACGATAATAAACTCAATGACTGCCACTAAAACCCACACTACGCAATTAAAAATGCTGCGAGGCTTTCCCAAACGACATTTTCATCAGGAGTCCTTATGCACATGTGTATGTATAATAATAAGGACTCTGTACAATAAGAGATTCTACAGCAGAAATCATCGCCAGAATGACATCTTCTAAGAGAAAAACCCGTACACTCCGTTTAAACTTTAAAGTTAACGAAAAAGGATCTAGACAAAAATATTTAGTTTTGGATAAGGATTATACATATGTATAGGATAATTTCAAATATGACATTTACAATCTACATATTCTAGAGCTGATAAGATGTTATCCATTATTAATTATATATTCTTACGTAAGTGCATTAAGTCCAAAATAAAAGTACTACTAAGGGAATGCAATTTGATACTGATAAGAGTAGTCCGCCATCCAAGTCTTGTTATACAAGAGAAGAGCTCTAAAAACGTTGACTCTGGGTTTCTGTAAATAACCAATTCTATACCCCCCCAACATCTTTGTTCAACAGGTAGAAACTGAAAATAATGCAGCAGGTAGCATAATTTCTACTACGTAAACAAAGATGACTCACACGAACTGAAGAGGAGAGAATTCTTTTGGAGACCAAATATATGGGACACGATCGCAATGCTGCTCTCCTGACACTGAACGAAAATTCCGATTATCTTTTGACTAATTGTTTTTACGTTCAATGTTCAACAATTTAACATTTGTTTTTTGTTTTACTAGATCTTTAAACTTAAAAAGTTCTTCCGGTTACCATTTATTTATAATATTGCATTGCGCAAAAACATACCAAATTATTAATAATAAATTACAAAGAGTTTTCATTTAAGATACAACCCAATGTGCAACAATGCATATCATCTTCAGTCACATAATATATGTAAATATTAATTAATTTAATATATTAATATTTATTAATTGTTATCAAATTCAGAATGATCAGACAACAGATAATACTTTTTTTTTTTCAGTCCGGTGTTCCCTTGTTAGAGCATTTCCCCTCCTATCACACTCACCTAAACCACACATTTTCTTGTTTGCTGTCCAATAAATTGTTATGCTGCATGCGTGCCTTTCAGGCATTTTCCTTTGGTCCATTGCGCTATGAGTCATCGGGTTCAGGTATACAATGGTATTTGCAGACGGACAGGGTCCAGAGTCCAAGATCCCAGATCCTCGTTCAGGTTGCAGGTTTCATATCCGTCTATCGGTGGCACAAAGAGAGGTATGAAGTTTCATTTCAAGTCAAGTTTGTTCTTTAACAAGTGGGTATTAGGGGTGGATCAAGATAAAATGATCTTATCGAGATACATACAAGCATATCTTTGAGGATCGCTGTCTTCTCACCAATTGTATTTATTTTCTATTGTGACACAGATTTAAGGGTCTTCTTTTCTACCAAATTGTATAAGAAAACAAAAAATGATGCTAACTTCGGCACGCCGAGGTTTGTATACCCTTACAGTTTTTAATTGGATTATTAAGAATCGATCCATCCTAGTCAAATTAATAGAAACAAGAAAGGAAGCTAACTACGACACGCCGAAGTTTGTATACCCTTGCAGACTGGTTTTGATGTTTATATTATAGATTTAAATACTGAAAACACCCTCAAAACAGAGTTTCATTACATTTTACCTTTACTTATTATGTTTACAGTTTTACAGTTACAGTTTTACATTCCCAGTTTTACATATTTTATGCATTTACCGATCGCTACTATGGCAGCTATAAGATATAGTTGTCCGATTTTTATGAAATTTACACCAAAATTCTAAAATAATAAAAAAAGCTTATATCTCAGAGTAAATAACAAGAAAGGAAGCTAACTTCGGCACGCCGAAGTTTGTATACCCTTGCAGATTGGTTTTGATGTTTATATTATAGATTTAAATGCTGAATACACTCACACAACAGAGTTTCATTACATTTTACCTATACTTATTATGATTACAGTTTGACAGTTACAGTTTTACATTCCCAGCTTTACATATTTTATGCATTTACCGATCGCTTCTATGGCAGCTATATGATATAGTTGTCCGATTTTTATGAAATTTATACCAAAATTCTAGAATAATAAAAAAAGCTTATATCTCAGAGTAGATATCAAAAAATACGTTGAAAAACAACGAAGCTATATTTTTTTCCTATTAATTTCCTGATCGTTTCTATGGCAGCTATATCATATAGTCGTCCGATTTTCATAAAATTTTTACCAAAATTCAGAAATAATATCAAATGGCAATATCTAAAAAATGGTGCAAAAATGTTGAAAAACAGCAAAGTTATAATTTTTTTTCTAAAAATTTATCGAACATTTGTATGGCAGCTATATGATATAGTCGTCCGATCCGGCCCGTTCCGACATATATAGCAGTGAGAGTATATAGAAGACTATATACAAAGTTTCATTCAGATAGCTTTAAAACTGAGGGACTAGTTTGCGTAGAAACGGACAGACGGACAGACGGACATGGCTAGATCGACTCGGCTGTTGATGCTGATCAAGAATATATATACTTTATAGGGTCGGAAACGTCTCCTTCACTGCGTTGCAAACTTCTGACTGAAATTATAATACCCTGCAAGGGTATAAAAATGCGTTGAACGAAGCTATAATTTTAATTCTATTTATTTCCCGATCGTTCCTATGGCAGCTATATCATATAGTCGTCCAATTTCCATAAAATTTTTGCCAAAATTCTGGAATAATATAAAATGGGCATATCTAAAAAATTATGCAAAAATATTTAAAAACAGCAAAGTTATAATTATTTTTCTAATAATTTATCGAACATTTGTATGGCAGCTATATAATATAGTCGTCCGATCCGGCCCGTTCCGACATATATAGCAGTGAGAGTATATAGATGACCATATGCAAAGTTTCATTTAGATAGCTTCAAAACTGAAGGACTAGTTTGCGTAGAAACGGACAGACGGACGGACAGACGGAAAGACGGACATGGCTAGATCGACTCGGCTGTTGATGCTGATCAAGAATATATATACTTTATAGGGTCGGAAACGTCTCCTTCACTGCGTTGCAAACTTCTGACTGAAATTATAATACCCTGCAAGGGTATAAAAATAAGAGGAAATATATTAAGGGGGGACATCTGAGTAACTGGCAAAAAAAAGCCCATTTTATAGAATTTTTTTTTGCGAAATGAAAAAGCCAATTGGAAAATTTTAAAGTAGGTTTGATAATGTTAGATGTGAACTACAAAATAAATTTTTTTTAATAAATCGAAAACAAAATGGCGGCTGTGCAGCATGTCTTCGTAGGCCCTGTTTTTTTTGAAAGGGGTCCATGGCCGAAAACCTAACGTCCTTAATTTTTGATCTAGAACAAAAAATCAAATTTCGTTAGTTTCTGTATCTCAACCGCTATCGACACACGTAGGATTTTTTTACATATTTTGATTTTTAGCAAAATGGTGAGTGATTAAATAAAAAGTTTAATTTTCATGAAAAAAAACGTCACAAAATTGTTGTTAAAAAAAAAGTAAGCAAAAAAAAAAAAATCCTACGTGTGTCGATAGCCATAGGTATTTTGGATATACTGTCAAAATTTCAGATCGATCGGTTAAGATTTGTTCGAGTTATGTTTTCGGCCAACTCAAAAAAAGTGGTTTTGAGAAAAACGCGTTTAAAGTTTTAAAATCGTATATGATTACATGTGAGGCATCGCCGCAAAATGGAAAATTTCGACACTTAGAAACTTCTACCGGACTCTATCTTTTGATATGGTATTTTTAAGACCCTAAAGTATTTTTTAAGCAAAAAAAATTTTTTCGATTTTTAAAAAAAGTACTCAGATGTCCCCCCTTAAAACAATATATGTATATGTACATATATACATAGTACATAGCATATAAATGTATACTTTTAAGAGCTTGAAATAACTCCTAAATTCCGTTGCTAGTCTCTTAATATAATTTTAATACCCTTCCAGGGTATGAAAGCAGTCAAAATCATTGTCATAAGTCAAAAATGAATATAACAACAACACTTACATAAGCAAGATCAAACTAATTTTGTATAGTTGTGTGTAACATGTATTGTATTTATTTTCCCAATAAAAATGGTTTACATAAATAACTTTTCACACATTTCTCGTAAATTGCTTTTATTACCAGACTTAAACACATTTGACATATCTTAGGACCTAAACTACGACAATCGACATTAATCAGATTCAGCAAAAGTCTATTTCTTAAACATTTTGTATCAACTAAGTTGTAAATGCTTAATAATATAATTTAATGTAAGATTAATAAAGACAGACGATGCTGCGTGCTGTTAATATTAATTATATCCTCTTAGTGCTGTCAAAAAACCGGTAGCGAGTGCTTTTTAAAATAATGTAGCTTGGCACATTTTGGTTTTGATTGTTGAAAAGCTAAATGATCAATAAGTACGAATTGTTTCCCGTGACCTGCCACCAGTATGCAGGGAAATGATATCTGTGTTGCAGTTATTTGATGCTAGGAATGATATAAGGCCATATCATTCTTTGTCAGTTATGCGATAGCGAAGCGTTATCAAGATCAAAGAAGGGCGAAATGCGAAGTGCGATTAGGGGGATGCTTTTAGGGATGGGCATTGCAATGGTTGGGTCACTAGATGAGAGGTGAGTGTTTTAAAAATTGTTGATATTACCGGGAGGGTTTGTTTCGAGATCGGGAGTCGGGTTGATTCAGTAGAGCTTTAGGTATATCGTAGATATTAGGGAAGCAACGAATACGCATTTCGCTGTTAGAAGTAATAGCGGGGTACATATCGAAAACGAATCTATAAATAGTAGTCACAAAATTGAGATTATTAAATTAAGCGTTTGTATGCAAGTATATCCTCTGGAGCACATAATATACCTAAACGTTATCAATGATCATTTCTACTGCTACTACCCGTTTATTTATTTTTTTAATAGTTCTATATGTTAACTTAATACAAATATCAATATATTCAACTGTCACAGAACTTGTTTGCTTAACGCACTTAACGGCGGCTTAATAATTAATACTGGGTTAGATTCTCTCTTAATTTGACAGTGCGCTTCGAAAATGTGGAAGATTTCGAACCGAAAGTGCAGTGGGTGTGTTTTTCTTTAAGTTCTAAGAGCGAGTTTTGGTAAATGCAATTAGTCTGAAACAAAAGGAAAGTCGTTCTCATTGAAGAAACGCACTGAAAATCAATCAAGTGGAGTCTTTACACCCCTGTTAAGTGGAACCCAAATCATGTGTATTGTCGTTTTCACACTACGCTTTCCTGGTGGTTGCTTCTTCGTCTTCTACGAGCTTGCAACGAGGCGGGACTTTCGAGGAACCGAATATTTAAGTGAGGGAATGAGGGGGAACTTTGACATCCCCTTAATAATACAGCAATGTCTTTTCAATTATTAGAGAGGTACGAAAAATGTGTGCAGTTAGGAAACTTATTTTTGTACGTAAAAAATATCAGAATTTATGGGATAATTCAATGAAGTCTTGTGTTTTTTTTTTTAAGAAAATGTACACTCCTCTGTTTTAGGGTTAAACCAAACCCTTATAATAACAGTTTCAACTGGTGTTGAAAATACTATAAACTATTGCTATGCCTTCCACTGATATCCCTTTTTGTTTACATATTAATATGTGATGTTGGTATACCCTGTATGGACATTCCCTCTCTACTCTGTTCCTGTTCAACGCTCCTTATGTTAGTTGATATATGTGTTTTCAGGTACGCGCTGCATTGCTCTAGGTAACATTCCCTTTTCCGTATAGTGAAATCTGCTGAAGGAACATTGATCTTTTCTTCAGGTTTAAGCTAAAGGGCTAAGCTAGCATCTAGAATCCCTGGTGTTTATCGGCGGACTTTGACTGCTCGCCCGCCTCCAACTGCTCACGCTCCTGCTCTCGATCCTGGTCCTGAGCACCGTTCTCATCTTCCTCATCGCTGGTGTCCACGTAGTTGCGCATGGTTAGTGCCTGGAAGTCGTTCAAGGCCTGCTCGAAGAGATCTATGGTGTGCTGATTGTGGGCAATCACCTGCTGTGTGTTTCTCAAGTCTTGCGTGATGAGATCCTGAATCGAACTTGAGGGCGGCGAGGAGGCAGGCGAGCGTCCGGCGATCTGCGGATTTGTGGGATTGGTTTGCTCACCGCTGCTACTGCTGCTGCTGCTGGGGTCATCGCTGATGTTGCTGGCTGCCAATCCTCGGGTGAGCTCATCCGCATGCGCCAGCGTAGAGCCAATAATGTCGCTGGCTATCCTAATGGCCGCATCCGTTGCTGCAATCGTCGATATAAAACTGGAGGCAGCTGCTGCCACGGTGGCTGGAGAGGCTGTGCTGGTTGGTCTACTGAAGACGGTGTCACTGGTCACCTGATTTCCCTCGATCCGGAGACCGGCCACCCCCTTCTTCGGTATGGTGGCCAGATCCCGCTTAACCCGGCGGCAGCGAGTGGGTTCGTTTTGGCGTTGCTGGACGAGCTGCTCCAAATCCACAATGTAGACATAGCCGGCCACTAAGATGGTACATGACTTGTCGCCCTTCTTGAAGGCCTCCTCGATGTCCTGACTAGTGCGATCATCGTATTGCCACCAACCTGCGGTTATACATTTTTACAAGAGCAAAGTTTGGAATGGGAGCTGGGATCAAATCTCGGATCTTGGCCCTTTAATTTTTTAATCACAGTTTGGTTTTCTATCTAGGATGAACTTGTGGGAATAGGAATATGAGGCGGGGGGGATTAGGAGTTGGTGGGTGCGTGATTTAATCAAAGCTTAGTTGTATCTTAGGTGATTGCTGAGCCCAGCGACGCCTTTGGTTACGCCAGGGACAGCATCGGTGCTCTTGCATCGCATGATACTGCGTCGCCTAGTGGGAGTCGAGCGGGGATATTGCTTCATTTTCAGAAAGTCAATAACGTAAATTTCCCCGCAGATCAGCTGATGCAACCTGCCCGCATGCGGACCAATTTCGGAGAGATCATCGGAGGCGCTACTCTGCCAATCCTCATCAGCCGAGTCAAAGTAGTCGAAGGCGTCGTCCCCAAAGATCGAATCCCCCTCCTCATCCTCCATTTCAATCGTTTCGTCTTCGGAATCACCTGTGTATAGCTCTATAGAAGATTCAGGAAAGGAAGGCAGTGCAGCGTTGCCAGGCGGTGCACCTAGGACTGATGCCATTGGTTCAGTGACAGCCGGCTCCGTTGTCTCGGGAGGAGGAGTACGAATGGGATTTGCTGGATTCGGGGGATCCTCTGGGATGAACGGAGGCTCACCCGCCTTGTACGTTTGATAACCGGCGTATGCGATCTCAATATCTTCGTTGGTCCGAGGATCGTAGGCCCACCAGCCACCTAGATGTGCAAGGTGCGTGTGTTTTTGGTTGGGGTTATGGGGACATGAGGGGCGGCCAACACCAGAAGAGTAATTCTACTTACCGTTCCTGCCCTCATAGTACCACTGGTAACCGTCTTCCGTCGCTCGTGTGGCGCAGATGTCCTCAATGCCGTTTACCTGTTTAAAAAAATGTATAACATTTAAACTAACTCTGGTTTCTTAAATGTTCTGGGGAAATGTGTCTTACCAGCTGAGGATGGTCCAGGAACTCGGCGGGAATCTCTCGACGGCACATTGCACAGCGTCTATTTTTATAGGCAACACCCTGTCAATGGATCGGAAATACGTATTTGTTATAAAAATTATTTTCACATAAGTGAAATCCTATTAGTTTTCTAAATGACTTCATTATGTAAACTATACTAAGCGCGGACTTTTTGAAAGGAGTTTCAAGTTGAACAGGGGAATGTTGGGGTTTCCAGCCTGTAAAACACTCGCCCCGCGTAGAAGTGGCTTTAACTCACGCCCAAGCGACGTAACGTAGTTTAGGAACTGGAAAATGCACTGCTAATCATATGCTGGTCTCTGGCCTAAACTAGTTTCATGTGTCTGGGCGGAAAGCAATTGACCAGTCGCCAGCCGGAAGCCAATCTAACTCCACAAAGCTAGTGCGTCTACGTCTTTGCCAGGCGTGCTAATCAAGCAGTCAGGCGCGAGGCGTCGCCAAAGGGTTGAGAACAGCCTTGAACTTGACTACGTGCTGCTTGAAATTCAAATTCCCCCCAATTTGACGATGCGATCCGCATTGCTAAGTTGCTGAGAAACGCTTCCGCTGTTGGGTGTTGGAACTACGCACCTTAACACACAAGAAACAAAAGATGTGGCCACAGGGGAGTCGCGCTGGATGGATGCAGGTTTGCAAGCAGATGGGGCACTCCAGAGCAACAGCAGATGATGGTAATGAGGAACCCTCGCCAGAAGAAGTGGTTGCTGCAAGGGAAAAACCTGTCATTAGAAAGTGTAATTTCTAGAAAGTATATACATATGTATACGTCCATACATACATACATACATATGTATTTATGTATATAAAATGTCTGCAGTGCTTGTCACAATAATTTAAGTTGAATATTTGGATATTTAATAATTTTAATTGTACAAACAGTGGGGTATGCTCAAGGCTTATATCCTTCTCACCTGCTTCCACGTTGATGCTTTTCCCTGATGCTTCTGGCGTTGTGGGGGCTGAAGCAACCGCTGGGGGCGTGGTGCCAGTAGGAGACAAAGTATCCTGATGAGGAGCAACTGCGGCAGCCCTGGCCAAAGTTCCTGCTACACTTCCTGTCCCCTCTCCGATCAGCGAACGAGCTGCAGCCGCCGCGGAAGTGGAGGGCGACAGGCAGAGATCAATGGTGGTGGTAAGCGGGCGGACGACTCCCACAAATTGCACGTCCTCATCTTCTTCGTCATCGTCCAAGTCAATCACATTGTTAAGTTCTGTGGCGCGTTGTTGCGACATGTTTGGACTTGCAAGAGCTCGTCAGGCACCAGTGGATCAGAAATCAAACGACTCGATGTCGCCGTCGTCGTCAAAATTGTTTTTTGTTTTCGAAAAAAAAAACATCAAATATCAGTGTGGCCAGAAATTGTTGTTAAAAAAAAACATATCAGTGTGGCCAGATAACATTTGGATTAGCGGTTATACTATTATGACATTAGCGCATTAATTAGAGATTTCATTAAAGATTTGACAGCGCTATAGCGTTTTAGACAAGTGCGAGCAAGACGACTATATAGCACTAGAATAATTCATTAGCAACTTCATTGCCGCGTAATATGCAATAGATTTTAGTCGAGCCCCCTCAAACCTAGTAAAAATCATTAGTAAATTAATTTTTAAGCATTTATAAACTTTATTTTGTTCAAATTAGTGCCTTATTTACGAAATAAATTAAAAATAAAAAACCTCTTCCATGTTCCAATTCCCACCATTCCATTTCGACGGTAATTTGACGGACATTTAGCGTGTAAAAACAGCTTTTTACATATGTGAATTTACCTCATGAACGCGCGATCTGGTACTTTTGGTCGCTCATGAACGAGAAGAACGTTGCCAGACTGTTGCTTTTTAAATAATATTTTTATAATCCTCATTATTATTATTTATTATTATTTACAGAGAATAGGTGGAAGACATGGATAAATAGGTGAGGAAATATAATAATCAATTATCCGTTGACAGTGTTGTAAAGCATTCAACTAAGTTTAAATTTTATTTCAATTAATTTTTGATAAAAAATTTTAACCTCACGTTCAAGTTAAAGTTTATTATGTTTAGCGCTTTAATTTAATTTTCTTTCTTTTCTCTCATTTGTAAGTATTGCAACTATTGCTTAATTAAAAATCGTTTAAAGTAGAGCTAAAATTGTGATAAAACTGTAAAGGCAACATGTCTTCATAAAAATAATTTGAATAAGTTTTTTTTTATATTGAGAGCCAAGGAAAATATAATACAAATTCAAAATAAATATGCCAAACATGTAAACATCTATGTCGAATTTATTAAATTCTTTGTAACTGTAGAAATATGCACATAGCGCAAGTTTATAATTGTGTCAGTTTAGTTGGTTTCCTGATAATTACACTTGAATATTATGGTTTAAACTGTTTCTGCAGGCCTTTCACATTCTTTGGCGGTGCTACATTAATAACGCTTTATTAAATCCAACAAAAACCAATTAAAATTATTCGCTTCATTACATACAACACCTTTTGCGCCAGCCGCCGCTCACAAAAATCCAACGAGAATTTAACTTCATAAAAATTGACAGCCCTGCGCCCAGCGTTTCGGTCAGCGAAGGCATCACGCACTTTTTAATATGCAGCCGGCATGCGACAGGCCAAAAAAGAAGTAAAATGTACAAAAAGTGAAGCACAACAACGGTCAGTTGCAGTTGCCAGGACCTCGGACTCATTACACAAAAATCAATTTTTGGTTTATTTTTGCGTTCGCTCCTCTCTGTGCCCCACAATCCCGTGCCATTTTTTGTCAATTACATAACACACCCACACAGACGCAGGGCAATTGCCTAATTGCGCGACGGACAAACGCGTCGAAGTCAACTGCCGACGAGTATTGTAAATTACTCTCGTTCTGCTCCGATGTCCTGGTGTCCTGTCGTCGTCCTTCGGGCTGTTTAATGCACGTGTCCCTCTGGGCGTTTTAAAAATGTGTTGCCTGTCCCGGGATGCCACTGATTCGACGTGATTTGCCTTGGGGAATTGTGAAATCCAAAAATATAAATTAAGGAGCAATTCCTAAAAATTCGACTATCGGTTACCTGGTTTTTGAGTAGGTAAAATGATGTACACACGAAAGTAAATTTAGGTAAACTAGTAATTTTTCTTAAATATTATATTAAATGAGATGTATCAAATCTCGATGTTATAGAAAACAATTTTAGTTGAGAAGCCTACATTATAAGTTATTAAGCAATATCTTTAACTTTATTATCTGAATACTACGACTTGTGTGTTGTGAATTGTGTAATTTTGCAGAAAATAAATCTATAGATATTTTCATTTCATGAATTAGGGAAACAATTGTGTGCCTAAAAGGGTGTGTTTGGTAATTAGTTCTCAATATATACAATAACCGTGTGCCTAACTTTCATTAATATAAATAAATTGAGGCAAACTTACTAAAAATGGATGTGTAATAGCAGAGAGTCTTTTGACTGATGCAGTATAATGTATCTTTTTTAAATTCTAGTGTTAAAGAATTCATGAAAATCATAGTTTAAACAAAGAAAGTTAAAGTAATTGCAACGGAACTCATATCTATTTAGGAAATCCATGGCTCATACAGAAAACTGTGCTGTTGTTTTCCTTAAAAAAATGTACAATATTAGTTTTGTAAAGATTGATTTAGAGTTTAGTAACCTTTTAAGGAAAAACACAACGAAAAAATGTTTTAATTTTATTAATATGGTGACAATTATTTTTTTTTTAGGCATCTAAATCATCATCATCTAAATTTAAGATCTTTAATAAAAAATATTCAGTTTTCCCGAGGTATATAAAGTTTATATTATAAACAAAGCCCTTGAATTCTGATATACCCCTTCAGACTGCGATGACGAGGCATTAAATCGCTCACTCGAACTATTTAGTATGCAAGGCAAGTCCTTCAACTCTCGGCACTCAACCCTTTATCCTGAGTGCTCGTTTTTGCACTTGATTTTTGTCATAATTGTTCTATGCGCTGCACAATTGAATTTTTATTTGGCAGCAAACGATCGTGGGGCCAGGAAAAGTTGAAAATGTGATGGGGCTTCATTGCTTCATTGCCTCGTGGCCACAAAAAGAAGGTCATAAAACGAATAACAAATAAATGAAAAGAAAACCTCAAATCTTAATGTAATTATCTGGGCAACAAAAAAACAAGCGTTTATAAGGGAAGGATGCCTCAAGATTATTAACACAAAAGAGGGCCGCAATGGTCGTCATAAGCGTAAAATTATTGCCATCCCCCAGACTTCGTCACCAGGATTTTTACCATAAAAAGGAGAAAAAATGAAATTTCACGTCTGCTCACTTTGCACCCTCCATGTAATAAGCTACTTTTGCATCTTGCCTATTGCTCTTTATTTTATCATTTTCTGGGCTTGTATTTCTCTCCCCCAAAACATTTTTATATCGGTTTTTTTTGGGGAGTCGCTAAATCCCCTTAATAAACGAAAATTGTGTGCATTACATATCGGAAAGTGTCAGTGTCGGCCTAAGCTCTAATAAATTTACGATCGGAATTTCGCAAGAAAGTCTTATTGGTTAACTAATATATGGGGTTATTCGATTAAGAGTAGAAAAGATCTCGTTATTTTATATGATCAGTTAAAGAATATTCTTAAAAGTATTACTTCTCTGTGCCTTTTTTTATTTTGTAATAAATTAATAATAGTACAAACGCAAAAAGAGTTTATGTTCATTTAGTAGAAAAAATATGTCACTGTTTAATCAGTGAACTACTTTCTGAAAAGTGACCTTCCTGTCAGGCCGCCTTCACCATACTTTCGCAATTCTTCCTGCCAGCTTCAGAAGCAGCTTTTTAATTAAAATATAAAAACGAAGGGAACGTGCCGCGGTCGTTAGGCAATAAACTTGGACACCGCGCATCCTGCCAAGGACAATTACCAGGCGGAAAATGTCGCAACATTTTCGCCCCTTATCGCAGCCTCGGTACTTTGGGCCAAGGAATTCCGAGCCGCGGCATAAAGGAAAACGAATTAACGACATTGTAATGCTTATCTGAGAGAAAAGGTCCTTTGCGGAGGGCACAAGGCGTATCCTTTTCCGTCCCGCTCTCCGAAACATATTTTCCCTGGAATCTTAGGTAGGACCTACAAAAAAAAAAGGGAGAAAAATCTTGATTTTTAATGTTTAACGCTTTATTTAATTATGTGCAGACGAGACAACTTGAAGTTTGCTAATAAAATGCTTAAGGAGTGCCGTTTCTGCTTTCCCTCATTTTCCATGAGCAATAAAACCCACAAAAAATGGGCTAAAAACTTCAGTTTTTTCAGCTACTTTCGCTCTCTGTTCTTTTTTTAATAAAGACTTCAACAGATGGGCGGCGATAAAAAGGCAAAGATTATGGCACAGACTACAAAGGAGATGCTCGTGGAGGTCCAGTGTCGTGTGGCTTTTGACACCCCCGAAAAAAAATACACAAAAAGAAGCCACAGTTTCTGCATTTTCCCCCATTCTTTTCACATTCAAATTGGGCTCGGACAATGGGCCAGACGCATAAGATTTAGTTTTAAGCGTTAACACTTGACCCAAGGACAAGGGGTTGCAGATGAGGGTCCTGCTGCGAGAGTTGCTTACTTTTTATGGCTTTAAAGATAAGCGTTTATGTCTTATTCGTTTTGTCCTAATGCGCAAACTTTTAATTAGCACGAAAAGAAGTTCTCCCCCACGCCGAACAAACTCGACACCTGATGAAAGCGATACAAATAAAACTCAAATACAAATCGAATTGCTGTTTTTGGCCATCCAACCCCTGGATACTTAGCCTACTTATGCGCATCATTTGCCTTGTCACCTGTTGTTCCTCGCGCTGATTTTAATCTTTAAAATCAATATGCCAGGCGACAGGCCAAGCAGATGGAGCTCCGCGGTAAACACGACAAGGGGAGTTCTGTGGAGCAGTCGGGGAACTTGGGAACGGAGCACCCCGAGGGTGTTAACTGTGACATCCTTGACAGGTGTGGGAGTGGGCGGAACCTGCTTGTCCTGAAGTTGACTCCCGAATGTCTGCCCAAAGCGCCTGTAGGCAGCAGACAGTCGGGCAAATTGAAATGACTTAGATTACATCTGACTTTTATAAGCGGATATTGGGCGTGGCAAAGTTGGCAAGTGCCAGTTACCGATACGGAACGGAGAGACAGTTAGAAAAAATATTGCACAAATTTCCTAAATCTACAAAGCATACTCTAAAGGCATTCAATGAATTTGAAACATTTCAAAATTTTGGTAATTATTCATTGAATGTACCTTTATCAGGTTTTGAAATCAATTAAAGTAAAGGAATATCCACTTTGATGTGGTTTTTATTTTGTACATTTCTAGGCCTTCATATACAGATATTATAACAATTTATTTTATTTCAGACTTTCCAAACGAAACTTAACCGAAAACTAGCTTTATAATTTTGAAGCTGCCATGAGCTCCGGTCCGAAAATCTACATGGACAGAATGGTCTTCTTAATGATGTCGATGCTCTCTCGCATTTGGCTTTCAGTGATGACCAGAGGTGGGGCGAATCGGATGATGTCGCCGTGGGTGGGTTTCGCCAGGAGACCGTTCTCCTTAAGCTTCAGGCACACCTGCCAGGCATCGTATTCTGAAAAGAAGTTCAAGGATCAGCAAGACGCTCTGCCGAAGTCTGTAGAAACTTACTCTCGTTAATGACGATGGCGTTGAGAAGTCCCTTCCCGCGGACTACGGAAACCACGTCCTTGGGAAGATCCGAAAGCTCCTTGCGCAGCAACGCACCCATTTTAAAGGCATTCTCCGCCAGCCTCTCCTCCTGTAGGACCTCCAGAGCGGCCATGGCCACCCGACAGCCCAGGGGATTACCGCCATAGGTGGAGCCATGCTCACCGGGTTTGATGCAGAGCATGACTTGGTCGTTGCACAGCACCGCAGACACGGGATACATGCCTCCGGACAAGGCTTTACCGAGAATCAATATGTCTGGTTGGACCTGCTCGTAGTTAACGGCCAGCAGTTTTCCTGTTCTCGCCAATCCCGTCTGCACCTCATCGGCAATCCAGAGAACATTGTGTTTGGAGCACAACTCTCGGACTTTCTTCAGATAGCCTTCGCTGGGCACCACCACACCGGCCTCGCCCTGAATGGGTTCCACCATAAAGGCGCACACATTGGGGTCCTTGAGTGCCTCCTCCAGGGCCGTGAGATTATCGTAATCGATCAGCTCGAAGCCAGGCATAAAGGGTCCAAATCCCTCATAGCTGCTGGGATCATTGGAGGCGGAAACGGCGGACAGAGTGCGGCCCCAGAAGTTGTTGCGGGCGAAGATGATCTTGGCCTGGTTCTTGGGAATTCCCTTTTCCAGATAGCCCCATTTGCGGGCCAGTTTGCAGGCAGTTTCCCCGCCCTCAACACCAGTGTTCATGGGCAGGACCTTGTCGAAGCCAAAGAGTTTCGTGACGTACTCCTCGTATTCTCCCAGGACATCCGAATAGAAGGCACTGCATGAAGAAAAGTTGAAGATGTTAAGTTCTAAGAAGATTGAAATGGAACACATGTATGTGTATCCTAAGAAAACAGCTGAGCAATAGCGAAGTTAAGTCTGTTCTTCCCCAGAAAAAAAAGAGATTTTTTAAGTTGCTTTAATCTTCAATCAAATATAGGCTAGGCACTAAAAGAAATATGAGACATTGTCCTAACCCAACAGAATACTATCTGCATTTATTTCCAAAAATGGTCGAAAGACTCTTTCCTGTTTATAATTCGACTTATTTAGCTTATCACACCTAGTTCTATATATAGAATTCGCAACCAACAATAACATGTCATCGATCTCCGATTTGTTATCAATGATCCTAGTGTGACTTTATAGCCCCACTCAACCTGACAATCTGGCCCTGGCAACCCAAAGGAAACCAAATAAAACCGGCAAAAGAGATTTCACCTTAGTTAAGAGCTCGAGTGCAATAGAATAATTCAATAAATTTATTTCTGACAGAGAAGTGAGAATTTATATATACCTACATATATATATGTTTGTGCTTTTGTATGTACTAGGGGCTGATAAGGTTTCAGAACAATCCGTGGGGGGTTATCACGCCGTCCAAAGTATATATATGGGTAAAAATAAAGCAACTTGGGAAGTAAACAAAAGCAGCATGTTTTTCTAATTAAAGAGGCTAGGAAAAAAACTCAAATCAGTCAATCACATGACATTTTTGAAATCTATTTACTTGATTTTTAAAGGTTTTTATTGCTCCGAAATTGTAGTTTTAAATTTATTTAATCTGGTCTAGACACATTAAATAAGAAACACCCCCGACATTGGCTTCTCTATCTAAGATTCAATTAGCATAAGCAACAACAATTATTAACAATTCATTGAGTTTAATTTTTCAGTTGACAACAGAAAGAGAATATAGCGAACACTGGGCCAGCACTTGAGCTACGGTAAACAAAAAGTTTCCAAAACAACAAATCTATAAAGATTAGCGTGGACTTTTAATTTCTAAAATTAGAGAGGTTTACTTAAAGATGGAAAAGAAATTATATATTTTAATTGAAGGATTGCGAAGTATAGCAAGTATTTACATTTAAAAATATTATTAAAATATTAAATATAAAAAAACATTAAAAGTCCATCCCTATGAATATAAATATATCACTCTTATAAAGCTTCTTGGAGCTAAGAGATAAGCTTTTGAGGGGCACGTCTTGGTTTTTTGAACTATATATTTCCATTGTTTCCCTTTCATTCACTCACCGGGAGGTCAAGGCCAACTTGGAGGCCTGTTCAGTTAGGGCCTTGACGATTTTCGGGTGGCAGTGTCCCTGGTTAACGGCCGAATAGGCACTCAAGTAGTCGAAGTAGCGTTTTCCCTCAACGTCCCACACGAAGACGCCCTCGCCCTTGGTCAGGGCCACTGGCAGGGGGTGGTAGTTGTGGGCGCCGTATTTGTTTTCACGGGCGTAGACAGCCTCCGAGAGGGATCCGGCGGATGAGGTTGATTCCTGGGCGGCTGCCTTCTGGGCCAAGCAGCTCAGGCGGGTGGCGATGCCGCGGGTATATAGCTTTGAGAACATGGTATTTACTTAAGATCCCTGGCACTCTGACACTTCCACTGGTGGATCGATGCTCACTGAAAGTCCGTTGGCCGGGGGCGGCAGCTTTTTATACCTCGGATCGGGGAGCAATAGCCATGGAGAGTCGTACCCCCATGGAGCTTGCTCTCTTTCTTCATATTAGAGGTTTACGCCGATGGTTAAAGGCATCGGCGGCGGCGTAGAGGTCAAAATGACTCGGCGGCGGCGGCGTAGTAGTCAGAAAGAACCGGCGGCGGCGGCGCGTCAAATAAGGCAAAAAGGCCATTTTAATGAGTTATTTTTTTTTTTTTAAGTTTTATAAAGAACAATGACACTGAAGGCCGCGCTGAAGCTGCGCCGATGCCGCACCAGCGGCGCGCCGCGGCGCGCCGCTATTTTCATAATTTGGCGGCGGCGCGTCAAATAAGGCAAAAATCGGCGGCGGCGGCGGCGTGGCGCGGCGGCGTATATGTCTACTTCATATCAATCTGTTCGCGGCTCTCTGACTTTGGGTTTTCAGTTCGTAACAGAGAGTGCCTTATCTTATTACATTGAGAGTGACCCGTAGTTACAAGCAATTATTCATAATTTTCCATATGATACTTGGGGAATTGGAGTATTGGCAGCTGAAGATACATAGTATTTATGCTTGTAATCAGCTAAAAAATTTCCACTGCTCAATTGATAAAGCTTGGCGAAGCTTTCTGTGCAGAAATAAATTACACTTGAAAGTTTCGTCTGTCCAGAATTTGATAATCGATTGGCTTAAGTGATATCATGAGAAGAAAAATGATGACAATAAGCTAAAAGATGATTATTTATTAATTTACTTCACCACGAAGGAACTAAAAATGGGCAATTATTTTAGCAATTTGTGTCAATAAAAGTTTATCTGGTGTTTAGAACTCTCATCTGACGTCAGCAACGTTTATCTTAAAAAATAGATAGTCTTATAAAGAAATTATGTATGTATACCTAAAATTAAACATGTTGAATCTAATTGTTATAACAATCCAAATATGCCAAATATTATGAATCAAAATTCATTCGCAATAAAACCTTGATGTATCGTTATTTCCACCCAGAGAGAATTATATATAAGGTATCAAGAAAAATAACTTAATTTAAAGAAAACTAACTCCGATTCAGAACTTTACTACTCAAAGCTAATAGGCGTTGCTCAACATATCCCTAGCAACATTTGAATCATTATGAATCGACACTCATTCCCAAAAAACCCTTGAATTATCCTAGTTTCTACACAGAGAGAATTATACATAAGGTATTAAGAAAAATAACTTTATTTAGGGAAAACTAAATCCCTCTCAGAACTTTATTACTCAAAGCAAATGGGTCTTGCTGAACATATCATCAGAAACTGCACTAATTTTGGGTGTTGTGCAATATTTTCCAAGCTATTTACAAAGATAGTCTTTATTTGTCAACATTATCTTCTGCATTCCGCTCTGTTCAATTCAAATTTTTCATAATTAGACATGTTCCTTCCAATTTTACCCACAATGATTTGGGTACCGGGTATCTCCCAATAGCTCACACGCAATTGTAGCTCCAGAAAGGGTACATTAATCCTTAAATTGGGAGTTTTTATCGAATTTTAATTACTCATTGAGTATGATTCCCATAACATCCAATAACTCACCTTGTAAAGCTCAATTATTTCCACAAACAAACTTAGCTAGAACTTATTTTCATGTATTTATTCGATTTTTCATAAATAATTTATGGGCTTAAGAATTTACAACTAATTTTTGCTTAGAGATGATAATTCTCATTCATCATATGTTTTATCAATTAAACATTTAACAATTATAGCACGTTCAGGGAAATTACGAATAGATACATACTGATAATTAAGTACAAACATCATATACACATATGACAGTTGAGAAGGCAACCCAAAAATTGCACTAATTGTGGTTTTCCATTAAAAAAAATATATATATAAACAAAACAAATTTCATTTAAAATGAAAGCATATGAAATCTACATACATGTCGAGTTTTTACAGGGCAAATACAGCGGCCTCTTCGTTTCTCTTTTTGTGTTTTGCGGGCGGGTAGCCTACTTTGGGGGATGCCCGATTAAACATCAATTTGCTCGTCGCGCTTCATTAGCTACCACAAATACAATATTTTATTAATTAATTTTAATAAATTCACGCTTTGATTGCAATTATCAATTCGACCGTTGTCCCTCGTCTGGCCCCCCTACTCCATGGCCTGGGACACGCTCTGCTGGGGCGACTGGGCAGGCGACAAGCTACGCGGCGTTGCCGTGGCGGCCACCGCCTCACCGGCGCCACCTGACCCGCCTCCTCCTCCGTTCCCGGCTGCCCTCTGCTGCTGACTTTGGGCCTGGCTCAGGAGCTCCTTGTTCAGGCGGTAGCTGCTCATGACATTGGCACAACTCTGGTGGAAGTAGAAGTTGCGGCCGCGCAGGAACGCATCCGTGTTGAGATCCTTTATGCCTGTCTTGGGGGATAGAAGAGAGGCGAAAACAAGATTAGGATGGCAGTCACAGGCTCCCACTTTCGAAGGGGATTGTGCATTAAGCTAGAGTAGCAAATATAGGAAGGGAAAGAGAAAGTTACGGGGCTTTGACTGGGGGTCTTAGTAGATCGTGCTGGACTTGGGTAAAATTGAGAACTGAAGCAAACTGAGAAATTACCTTACAAATGAAACATTTGTTTTCATCGTCCGGTTTTAAATCCGAACTAATCCCCACCTTTGAGTCCAATTGCGTTAATCCCGGCACGCCCATTGACGACAACTGCGACAGGCTGTTCTCCATGCTCTCCACATACTTCGAAGTCGGATTGTTGTTGTTATTGCTGCTGCTATTATTGTTGTTGTTGTTGTTGCTGCTGCTGTGGGAGATGTCCATGGGACCTGGCTCGGTGCTGCTCACCTGCGGCTCCGAACGGGGTCTCTCATCCACGGGTGAGATGTTCTCCAGGGATCTGCAAACGGAGAGTTGAAGAAATCTTAAGTTGGAAGATTTTGAGAAAAAAAATCAGCAGACCAGTCGATCTAGACATGTCGGTCAGTCTGTCTTTCCGTACAAAACCACAATCTCAGGGACTATAACTACGAAATGTATATTTGTGTAGACGTAATCTGTAAATTTCCATTCAATAGCAATGAAAGTTATTAGAAATTTAAGATACAATCTTATACCTTATAACGATGCTTAGGGCACCGGGTATTTAACAGGAGAAAAACTCGACTGTATTTGGTTCAGCCCCGTCTCATAGATCCCTTATGATCGGCAGTTAGCCTTTCATTTAAAATAACAAAAAGAATTTCGGAGTTTATAAATCCATCTTTCTAAATGGTTGACTTATTCAATTCTTGCTAGATAAATATTATTTTTTTAGATATATCTTACTAACTATCCAAAGCTACGGATGACCAACTGACCTGCTGCTGCCCACATTCTGTTCCTCCTGCCGCCGTTGTATTTTGCTGTAATTGAGCTTGCTCGGCACCTTCACGGTGTCGTCATCGTCCACAATTACATCCTCGTCGCTATCATTTTGGCACGAGGCCGTGTCCATCATTAGGTCCTTGCTGATGCCGCCTCCACCCGCGCCGCTGTTGGTGTTGATGTTGGTGCTGCTGTTGTTGTCGTTAACGCCCACGCCACAGGAATCGGCGTTGTAGTAGTGATGTGTGGTGGATGACAGCTCGCTGACGGTTTTCACTGAGGGTTAGATGAGTAAGGGAGCATAATTAGCATAGGGCAGTGCACTTACAGAAAAGAGGAGCACTAAATGAAATGAATATACTTATTCTTTTCTTTTTAAATTTCACTGATACTCAAAATGTGAACAAGTAAACCAAAAAATATATAGATATATTGTTTATGGGTAAACTAATTCGATTATGAATATTTTGAAAGGATATATAAAGTTTTTTTCTCTGTGTGTACGAGCTTGGAATAAAGACCTACCACTGATATGTGCCTGGGGTGGTGCGTTGATCTCGCCCGCCCAGCTGCTGCTGCTGGCCGTTGTCACATTGGTGCTCACATCCTGCTCGTCGGCATGCTGATCCTTCTGATTGATCACACAGGCCGTTCGGTAGAGGATCCCGTCCAGCTTGCCCGGTTGCGCGTTGCTGTTGTGCATGCTGGAGGCGGGAAGAGCGCCCGAGGGTCCAGATCCAGGTCGGGTTAGTTCAGAGCCCGAATCGGGCACATCGTCATTGCAGCTTTCTACATCAACTGTCTCGATCTCCTCCTGAGATTTGGCATCGTCCTGAAAAAGGAAAAAAATTAAAATTCACATATTATTTTTGTAGATTTTGTTTGCATTTTTGATAAGTTCATTTTGTTTAATTATTGAAAAAAATTCAGGAGAATTTCAACTCACCTCTGGCGGTATTTTCCCCGTCTCCAGGGCGTACTTCCTCTTACAGATCGGACAGCTGCTGCAGTAGAGACTCTCCATCATGTACATCTCGCCGTACTTGCGCTTTCGCACTTTGAGTCTCAGGCGGTTCTGGCGATTGTTTCGTATCCTCTGGAAGGTCTGGAAGGCGAAATGGCGTTAGGCGGATATAGGATATAGTCCCATTAGGGAGACCCACCTCCCAGCGGTTGTGACTGGTGCGAATGGCGTTCTCCTGCGCCGGACATGGCGGAGCGAACATGTAGGTGGCCTGCAGATTGGCCCGCTCAAATCCCGCGCTCAGCTTGAACAGCCTGTCCAGCTCGGTGAGGAAGTGCGTGTGCCACTCCTCGGCGCTCAGCTTCAGTCCGCATATGGGACACATCTCCGGGATGGCTCCGCCGGCGGCTGCCGCCTGGAGTCCACTCACCAAGCTCAATCCACCGGGAACCGCGCGCAGACCCGCCATGCTCAGGCTGGCCAGGGCCGCGTGGTGGGCGGCATGGTGATGCGACAGCGGATGCGGGTGGGCCATGTGGTGGTGCGTTGTCACCGCCGTGGACGTGGGCGGCGCTCCCACGTGGTGACCGTGGTGGTGGCCATGGGCATGGGCATGCGGATGTGGGTGGGCAAGCGGGTGCGGATGCGAGTGGGCGTGCGTGTGGGGGTGGTGGTGCGGCGAGGAGGCGGCCAGGTGGCTGGCCATCGAGACGGCCACGCTGCTGGGCGCCGTGCTGATGGCTGGGTTGCTGGTGGAGCAGGAGGAGGACGAGGAGCTGGACGCCGACGAGGAGGTGGCCAGTGCTTGGAGGCCCTTCCCCGCGTTGTGCAGATCTGTGGGTGGGAGGAGAGAAGAGCGGTAAAGTCGGTAAATTCTGGTCCAGTCCGCAATCATCAATCAATCTGCGAGGCAATAAAATTCTAAATGCCGCCTTGATTTTGTTACACTCAAAGAAAATTTGAAAAATATATATACAATTTAAAATATATTTTATATATTAACAATAAACCCATTTAAATATATTGCAAACTTGTGAAGTGCTTGTTGCAGCAAGAAATCTAAGAATCTAAGAAAGGAAATCCTATTAGAAATCTACATTTCCTTTCATCTGTAATTTGTGTATAATTTATTAATTTTCCTTATTTATTTAATCGTAGTAAATTTCTCAATGTGCACCTGCCCAATTTATTTCAGTCTCATAAATTTTCCAGGCATTTTCTAATTGCCTCTTCCCTCCTTTCCCCACGATGGGGAAATTAATTGGAGCTCGCAATTCCATGGAGCGACTCTGAATCCGAATCTGAATGTGAAACAGCGGCAAACGTGCGACTCCGCTGCAGGCATCCTGATGTCAGAAACACGTCGACCCCACGAAATTCGGAAGCCACGGGAGCAAAAAAAAAAAAAAAGAGTCCGCCGGCAACCACAATAAATACAAACCGATTGTAGCAAACCGACCAAACAAAATATGTCCGCCGTTGTGCACGTGACTGTGATCTGACAATTAAAATAATATTACAATAAATATTTCGCAATATTGTCGCAACAGGCCAACTACTGCCGGGACATGTACTTATATCCTTCTAAATTATTCCCCTACAAAATATGTCGGTTGACCGCGCCCATCAGCAGCACTCTCTCGAATGGCTGTGTTTTAAACATAAATAAATGCAGAGAGCTATATCAGAGTCGTGACTTTGGTTTAAATTAGCTTAGTAGTCTGTTGGACACTTGTTCCACCTTTCACTTTTGCTTTTAAATCGTTAATAATGGGTTGCGATTTAAAAATTAATCAATTTGTGAGTAAGAGTTTTTGTACCGAAATTATGGAAGGAAAAAGTCCAGAAAAGCAACCAGAAAGTGGGTTAGAAACTTCCAAGTCTGAATACTGAATACTGCGACACTTTAGTATAAAATCGTGGAAATGCTTTTGAGGGTAACTGAAGACCTAAAAGTATAAAAATCTTACAAAAGCGTTACTTCGGTTATACTTGTCTTTAACAATATTTATACCCTTGCAGGGTATTATAATTTCAGTCAGAAGTTTGCAACGCAGTGAAGGAGACGTTTCCGACCCTATAAAGTATATATATTCTTGATCAGCATCAACAGCCGAGTCGATCTAGCCATGTCCGTCTGTCCGTCTGTCCGTCTGTCCGTCTGTCCGTCCGTCTGTCCGTTTCTACGCAAACTAGTCCCTCAGTTTTAAAGCTATCTGAATGAAACTTTGCATTTAGTCTTCTATATACTCTCACTGCTATATATGTCGGAACGGGCCGGATCGGACGACTATATCATATAGCTGCCATACAAATGTTCGATAAATTTTTAGAAAAATAATTTTAACTTGGCTGTTTTTCAATATTATTCCATCATTTTTGAGATATAGCCTTTTTATATTATTCCAGAATTTTGGTAAAAATTTTATGAAAATCGGACCACTATATCTTATAGCTGCCATAGGAACGATCGGGAAATTAATCAAAAAAATTATAACTTCGTTGTTTTTCAACGTATTTTAATCTACTTTGACACATGAGCTTCTGGTATTATTTCAAAATTTTGGTAAAAATTTTATGAAAATCGGACGACTATATCTTATAGCTGCCATAGGAACGATAGGGAAAGTAATAGAAAAAATTATAACTTCGTTGTTTTTCAACGTATTTTCATCTACTCTGAGATATGAGCTTTACTTATTATTATAGAATTTTGGTATACATTTTATGAAAGTCGGACAACTATATCATATAGCAGCCATAGAAGCGATCCGCAGATGTAGAGAAAATGTAAAGCTGGGAATGTATAACTGTAACTGTCAAACTGTAAACATAATCTATACTTATTATGTTTACAGTTTGACAGTTACAGTAAAATGTAATGAAACTCTGTTTTGTGTGTGTTTTCAGCATTTAAATCTATAATATAAACATCAAAACCAATCTGCAAGGGTATACAAACTTCGGCGTGCCGAAGTTAGCTTCCTTTCTTGTTTTATTTCGTTTTAGCATAAGGACGAACTTTGAACCCTAAAGAAAGCTATTCTAGTGAAACACACTAAGTTCAATAATGACAATCTAAGTTTTATATTTATATTTATTTATATGTTTTGGAAAGAAGATCTTATCTATATGAGTTGTATTTAAAACATACACTTTTTCTGCGTAACTCCCTCAAACTTGACGACAAAACCCCTGAACTTCCTTTTATGACACGTGCTGAACGATGCCCTTCCCAAAACTGGGCGTTTCATATATCGCCGTATATGAAATATGACTTTGACTTCTTTCGGTATGGTGCTTTTTCCTATGGTTGTAGATGCCATTAATATTACGGAAATTAATATGAAAATTCCAAGTGTGCATTCAATATAATACATCATCGGAGTAGCAACCAAGGCGGAGTGGGAAACAATAACAGCTCTCGTCATAACAATGGCAAACAATGCAATCAAAGCGATTGGCAACACTTGCGCATCCTTGGGGCGAACAAACCATAAAATAAGCCGAAAAAGTGTGTCCAAAAACCGACAATAAATGAGCAAACATTATGGCAACACCCGGGGGTGGATGCGCCCTTTAATTGCCTCTGGAAGAGTTGCCACGATGTCGTGGATGAGTAATTAGCCCTGGAGTGGCGGACGTCTTCGTGCGTCGCACACCGGCCTGAAAGGATGTGCGGTCGGTTTGACTTTGTAGTCAAGTGGCTCCGGGTAGGGGTGGATGTAACATTTCAATAAGCCTGCTCCAGTGGAGTATCCTTGTGCCATTTAAAACACTCACGGCATGCCTGCACCCTTTGCCAGGATGTTTGGCATGCCCTTTTGACTTTTTACCGCATCTTGCCGCCGAAAAGGGGTTAGCATGAGAGCTGCTGCTGTTTTCTTTCTGCTCTACCTAGTTAGTTTAACCCGTTGATTCAGATGTCAGCCTCTGCCCCTGCAGTAGTAGCTAATTAAAAGTGTATTATTTATCGGAATTAATTTATGGGCTCATGTCTATCCACGACTACTGGCAAATAATCTAAAAGTTAAACACAAATCCACATGTTGAAACTGGGTGGTGGTTCGCCGGGGGGAAATCTGGTTTTCCGGCTTAAGTTGAAAAGCAAATAATGGGCAAAAGTTAAATAAAGAGTTGTCTGTTTCAGTGTGTTACACAGAGGCGGCGTAAAGGGGGATTGTTTTGTGACAATTATTGATTCTATAAAAACATAACAAATTAGCGAATGCTATAGAAAAAGTTAACTTTTTAATATAATTATTGGAATTGCTACAGAAAATTAGGTATGAGGTATACGAGGTATATAATGAGGTATTTTAAAACCCTAAAAAGGAATGATGATTAGGCTACCTATTGTACGTCGTATTAAAAATACAAATATAAATAAATCATCCTTGTCGAACTAGAATAATAATAAAATAAATAATAATAGTTAAATACACTTCTCGACCACCCAAGAATATACCGAAAGACCGATTGTAAACAAATGTAACCTCTTAAAAAAAGGAAGAATATGTATTTTATTCCTCCCCCTTAACTACGACCATGCCTTTTGCTCTATATACCTAACTCCACCTTGCCCATTTGTTTTGTTCATTTGCATTCATATTTATCATTTTCATATGCTGCCCGATTTTTGTCATAAGGCGCTTAACTCGAACAGCTTAGCGCCGGAGACCAATTAGCAACGCATTTGCAGCCAAATTGGTTTAGCCTACTTTGTGATATTGCCCGAACGGAAAGTTAAAGCGGGAACAACCCCCAGGTAAATATGTGAAATTTAAACAAAATATCTAAAGTCGAGAAAACTAATAAAAGCAAAGTGAAGTGAAGTGAAGTGGAGTTGGAGTCGGAGTCGGAGTCCTGTCGCTGTCCTTACGCCTGCCAGTCAAAGTTAACCTACTGAAGCGTTAAAATTGCTCAGCAAAAGTAAAATTGAAACAAATACGCCGGCGATTTTTATCAGTCGAAGGGAAAATGCGAGGGAAACTCCCAGTTCGCAGTTTCTGCTTTTATCGCAAACATGCAAATTTTTTCGTTGGACGTAAATTGGCAAAATAAATAAATGTGGTGCGCAACCCTACTTACGTCTCAAATCCCTGGGATCCTGAGAATTATTACTGCGCGGACTTTCACCCTTTTCAACGGCATCGTAATCCTGTGATCCCTCCATGGATTCGTGGGATGTGCACGTGGGACTGGCCGAATCCGTCCGAAATGATTCGCTGCCGTTGAACAGATTCTGTCGAAATTGTTAGATCCCATTATGACAAGTGTCAATCTTGCGCCGATTATCAGCTCATCGCTCGGGCCTGCTCCCAAGGTCCCACGTATGAGCAACTTAAACTCACCTGATCCAGCGATATGCCGATGTATTTGGGCGGCGAGAAGGCCGACGGCAGCGAGAAGTTGGACAGCACCGACGGCTTCCCCAGCGGCGACCGGTCGCTGGCGAAGTAGCCGGCGGGCCCAGCTCCAGCGGCTGCCGCCGCCGCCGCCGCTCCGTTGGCCACCAGCATCCCGTGGTTGAGCAGCAGATGCGGGTTGAAGTAGTTGCCGACTAGTGACATGTTGTGGAGATCTTTGGCGTCAGGTAACTGCAAGAGGCGGAAATCGAAAGGGATTACCTACCGGATACATTTGGAAGAAAGTTTGAAAGTGTTGTAGAATTTTGATAACGCAGGAAACATGAAAGTACGTAAGTCAACCGAATGGATCGCTTTAATATATAAATATGCTAAATACATTTATAATATTCTGAACATCTCTTTCTCTCTATTCTGAGGAACAAATTATTCTAAGATATGTATATCACATCTTTGATAAGCGACAAACTAACCTAATAGAAAATAGTTTCATATCTTTCAAGTTAGAAAATGTTTGGTAAAATGCAAAGGCAATTATAAACATTCTTTTTTTCTGAAATAAATATTTACATTAATTAATACATTAATTAGTAAATCAAAGCAAAATAATCACAGGTTATTACAAAACTCTTAAAAAAGCTTTTTAAATTTTAAATTAATGTTTTTAGCTGTTTGATAAACTTGGAACTTGAATTTAAACGGTGACTTCCATCTGGAAGAACTACAATTGATCTAAATTGAATTGAGATACTTTGTGAGAATTCCGAAAATGCTATTTTTCCGTTCTTCTAGTAGGAACCTAGAAAATTCGCTATGGAACATGAATCTTAGAAATAAATGGATGAATTTAAGATCAAATCATAGAGATGAAACTGACGGCAGGAGGATATAAGTTAAACAAATGCTTACAGATTTAAGTAAATAGATTATATTAAGTATATTAATGTAAATTTATTCTGAGAAACAAGAATTATCTCAACACACCGCAACCATCAGGGCCGCCTAATTGTTACGACACGTAACCAAAACCAGTGCCATTAAAAGCTAAGCGAGCGTTAAATTTAAGCGTTAAACATGCGCATTACTCAAGTCTAAGCAACGGAACCCACAAGAAATTATGTGTGCTACATGACTTGGCGGTAAAATTAGCCAATTGGGGAAGGTGGAGGAGGCCTGAACACGGAAAAGATTCCCGGATAGGCAGCATATGGTCTGCCGAGATTCTGCGGGAATGCAGGGAATATGGCAAAACCTAATCCGCTTCCCGCGGGACGAGGCGAGAGACGCCCGAAAGTGTGCTCCAGTATTTGCATCGATTTAATCGAAAACAAGCTCATACAAATTATGCACAGAAATTTGTAATTTACGACAAATAAATGTTAAATTGAGAGATTTTAGAATTACGATATCGAGAGTGCCATAAACTGTGTCAATTCCGCAGGGTGGTCGGGGCCAGCTTACTTCCAATGGGGTGTAAAATAACGAGAAAAATGCTCACTTTCTCCGACCCAAACTCGCACATAAAGACTTTTGCAAATGATATGGGTGATATGGGGAGGGTGCCCTTTGCCTTGCCCGGGAAAGGGGGAGATAAGCCCACAGAACGTTGAGCGTCAGAACAAATTGAGGCTGACGAGTGTTAAGCGACGTTTGGGACACAGACAAGATACGAGCACAACATAAGCGGCGACATGTGTGACAAGTATTAAGTAACCCTCACCCAATCCCACACCCACATCCACACCGTCGATCTATTCCAAACCCTGAAAATGGCAAGTTTGCTATGTGCAAATTTACATACAAATTCGTCTGCCCAGGAAAATATTTTTAGAGCGAACAACGAAAAGTGTGAGAAAACGATAGGAAAAATATGAGCGAGGGAAACATGTTAATTTTAGGAGATATCGTATTGAAGAAATAATTGAAGTATTAAGAGGAATCCTCCTAAATGAACGTTTTGTTTATTAAAAAATAAGTTATTTATTTGTTGCATTTTAAGCTTACTTTTTATCACTGATCTGTTGAAAACAAACTTAATTTAGCACAGAAATTATTTATTTAATTTTTCGAAGGTTACTGTTCGTTCTAATCCAATTCCAGTTAAATCATCGCCAGTAATTCAAAGGTCCCGCCTCCTTTGAATGATTCTTTATAACAGAACATTGTTAATTTCTTCCGTAATCCTGGCCACTGGCTGGACCCAAGTCGAATCCAATAAATTATGGCTTATCAAGAGAAATTAGCACCTTAATTTGGGGGCGAGATGTTGAAGCATATGTTGCCGTATCAGATCCGTCGCATCATCCCCAAGCTCATTAGGTGTGAAAACTGGCAAGTCACAGGGGTTAGGTGGGGGAAATTGCAACCGCATGAGTTGCACTTTGTCTAAGTCTGCATTTTGGTCAACAGCTGTTTGGGGGGTCATGCGACGGTCTGACGTAGCCCCCAACAGAAGTGGTCAACCACTTGGCACTCCCATTCCCAATGACTTTTTAATGCGATACGTGTTGAAGAATTTTCAGCAAGGATTTCGCTTATTGATTTATGCCCGTTAATCAGTGCAAAGCAGCAGTACACGGAGAAAAATGTCTGTATCAAATCTATGTTTTCACAAAATATCAGTACTTATTATAAGGAATTTAAGCTAAAAGTAATTTATAGGTACCATTTTTTGTATTGAACTTGAGAAATTAACATACGAAAAACCTACATATTTTATACATCCACTTCAATTTATTAAAAAGCACATAAAAATACATGTAAAGGAAATAGTCTCCTAGACTACATCTAAACCTAAAATTTAAATCTGCAAACAAGCAATTATCATTGAATAAAATAATGCACTCTGTATAATATACATAGTTATAATAAATCGTCGAAGAAGTTACTACATTTTACTTTCAGTGCAGTAGCAGGTGCTCTTTCCACCCCCCCATTGGGTGGCGGGGTGCAATGCAGCCCCTCCCCCTTTGTTTGCTTTTCTATTAGAGCCGGGCGGGTGATTTGTTATCCCAAATTGTAACATTCCTTATCCGCCAGAGGGGATGACTGGGCCCAGATTTGCATAAATTCGTTCTGTTTGCTTTTAACACTTGAATTATTGGTGTTCGGTGACCCCGCCCCTCGGAGTTCTCGTGCTGCTCGGTGCATCGCCCAGCTGCATGGTGCAGGCAACAACAATAACAGCTTAATTACAACAACACGATAACGAGTGGCAAATAGCAATTGTCTACATACAATTGCCAATTTCGCTTAACTTGGCCATAAAGCACGGAAAAGCGACAGCGGGCAGGCACAAGGCAAAGCAAACAACTTGGCCTCCTCAACACACCACAAATAAATCTCAATTTGTGGCACTAACACGGAGTAAACGAGGCTGAAACCGAACTCAAGCTTCGCAACTGGACAAGCTGGTAATACTAAAAACGTTTAGCAATTGCCAATTTTCGCAAACTAAATGTTTATGGCGGGCCTCAACCAGTTAGTCTTTGTTTTGTTGTTTTTTTCTCTTCACCTGACCGAAGAGGTGCTGTAGGAAATTGCGATGGGACTCAATAGTGTAGCATACATTGGGCCGTTTTTCAGGTGCAAGAATAGTAAAGAAAGTTTACAGAAAGGCTTGTAAATTGCAAATATTTTAATTTGTATATTTTAAACATAATTAATTAGGTATTTTCTTCATTGTATAAAATAGCTTAGGTCTTCATTTTTTTTTAAGTTATTATCTCCTTTAATCCAAATTGGTTTGTTCACTTAAGAAATGTAATCAACATGGGAATTCGAAAACATTGTACTTAAAACTAAAACCTAAACTCGAGGTGTTTAATTGGATCAACAGACGAGCAAGGACACACTCGAACTCTTATACATATGGTACTTTATTGACATATTCATGAATACAATATACACAATGTAATTTCATTCACTTTGTATCGCATTAAAGAACCATGATATAGTACTATATCAATAGTACAGATATTGTAAACCAAATTGGGCTTAGAAGTTTTTAACGTTTTTGTTTACTTTGAATAAACTTCGATTAGTTTTTAAAGTATAGTAAAGAAGACTTAAGCGAAGGCACTCCAGTGATCTCTGAAGAAGAGAACGACATATTTCTAGAGTCCTAAAGCTTAATGTTAATTTGCTATAAGATTGTTTAAACATTATTCTGTTAAGTATTCATGTACAGATAACATCCTTGTTTTACTAAACGTTTTATAGCCATTACAAAAGTAGTAATAAAAGTAATAATAAATAAATAAGTTAATCGGAATAGGTATAAAAATAAAGATAACATCTTGAATGTTACTAAATTAAAATTTACTTATAAATGCAATTAAGCTTTGTCCTGTGTCCTATATAATTACTAACTCGATTTGTTGATATTATGTGTGATTTCCGCAATTTCTTTCTGATTTTTAAGTATCTTCTGAGCATGCAGTTGCGATAACAGTAATCAAAACTGTATTAAACGTACTTTTATTAATTTAATACATAATATTAAAATTTGTTTTTCATTTAAAAAACGACAATGGAATGAAAATACTCAAAAAAGCTCTTGAAATTCAATGCCAAATTGCTCTAGATATGTACCCGAACAAGTTTAGGACTAGTCCTTTTTATACTCATGTAGTTTTCAGTTGACATACCTCAAGCACAGTATTAGTGACCACTTGGGCTTTATACTTTGCTCCCTTTGGGTGCTACTTGGTAAACGCCTCGATGCCTTCGCATTTCTGCTGCCCGTTCCCTAACTGCCTCCTTGATAAATTGCTATAAATTAAATTAGGCTCAGTCACACAGCCACACAGAGTCGCATATGCACACACAACTCACCTACACATACTTTGTGGTAATAAGTGGCAGAAAAAAGAATTATTTTTCATATGTCGCCCCGCCTCAGTCCCATAATTTTCTTCGCTCTAGCACGGCTCTGCCATTTTTTTCGAAGGGGTCGTCAGTCTGTTTACCTTTTGTTGTTGCTCCTGCCGCTGCTGCTGTTGTGGTTACAAAATTGTTATGGTGCCCGGTGGTTTTTTCCCTCTGCTGCTTCTGACCCACCCAGACAGGTGGGGGGTTAGAGTGGTACAAGAACCAGGGCCACATTAAACCATTTGACATTGCATTTAATATGCTTGCCTGGCTTGTTTTTATTAATTTTTATTGCTTGCGCTATGCTTGGCTATGAATGCCTGCATAAATAATGGTAGACAAGCGAATGGAGGGGCAAGTTTTTGTTGGAGGAAGTCCACTGAGGTGACTGAAGCTGCTAAGAAATTTGGAAGAACACAAGATATATTTCCTCAAACAACTGAGGAAAATTGGAAGCAGGAGAGAGAAATATGTACAAGGTTCATAGTTTATAATAGTTTGTAATCAAAGTTTATGGTTATTTATAAGACATAAAAAAGGTCTCTCAACTAAGCTATTAGAATTCAACCAGATGGTTTCACACGAAGTTACTACTAGATTCAAGCTAAAAGTTGTACACAAATCGGTAATCCTGGGAAACAACAAGTTCTTGTTCAGCCTTTTATTGATATAAAAGAAATAAAGGATTAAAATTTTAAAACTACGCCGAAAGTTAAGGGGGGACATCTGAGTAACTGGCAAAAAAAAAGGCCATTTTCTAGAATTTTTTTTGGCCAAATGAAAAAGCCAATCGAAAAATTTTAAAGTAGGTTTGATAATGTTAGATGTGAACTACAAAATAAATTTTTTTTTTAATAAATCGAAAACAAAATGGCGGCTGTGCAGCATGTCTTCGTAGGCCCTATTTTTTTGAAAGGGGTCCATGGCCGAAAACCTAACGTCCTTAGTTTTTGATCTAGAACAAAAAATCAAATTTTGTTAGTTTCTATATCTCAACCGCTATCGACGTACGTAGGATTTTTTCGATATTTTGATTTTTTGCAAAATGGTGAGTGATTAAATAAAATGTTCAATTTTCATGAAAAAAAAACGTCACAAAATTGTTGATAAAAAAAAAGTAAGCAAAAAAAAAAAAAAAAAATTCTACGTACGTCGATAGCCATAGGTATTTTGGATATACTGTCAAAACTTCAGATCGATCGGTTAAGATTTGTTCGAGTTATGTTTTCGGCCAACTCAAAAAAAGTGGTTTTGAGAAAAACGCGTTTAAAGTTTTAAAATCGTATATGATTACATGTGAGGCATCGCCGCAGAATGGAAAATTTCGACACTTAGAAACTTTTGCCGGACTCTATCTTTTGATATGTTATTTTTAAGACCCTAAAGTATTTTTTAAGCAGAAAAAAAATTTTTCGATTTTTAAAAAAAGTTACTCAGATGTCCCCCCTTAAGTTAAAATACTCGCATGCAAGTCATATTCCCATATTCATTACTTAAAATGATTAATTTGTATTACTTTAAAGCATTTAAGTTGCGAATTGATGTTTTATGAATACTGAGATATTGTCCGAGATATCTTAATATATTCCACAGGAAATATTTTGAAGACTAATAAAGTTTTTCCAAATATTAACAACTGATTTTGAAGGAAAAGAACAATGCTTTCGTTTGAAAAAAAAAAAAAAAACTAAATAAAATTACAGCATTTAAAGTATGCCAAAAAAACTTACTTATTACACTTTTAGGTTACAATTATTAAAACACCAGAACGAATATTCCGAGGTCGGATTCGAGTTCGAGGAAATGTACATATATACCAGTTTTTTGAAATGTATTGACCTTTGTTATAGTATTTTTAAAAACAAAATAATTACATTGTTTGTAATACAATAAATATATGTACACAATGTACGTACTTCCCATAGTTTTAACAAAGAATTCGTTTAGCCAAATTCCCTTATATTGTTTTTAAAGTCGAATTTGATTTAAATTTAACATGATTCAATTTGATGTGTATCTCCAACAAAAAGTTCTTTCTAATTTATCAAAATACTACAAATTTCTATATAATCAGTTTGTTTCTATATAATCAGTTGTTTTCTCTGATTCACATTAGATATTATAAAAATATCCGAAATCTTCAAGCTACAAATACTTGATTACTTTGATAATAGTTGAAACCTTTGGAATTCCGTATTTAACTTCCCGGAATCCTTCACAGTTCGAACCCAAATCGCATTTAAAGGAGGAGGACATATTGTTGTCATGTTTAACATATCTTAACGCTACTCAATGCTATGCAGGGGCAGAGATATAATTTCAATTCCAACTCCAGCTCCAGCTCCAGTTGGAATAACCAGTTTCCCTGGGCCGGAGCGCACTGATCGAACATCATCAGCGCTCGAGTTCTTCATCATTTGTAGCATCAGCGTCAAGATCATTGCTCATGTTTACAATGATGACAGCCGCGGAATAAGCAGGAGCTGACGAGGAATCGTCGGAGGAGCAGACTTCTACGCTTATCGCATGGAGGTTTCTCTGTGGGATCGGGCCAGCAGTTAGCGGCGGCTGCCCGGTTCCATCAGGGCCGAGTTGAAGTTCGGAATTGAAGCTATCATAAATCTGTTCGTCGCAAAAATCTACACACAATGGGGCGTTTGCAAACGCATTCGTTGATCGGAATGCGACGACGGACTCTCTGAATCTGCCTCTTGACTGACTGCGGATTGGGAATGCGAGCGTGATGCGAGTGATACCCCCAGGTTTATATTAAATATCGAGATGAAGCAAGTCGGCAAGTGAGTCGCCAAGCTCTGGAATATATTTGAAACGTAAAAAACAAAAAAATGGCTTCAACTTAAGACAAGGTTGCAAAATATGAATAATTTTAAGGATCAAACCAAGACAATGCTCAAAGCAATGAACAATTTTATAAATTAAGAGTAAGAAGAATATGGAAGTAATAAATTTATTTAGATTTTAGATTTTTTACAACTCTACATTTCTGGCTTCACTCCTACACAATTTTGAATTCTTCAGTTGTCTTTAATTAACTGCGCGATCACCCGTCACGGTGCCATCCCTAGTAGCATCTCCCAACTGGAAGTTAACTTGGAAGTTCTGGTTGGATTTGTTGTGTTTTACAATGCTGCATTGTCTCGAATGCTGTTGACTCCGGGCCGAGTCTTACTTTCGCCCCTGAGTCTGCGGGCCGCGAGCAGTGTGCTGATTTATGGCATCTTTCGGCATTTCGGCTACCGGCCCCTGGCTTTATGATTTGTCATAAATATGTCCCCGCCGCCCGATCGGCCTGAGACTCCAATCAGCCCGTCTTCGCCCGTTCCAGGCTTACTTACTCTCGATGGAAACGGACGTTGTCCACGCAGAGCCTCATGCAGACCGGAAGCCGCTTCCGAGAGAACAACGAGCGCTTGAGATGGCAAATGGCTGCTGCCAAATGCGTTGCTTTCCATCTGCAGCTCGTTTTGCTTTGTTTTGGTTTTGCTTTGAACTATTTTGGCACTAGGGGGCACTCATAACCTCACATTAGCTTGTGTTTCAGTATTGGCACATGCAAAGATCACTCGATATCCTGGATTGGCGCTGGAAGGAAGTGTATTTGGCGCGTCGGCAAACGGTAGTTCGGATCAGCTGACTCGCTCGCTCGCTCTTTCTCGCTCGGTCGACACAGGCACAGACCCGCACGTTCGCGCTGCAGAAATCCAACTGAGGCTGCGGCGGCCAGGCTGCTGCGAAACCAGTTGCCGTTAGCCGTGCTTCCTCTTCTCTCGCTCTGCCACTGCGCAGGCGGCGCTGTGGAACGCCTCGCGGCCTCCGATTGGCCAGCGCTGGCAACTGGTTTGGCTGCCCTCCAGCCATCCCGCTCTCGCTTACGCCACCCCAACCCCGGACGCAGTGCGGAGTACTTTCACATTATGTTCGCCTCCTTGGCTGGCGCGAGCTTCTGTTTTTGCGCTGCATTATTATTCCAAAATGGTTGCATGTTTGTCTGTTGGCCATTGTACGCCTGTTTGTCTGCCAGCACCTGGGACTGGGACTGGGACTGGCACTGGTACTTCCCCGGATTTCCCCCCGTCCTCCAGGTCCTCCAACAACAACTTCTGACATTTTGTGTAAATAAACCGTATGAGAAAGATTTTTACTTTTGGCTTTGGCATTTTGCTGTTGTTTTTTAGCCTTGTTGGTCGGTCGGACACTGTCCTGGACAAAAGTATCTTGGAAGTAGTCCCTCTCTTCGTTTTTTTTTGCCTCCATAGCTGGGTTTTGCACACCGGACACTTAATATAGCGCATTACCGTGGTATTTGTCGGGCGATAATTGGGGAAAATATTTCAGAGAAATGAAATTAGTTTTTGGATGAAATTGTGATTGAAAATAATAGTGGGAATTAAATGGGAATCCCGTTTTGTTATTAAAGTCAAAGTAAAACTTTTTTAAAGTTATAACATTTTTAAATTCTTCATTTTCTTAAAGCTACATTTACTAGACTAAACAAATATTATTTTTAATTATTTAAATTACTTATTTTATAAAATAATTTATTTAATTTATCTTTTTTTAATGTTAGCGTTGAGCTATTACTTTTAAAAGAGATGTCAAAAAATTGTAAAATAAAATGAAATAATACTATTTGTTAACCATTGATAACGTAGTAATATTAGGATATCAATATGTTAAAAAAGCTAAACTAAGTCAAATAAATAAAACAGGAAATACTAACGTAATACAAATTTGGTTGTTTAAATAAACATTATTATGATTAAGTTTAGATTTATTAGATTTAAGGAAAATTAAAAAATTAGACCCACGGTAAACTGACCAAACAACTACCTACAAACTGAAATAGTTGTGTCACACACAATATTACTGCAACAACATAACAACAACAGCGCAAAAGGCAGCCTACAACAACCACTGCGCACAGTGGACACTATAAAAAGCCGAACCCATCTGCGTGCTGCTTTTTATTTCGTCCCCGTTGCCCTTGTTGTGATTTCCAATGTGCCAGACTAACTAAATAAAGTATTTTCCTTGCAATTACTTGCGATGAGATTCGCGTAAAAAATGCACAAACCTTTCCTGACATGTTTATGGGGCCCTGTCCGTCAAACCGAGGCAGTTGACACCATTGGAGGGCTCCCCTCTCCTTTAATTGGTGGCTAGTAAATTTTCCTTTTACCATCTTTGGGCCGGGCGATCTTCTCGGGAGGATTTTTTCTAATTTTTTGCTCATTAAATTTACATTTTAAGAATTCCAGTACGGACAGAGAAGCTTACACTTTATAATTTCCAGCAGCCTGCCTTTTGGTTTATTATCCATCTCTGTCCGTGAGAAGGAGAGCGCCATAAGGGGGTGGCAGTGGGAGGGAGACCTCTGTAGTGCAGAGAGAAAAAGAAAAACAATTAAAAATAATTTTACTATTTTCAAAAGAGGCTTTAAAAAAGGATTTATTTAAAATGCTTAGATATTTAAAAACAATGTATTAGTTTTGGTACCACGTCCTACCCTCCTATTTTAAATTGACTTTAAATTTAACTCAGTTTCTTGATTAGACAAATCTTTTCTTCAAATGGATATATGTACATATCTATTGCTTGAATAACTAAACTGTTTTTAAACTTTTCCATGTAATGTAAGTTTTAGATTTCTTCGGGTATACAACTCGATTTCTGATCAATTATAGAGATATATTTTCTCTATATGTGGGAGAGGTAGAGGGATACCTCCGTACTGGTGACTGGAGCGAGCAGGAGAGTGAGCTGCTGTTGGGAGCCAGAGTGAGACAGCCTGGAGGGAAGCTCGGGAGTTTCGAGCGCATGCGCCTACGTTGGCGGTAGCCTACATTATGTGTCTAATTCTTGTACATAGAGTAGAGTGCCCCCGTTTCCACCCCATCCCTCTCCTCGAGGCAGAGGTAACTAAGTCTTCCTTCGACTGGCGACTGGTGACTGGCGAGTGGTAACTGGTAACTGGGAGCATCGTAACTGGTAACTGGCAACTGGCAAAGAGCGTAGGACGAGTGCCATGTACAGGACTTGTACTGCATTTCGGGCTGGCAGTAGATTTTTCATTTTATTTATGTGCTGCCTTGACGCTGCTGATTGCCTTTACTTATTTCTCCGTCGTATTCTTCGCTTTGTCAGTTTGTCAGCTTCCCGGCTACAAAATTAAATACTTGTCTCTGGTCCGATTTCTTTTTGTTATCTTTCGGCTGTGTGGGTGCGGCTCTATATATAACCAACTGTCGTCTGTCTTGGCCACCTCCGGCCCCACCTACTCCACCGCATCCTCCTCTGGCTAGTATGTATGTACTTTGGGCTGACAACTAATTTATGTAGTGGCCGAAAGCAGCTGCTACAACTTTAGCTCTGTTCTGCTCAGTTCTTTAATAATCTTGCTTTTTTATTTTGGCAAACAATTTCGTATAATTTAGTGGGGCTAGGTGCTGTGATAAAGTCCTATAAGTGGGTTGTTGATGAGCCTCAAAATTAAATATTAATTGGTGAAAATATTTTTGTTACCAATATTTTTGGTTAGATTTTTGTTCTAAAATTATTTTAAGGTGGCTTCAATTGGTTAACACCCAATAAAAGTACATATGTATATTTGGTTCAGTACAGGAATTTGTCCACTTTAATTTACAAATTACGCAAATGTTTAACATTTAAAAGCAGCATTCTATGGACGAGGTATAAAAATTCAGTATACAAATGTTCTTGGCAGTCTTCTACTCTTTGCAATTTACAATCGGATTAAGTTTACATTAAATTATCATTTTTATATACATATATTTTTTTTATATATTATGTAACTTGGCATAAAGTGGACCTTATATATAAAGGATAGACTCCGAATCTTTAAATTAGAAAACTAAAGCCTCCTGTAAAGCAATTTTATTTCCTTCTGAGAATAGGAATAGGAACGTATTCTTCAAAATAAACTCCTTTATTTTATTAACTCCGCAAAAATAGCATTACTAAGAGGTATAATCCTAATAATGCCCATATGATACACTAATGCAGTTTTCATTAATTAGCTACTTCATTAGAACCTTGAAAGAGACCACTATATGTGTAATTTTGTGTAATTTGGCTTAAATTTTGCTTGGATTATTTTGGTAATACGACTACGGTCACACCGACCGTAAAAGGTAAACAAAAAAAACGGCCGCCATTCGAGGCGTATTACTATGAATTTCTGAATTCCTCGTCGAAGTATTCTTGCATAAATAAATGCAGAATCCTTTAAATTTATGTTTTTAACGTATAATGCTTAAATTTTTTTTTAATTATTACCAAAAAAAATGTTTATATTAATTTTACAGCGTAAGAACCTTGCCCTCGCAAAACATATTATTTTTCCTAATTTTCTAATATTTTTTCAGTTCAAAAAACCAGCGAAATGATATAAAAATAAAATTCTCATTGTGAGACCATACTGTCAATGAGCTGGCTAATACATTTTTCAATTACAATTTTCTTCATTAAACCCGTATTTTGTTATCGAGTATCTAGTATATAATATGTAGATCTATCGATTATCGCGTCAATGAAGTAGCTAATGCATTATTCTAATGCATTAGAGCGCAATATAGTCGTCTTGCTCGCACTTGTGTAAAACGCTATAGCGCTGTCAAATCTTTAATGAAGTCTCTAATTAATGCGGCAGTGTCATGCCAGTATAACTGGGTTTAATAATAAAGTATGATTCTTAACGAATTTATTTAAAATAACCTTAGATGTAAGTTAAGTCTAACATTTTTAAAGAAAAGTTATATGAGAGAATTTATAAATAGTCAATACTCAATACAAACCCGATTTGAGACTGAATATGCTCGACTTGCCAGGTAAAATTAATAAAAGTTTTCAAATATTTTCGTATAAAGCTGGATGGTCTTTTTGATTTATCTCACCTAGGATGTAATCCTCTATAGATCTACATGCAGAACTACCTAATCCATGAAACTTAAGTCTTTCCCACCCTCATCCACCTGTTCTTCCACAAAAATCCGGGTAACGCCTCCGAATTAATTGAAACCGCAGTGCAAGTGCCACAACCGTTTGGCTGTCAAATCTGCCATGGCCAATCCCTCGATAAAAAACACCAGTAAAGTTAGAAGACAAAAAAAAAACACAGATGCGTCCAACATAAAAAGGTGATAAAGAGGAGCGGGGTTTCCGAAAGCAATCCCCTCGCAAATCCCAGACAAATGTGCTGGCGAAAGAGAATAAAATTTCACCAATACTTTGTACATTTACCATGTAAATATGAATGGAAATGAATTACAAGCGAAATAAATGTACGAAAAAATGGCATGAAACAAAGCAAACCCGTAAAAAACCTAGGACCACAAGCCAAAGAGTGGGTGTTGAGGGGGAAAGAAGAGGGCTTACATGGCTTTTGGTTCGGGTTTGGTTTTTTTTCGGGAACTGGGTGGGGTATTTCTTTTTTTTTGTGGCTTTCGGTCGCACACAGTCGCAATGTTGACATGTTCCAAATGCAATTTTAACAGGATTTGCAAGGACACATTTGCACAAAGTGACAGAAAAACGCAGCGCAGCAACAACAAAGTCAACTTTGTCAACCCCATACCCCTGCACAGAGAGAAAAGTGGTCCACGATGACCTGATGATTTCCTGTGGTGCTGAAAGTTCGATTGTGTATATATTTATGATGACACATAAAGT